AGATCGAATTCTATCGATCAAGTTACAATATGACCACTAGTCTAAGCGTACACTATACTTAGATATAATGTGGTATTGTTGAAGGTAGTCGACTACCTCCATAAATTTTATTTTCGTTAAAATATGTACTGAATTTGTTATTGTTCCTTTTATCTTATTTATGGTTAGGGTATGCGAATTGGCAGTAGTCGTCATATTGCTGATATCCGTTGTGATGATATATCAAAAGAAGGTCAAAATGTTATCAGTTTACAATATGGTACTAATAAATTAGCTAGTCAAAAAGGTATGCGTATGGGTGGTCAACGTCATATTGCCGATATACGTTGTGATAATTTATCTGCAGATGGAGCATCTGTTATTGGTTTACAAATGGGTTTACCACAAAATCAAGTTGCATCACAAGCTGGTATGTCATTCGGTGCTCATCGACATATTAACGATTCACATTAAAAGAAGAAGAAGAGAATAATGAGGAGTATTCTCATGAATTAGTTTTATGGAACATCATCAACACATACGCTCCCACCCCCGTCGCCCTTTTCCCCTATCACCAAAATAAAATTTAAAAAAAAACTGCACATAATTATTTATTTTTCAAAGTGAATTATTGACAAAATTTCTTTATTCTCTTTTTTCTCGTTTAATTATTCAAACAATCACAAATTTGCTCTCATTTCGATAGAAAGAAAGAAAAAAAATAAAAAAAAAGAGAAAAACACCAAATTGATTTTTTCTTCAGTTGAATTCTACACATACGTTTATTTGTTTGTTTATTTACACTCTCTACTCATAAATAACCTTGAATAAATGACCTTCACGGGAATACATTCTCTATTTATCTATTTATTTATTCAAAGATTGTGTGTATGTGTGTGTGTGTGTGCGTGTTTGTGTGCTCAACATTGAATTTATTTATCCGGGAAACAAAATTTGATTATCAACAAGATTATTTTGCTTAGTTGCTTTATTCAATGAATATTAGTCAGAATTGTGTTATTAAGCTTCATTTAATGAATGATCATCTATATGCATATGTAATATAATAGTTATTATTTCAAATATGAAGTAAACAATAATGGAACATAATGAATCATTGAAAGACCGTTGAAACACAATGGTATACATACATCCATTACATTGCATACATACATATTTGATAAAACTTTTGTTTACTGAGGAAAATAATAATCATAATACTATTTATTATTTCTATTTGTGAAGCATGCAATTTAAATAAATGCTTTTAATGGTGTTCCGACTTGTACCCTTTACCCCTTATCAATATATATATGATGGAAAGATATTGTCAATTAGAGAATAATGAATTATCAATTGGATTAATGAAGCATGAAACAAGTACGAACAATCTAGAGTTCTTATCGGTCCTGCTTCCTTACTAACCCTGCCTGTCTGTTGAGTTCAGAGAATCAATCTCAGTCACTGCAATATCAATCATGCATTTCAAACATACTGAGTTTATATACAAACTAAATAGACCACATCGTACCATAAAATACACATTTGTACAAGATTTAGCCAAAAGAGTAGCTGTGTATGTGGAAGGTAGTAATTGATAGACCAGGCATAATTCAAGAATGGTAAATCGTATAATAATAGTTTATAAGTCAAAATAAAGCTTATGATAAGAGGAATACGAATATATATATATATACCATTTATAAGATAGATATATGCCTATAGTATTGGTCCATGAATGTCACCACCATCTTTAAAAGGAGCCGGGCCAGGTGATTTATAGCGCTTCAAGAGTTGGAGTTCCTTGCAGACTTCTGCCTCATTTGGTGTATCAGTCGTCACCGGCCATGGAGGGCAGGACAATCTGACTGATGTTGCCGGAGCAGCAGGCCAGTTGAACTGCCCTTCGAAGAATTCTGCCCATCGTCCAAGACGTCGATGGATGTTAGTGATTGGCATCCCATCATCCTCGCAGATTGTTTCACTCACACCAGACTTCTTGCTGCCAGTGGCTCGGATGAGCTGGAAGAGCTTCCGGTAGTTACCAGATGCAGCTGCTGCTTCCAGCTCATTAGCACGCTTCGACCACCAGGCTTCTCGGTCCTTACGCAAGCTTTGCCCAATTTCATTACGTAACATCCTTCGTTTATGGTCAAACTCACGGTCACCCGGAGTAGACCGACGGGCTACGAAGAGTTGTAAGGAACCAGAAGAAACCCAGTGCTTATAAGCGGGACGTTTCGCGAACCCACAACTGACTGTTCCCGCCATTTTGATGGCGTCATGCAATCGCAACCAATGCTCATCTATACTTTTCGGTGGAGTGGTAGCTAGCCTAGGGGCTAGCTCGGTTCGATACTTACTAGCAACAGAAGTTGCAACCAACTTGCTAACATCAATCCGTTGGTGGCGGTCACTTCGTTGTCCACTGAAAAGTAAGGTGAGATTGGCGCAGACCAAAGCATGGTCAGAGTCCATATAGGTACTCCAAAAGGAGCGGCAGTCTTGTACACAACCACGCCAGCGGTAGCTGATCGCGATGTGATCAATCTGAGTCCAGGCTTGGGTTGCAGAGGGAGGACGCCAGGTGACACATTGACGGTGTCTGTGCCGAAAGTTACTGCTAGCCAGAAACAGGTTGTGGTATGTGCACAGTTGCAGTAGATGGTCCCCGTTACCTGTCCTGCGACCAACACGAATATGAATGGTTTAGTTATATAACAATTATACGATAAACATATACCTATAGTATTGGTCCATGAATGCATCCCAAATGTTACGATTCATTATTCGCATCGAGATATAACAAAAGATGTGCATATCTCTTTGTAATATGTCATGAATTTTATATTCGAAATTAGTTTTAGTTAGATAATCAATGAAAATCGTGAACAGATGTTTCTTCCTAGTATAGTAGGATTCTTCAACAGTGTACCTAATCTACGATCCTATAGTGGATTGAATCTAGAACTATCACGCTATTGAGTTAGTACGTAACCGTTAGACTAGTAAGTTGATATCTTATAGGCAATTTATAGTTTTAGCTAAAATTAATGATATTTGCTTATATTCAACATAACGGAAATCTGTTGATTATAGCTTTCTGGTTTACTAATTGAAGTTGGTTAGTGTTGTAAAATAATGAAATTGAACAATTTCTATAATCTCCTATACAATTATAAAAAAAGTTTCAATAAGTGAGATGTAAATAATTGAAAAATCTAATCAGTAATCATTAATGTAGGATCTGACATGAATGTATACTGATTCAAATTACTACACGGGAACGAAATGAGGAGTTATGTCATGGTTATTGCTTTGATTCCGTTTGAGTAGTATGTGCTACCAACACAACTTAGACGGACATTCAATAGCTTGGTGAGTTATGCTCATCATGTGAAGTCATTTTCTCCAACCTACTGAAACGCCAGACATAGCTACATCTTGTGATTATTGGTAATCGAACATGAACTGAATAATACTTGTTTCAGACTTCTAAATCGATCAAAATTCAATGTCAACAAAGGAATCGGTACTTTTACCCAGTACTCTATGATCAAATACTTGAAAATATATTTCACCTTTATACTACAAGTTTCACGCTCACAAAGCAATATAGAGTGAAACTACTGAACAGTTGGATATATATAGCCTACAGTAAAAAAAGGATTAAGTGCGCAAACGATAGTTACTTTCATTGAATGGATTATGAGATGTTATCAACAACTGATTTGATTAACACAATTTCCAAGATGAATAACATAGTCCATGTATTGTGAAAACTAAGTATTTTTTTGTTCATTCATTCCAAATATCTTAATATGTACGGCTACAGATGTAACGGTGAGAAGATAACGCTACAAATTAATCGTTAACTGATATGAAACTACATAGAGTTGTCTTCAATGACAATTTATTTACCAAAGACGATTTTACATTCTCAGCTTAAGAGTTCACATATTACGTGTGTGTTTGAAGTCAGTCAGTAACAATGTAGAACTTCGTACGTACGTACATCAGTTCGAGTTGCCACGCCACATTAGCACAGAGATGCAGTTGTCGATTCAAATCCTCTAGTGTTTGAAGGCTACTAACTTGTTTAGATTAAATTAGATGAATTGGAATTTGAACGTGCAAATTATTGATTTGCATTATTGAGTACCTCTTATTTCTAAATTAAAAACAAATACTTAAAATTAAAAAAAAAGAATTTTTCCTTCTCAGAGAGCGTATTAGATCTGCTAGGAGTAGTTCAGAATGAAGAACATAGTTGTACTGCAACCTATGTACATGGGTCAACACTAAACATGTTTGTGGTGGTATAAGCGTGATGAGAACACATCGTCAAATGATGATTTTCAAGCCAATTCATTAATTCAGTATTGTTAAATAGTTCGGCTACACTTTGGGGTAAATCACATCTGTCTATTATAAAGTGTATAGACCTCAGTCTATACATTCTACATAGGTATGCAACGCATACTTGAGATGGTAACACATCCCATACTACTATATTCATTATAGCTTCAAACGCTTTTGATTGATTACAAAATTGATAAATGTGATAGAGAAGTGTATACTGTTAACGTGTTCATCTGTACAATATAATAAAGTATCATTGAATCAAAGTTTCTATTTGCATACAAAATATAACAAAGTAAACTGTTAACATGTTCCAATTGTGAACTCTTTGCAAAACCTTATTTCTTTTGTCAAACAGTCCGATTGGTTTCTTCTACTTAGTTGTATGGGGAAAAGGGGGGAACAGAGGGGTAGGATTAACTAACTAACTAACTACTAATCAACTAATTTAAAGAAACAATCCCGGCTACATATGCCCATATTCTTTATAATAAAAAAGAATTTTTTTCATTTATGATGAGAAATTTTATTTATACAAAATTAGAAATGAAGTTTTGCACATTTTCCCCCTCTCTCTCTCTCTCTTTCCTTCTTATTGTTAAGCAACAAACCAGTTCACACCTCCTTTTTTTCCTTTTCAATTTTGTATCATCGATTTTTCAGGTTTGTAAAAATGCCACTGGGAAAATTTCTTTATAATGTTGAACAAAATAAACTTGTAAATCATCTTTAATAAACGATGCTAAATCATCATAATCTTTACGATTTGCTTCTGGTAAAATGATACTTGTTATACCACCACGTTTAGCCTATTTATAAATAATAAAAGAAAAGAATAATGATACAGAATAGGATTCGAACTTATGGCTTATTTATTGAAAGTTGAATGTTTTAACAACTTATTGAATAAATGAGATATCGCTTTGTGTCATTTGTCTCCTGTAGAGATGAAGTACGATAGGTGATATATATATATATATATATATATATAATCAGAATGGGTTTTGTGAACATTTTAGAAATTTCACTGGTTGAAATCATGAGTCAATTGAAGATAGACCACCATGGAAAACCTGGAAGCACTGGATGGACGTCTCGTCCTAGTATGGTACTCCTCAGCAGTGCGCATTCACGATCCCGCCCCCCATGAGATTCGAACCCACGACCTATCATGATTTCAACCCTGAAAATTCTAAAAAATCTCCACAAAACCCATTCTGATAATGATAATCATCTGCTCACTAGTGACTGATTTTAGGAGATACTCCTGGAGTTCTAGTGCGAAGTCGTTAGCAGAGGAGTTCAACTAGGTCTGTTGTGAGATATCAACTCACTGAAGACAATGGTATATGGTGGCGCGACTTCGTGGATTGGTTGCAGTTAGACATTAACACTGTTGGATGCCAGCTCAGTGGTCCAGTTGGTTAAGCGCCTGGCGCGAGACTGATAGGTCATGGGTTCGAATCTCGCGGGGTGTGGGATCGTGGATGCGCACTGCTGAGGAGTCCCATGCTGGGACGGAACAGTCGTCCAGTGCTTCCAGGTTTTCCATGGTGGTCTAGCTTCAATTGAGCTTCAACCAGTGAAATATATATAATCATAAAGGCAGAAAACTGTGATCAATGGTTGTAAATGGTGGGTAATATGGTTCAGAATTAGTTACAGTGGTGTAGATTATATTGTATCATATTATTATATTCAATGTTAAGTTTTTCTTACTACCCTTGTTACTATAAATATTCCAGGTTTTTTGCCATAAATTTCGATAATCTAATGTCGATATGTTTTAACAGGTTGGAGGTTAACTATCACTACCTAACTACCGTTTGAAAATGCGACCGAGATAGTTTGATCAGCACTAAACAACCGTGAAAATAGTCACTACTCCAGTGATCAATCAATCAAAATAATTCACTTTTATAGCAGGTCAGTCGTGACTAATATAGCTTATTGATAAGGTTTCAGACTATGCCACTAGATGACAAGGATTCGAATTATACAGGCATAATAAATCCTTTCAAGAAGAATGCTGACGAGTTCCACCCGGGACGAAAACCAAGGTTAAAAGTGAGTCGATGTAGTAACCTTGTATGATGTAACACTACTTATTGCACAAAGATTAGTTCATTTTCATTGGACAACGCATGTGTCACATGAAATATTGGATAATCGTTTAGAAGAAATGATAAAACTGTCTTAACTTTGTGTTCGATTCTAATACTGTTAAACAAGCTTCTTATTAGCAAGCCTAAACGGCTACTTCAGTAACAAGAAATCTTTTTATTAACCAACCGAATCGAAAAACAATTGTACACTCATTCACACATACATATATATATTTGTCCCCTAAAAACGTAAGCTACATTTTACACTAATAAGGTGTTTTCTTCTTTTAAAGGGAGAACAACACCTTATTCATTTGCATGAGGTCAACTATTTGGTTGATAATCAAGTGACCATCATCCTTTGTGTTAGTTCGTTAACCGGTTTACAAACTTATGAAAGTTGTGAAAGTCGAATCAATACTTTTTATTTATTTAAACACATAAATATTGGTACAAGGAGGCACCAAATATACATGCACCACACAAATCATTCGGTTTGTGTGAGGGCTGGAATATTTCCCAGGTGCCCAAACCGAATGAAGTGGTTTTCTCACGGGCCACTACCCGGAACTTTGATCTATAGATCTAATCCACAAAGCAATGAAGCAACGTTAGGAGATGCGACACCGTGGTAACCGGTGACCGACAATAGGTTCATAGACCATTTGTCTCCTCATGATCCTAAGGCCAATATGCACAATTGGTTTGGAATCAGGGTTTTCCAACTCCCCTGGGTGGACACGGAGGGTCTACCAACCAACTTCCTTGGAGTGACTGTATACACGTGACCGTAAGAGCGTTCGTGGGTCAAATCAATACTACCATATATCGATTCAAATAAAATTTCAGAAATTATCATATTATGAGGAAGTATATAACTTACTGCGATAACTTTCTCCTTGATACCACCGACTGGTAGAACTTTACCAGTTAAACTTATTTCACCAGTCATAGCTAGATTAGGACGAACAGGTTTACCACATGCTAAACTTAACAAAGCCGTTACCATGGTTACTCCAGCAGATGGACCATCCTAGTAATAATGAATAGGAAAATTTACAAAGGATAATAACAATAACAAAAAGGTGTGAGCGGAAGAAGTATGATTGTAAACTGTACAAAATGCGAAACAATAAACGACTGCCTGTTATATTTTGCTCTTCAACCTAGTTTGATACGGACATACAAGCTTCTTATGTTCAAATCGGAACCAACTACTTGAGTGTAAAAAACTGTTAGAGTGAAGAGGAAGCTTTATGAACTGAAAACCGAATAAGGATTATATACCAGGTAGACACCAAGCTCCCATACCTGATTAGCCCGATGTTACGCAAGTGACAGAACAGATCGAAATAATGTAGTAGCAGCAATAAAAAAACTAAACCGTGGAAATTTGCTTTAGGAGGACGGAATGGGAAGGTACATATGAAAGAATACTAGAATTGAAAATCCAGGAGTGAATGATTGTGAATCACATTACTCAAAGTCTCTAACACCTGATCGCGGCTATCTAACAAACACCAACCAGGTGGTCTACAACTGTCAACATGGCTCAATACAACAAACGGTGACTCCATAGTTAGGCATACGTAACGAATGTCATAAACACCTCAACTGACGAAGATTCACTACCTTGTTAACCGATTCGTCACTTTATCCAAGTACCCCAATGTTAAACCTCAAGAATGCTTATTTCGTGAATCCATGAAACGCAAGCAGTGCTTCGAAAACACCCATGATCAAAAACTCCCAGTCTAAGCAAATCGCTAACTTTTATAGACCATGTTTCACAGCCATAGAGTAAAACACAGCTGACTGCTAAGCAGTATACATCCCCTTTCGTTGGTAGACGTTTATCTCACATGTAGCATAAGTGACGCAACTTGGGAAAAGCCAACGGAGCTTTTGTCACATACCAACCCACCAGGACTGAAACTTCTTACTTACTTACTTACGCCTGTTACTCCTCGTGAAGGAGCATAGGCCGCTCACCAGCATTCTCCATCCAACCCTGTCCTGGGCAACTCTTTCCAGCTCCTTCCAGTTGTTATTCATCTTTTTCATATCTGCTTCTATTATCGGACGTAATGTGTTAAAGTAGCTAACACACTCTACAACTTTACTACCTATCACTAGAATAGACGTTTATGTCGATCAGTCCTGAAGCAACATTTTGCATTTGGAAGAAGAGAAATGCATCACAAACGCGCTAGCACTGTTACTTAAGGTGATCAAAAGGTTTTATATTTTTTTCGGAGTCTTCACTAAATAGAATTATGTCGTTTGGACCAACAATACATGTTGGTAGATGCAGACTACTTGGTTGAGATCCATGTGACTATCGTAACCAATAGTTGGAGACTCTTGGTGACATGGCTCAGAATCGATCACGATGGCATAGGTGTATACACTCTCTGTCTTCTCTTAAACTTTGAGATTAAAATCACTTCATATGTTTCTTTCTACCAACTAATTCTTTCTTCCTGTGCTATATCCTTATACGCAATCTTTCTTTTATATATTACACCATTGAGTAAACTGCTTTTATGAATCCGGTGTTCGTTTTGTTGTGCTAATGAGGTGTGGCAACTTGGACCGATGCATGTATATGCCTGGTCCTACGTTGTTACTGACTGACTGAAATGTACACTCATAAATGTATATCCTACTCCCTCAGAAAATAAAGTCACACTTATCTTTGAGTGTATATCTGGTTGGTCAAACTCATCAGTTTTACTTTGAATACAATAGATAAATAAATAATAATATACAAACCTTAGGTGTAGCACCTTGAGGAACATGTAAGTGAATATCAGATTCTTGAAGGAATAAAGCTGCTTTTGAAGATTCTGTTGGATTAAGCATACACTGTTCTTGATTATTATTACTATCAGCACTATCATTATCAGTGACAGTAGTTGTAGAAAAGCATGGAGCACCGGAAGCAGCGAATTGTGTAGCAAATGTATGAGCGATAGATATGGACTCTTTCATAACTTTTCCTAAACTTCCAGTTATTTGTAAAATCCCTATGAAATATACACAATAAGATGTTTTACTATTAAAACCCAAATGGGAGAAGAGAGACTTGAAAAATTTAATGAAAGATCGAATTGATTAATAAACAAAATTGAAGCATACAGACTAAGCAAGACACACGGGTTCTATCCGGGACTCTTCGACTGAATTTACATACATTACAGTGTTGGTATTAACACTGAAACCGGCTGTAAGTCCCAAATAAATCGAAATGAGCTTCTTATATTCCACTACTAGCCACAACTCAACATTAATAAATACTACCGATTATTACCAGTTAAAAAGTAGGAAAACTCGCTAAACGTACCTTTTTTATTAGATACTTCCTCCGAATCACTACTACTATCACTATGTGAATCAGTAGTATTGGTAGATTGGTAGAAATATTTCGGTTTTTTATTAGTACATTCAATATATAGAACAGAACCACCCATTGATGTCCAAGCTAAACCCATAACAACCCCAGGTGGTGTGATAGAATCGTACAAACGATCTGATGTCCAAATTGGTTGACCAACATATGTGGTTAAGTTATCACTATTGACTAGAATTGGTGGATCTTTCTCTGCATTGACTAATTGATAAGCAACTTTACGAACAATCTGTGTAAGAATAATGAAAAATGAAGCAATAATAGGGCAGGTAAGCTATACACCTTCATGTAATACTTATAGAGATGTATTTCTTAATAGAACAAGTAATAAAAACTTCATTTTAATCGGCTCCAGACTCCATTTTGATGTCTGCCTATGATTGTCCCACTTTAAGCATGACAATTAGTGATTAAAACGTACCATTTTCAGCCGCTAAGTTCGAGGTTCGAGTCTCTCTCCACCTATTTAGGTTTTGGCAACCAGGTAGTAAAATTAGCCCTTACACTTCGCGAGTGGCTCACATCCAAGTGCCTAGGAAATAAGTTCAATTTTTTTTAGTGAGAATTAATCCTCAGTCATCAATAAAAAAGCGTAGAATTTTTCACAAAAATACACAATGACTCTGTTTGGCACATATCACATAGGTACACAAAAATTACGTCAGGAATCAGGGTATCGGAGTTAAAAAAGAGTTTCAAGGTAATGGAGTTGGTTAACTTGCTCGACTACTTCACGTTCCATGGTCTTCGAACGAGTCTAAAGCACAACGATTAGTTGCAATATTTGCCAAGTTAGAAAATGGAAGGCCCAGGCTTTGAACAGGCGCCAGAAGTTTGAAAAAATTTGAAGATTCCAACATACGCAATTAATTACTTGAAGACATATTTAAGATGAAGTAATGCAGAAACCTAAAACACACTCCCAGTCTTTAGATTTATATTAACAGTTATAGTACGCTAGTTTATTTCCAGTATTATATGATGGGGATTTGTCCTTTCCTGGTCACCCACTCATCTTATCGAGGTATCAGAAAAAGGAACTGGATTAGATGTGGTCTTGATTAACTGGAAGTGTAACCACAGAGATCACACATCGTCTTTGACAGATGTTTTACATGTATTCCTTCCCTACTTTAAAGATCACACTATTATCGACTAAAATTCATAAGACAAGGCAGTGTCCTATATTTCATAGGATCGATCTCTCCTAACCATTTCACTATATTATGAAAAGTTATTGCTTTTAGTCTAACTGTTCTTCAACCTATCTGTCTAGCATAATAAAACCTGAAGGAACGAATATTCCGGCAAATATAAACTGAATTAGTTATCATAATATATATATGCAAAGCTCGATCATCGAGTTAAGGTAGTCAACTACGTGACTAACAATAATTCATTACTGTAATATGTGTGTAAATTCGTGTATGCACAAACACACATACATACATACACACACACATGTAGAAACTACCATTAGAAACCAAAAAACAAATGCATAAAACTTTGGGAAAACAAAGAAAAAGTAGTGACTAGAACAACAGAAATCATGGAATAAAACAAATAATGTTGGCTAAACAACGTAGATGTATGAGAACAAACCTATATGATGTAATAATGATAAACGTATTATTATTACGTGATCAAATGCAAGTAAATTAAAGGTGGATATGCCATTTGTTATGATTGAACTTATTCAATCAGACACATGTATATATATATATATATATAACATTATAGGGTAAACTCTTTTGCTAGTTCTTATATTGAGATATTCATTAGACTAATAAGGTTTTCAAAGAAGTTAGTTAAACTGACTAAGATATCCAGTTAGAGTTATAGTTTATTTGATTCTATCTGATATGTTTCAATCGCTGATTGTCCCAGTTTTATGAGGAAGGATGAACATATTCCATGATAACCATACAGGAATCAGTTTGACTAACATATATAATATCTAAATTATTAACTTCAGTACTTATGTGATACTTGTTTGGGAATGAGGAAACAGAAAACTAGGGAAAACCAGGCTGTTTTCACATATGACCTTGTATGTACTGACTCTCTGTCAGATGTTTGAAAATAAGCATATTTAAGAGTCCGCTCTCCCTCTCTAAAATGCTCTTATATGACCACGCGTATATAGCTATTGAAAAACAAGTTCTACACATTGCTTTCCGCAGAAGTGCTGTTATTTATGAAATTGAGAGGGTGAAAAGCGAATGTCTGGTGGGGGCTTAAACCAGGTCAATGGATACGAAGCATTCAATAAGGGAAGTTGGAAAACCCTGATTGCAGAACAATAGTGCACATAGGCTTTATGATCCTGAGGGAATGCATGACGTATGAACCTATTGTTGTTCACCGGCTACCATAGAACTGCATCTCCTAACGTTGCTCCACTGTCTTGTAGATTAGACCTTTGAGTCAAAGGCTTGGGGAGTGGCTCTCTACCAACTACTTCGATTTGGACGCTGTTGGGGTTCCTTTCATTGGAGTATCTGTAATTATATCTAGCGGAAGCCTCACTCGACTATCTACCGTGTTTAGATTCCTTTTCCCTGTGTATTTCATTCCCACGCACTTTGTATAAAACATTTCCTATTCTCTTCTCAGTGACTCCCGGTTACCAACGATTTTTCCCTATGTATGATTTGACGAGCACTTTATCACCGACGTTAAAACTACGGATATTCTGATTTTGTCTGCATCCATCCATTGGTTTATGTGGTAACATGACGTCGAATATAGTTCCGATGCTTCACCCGAACATCGCTTCAGCAGGGGATTTACCATCTAGGACGATAGGGTTAAGCGTAGTTCTGTAAGCCGTTAAGAATTTCATAATTAACTGACTTGTCCCCTCTCCTTCCCCTTTTAGTAGTGCTCTTTTGAATGTGTCCACGAAGCGCTCTGCCTGGTCATTTGATTGAGGGTGATAGGGTGGAAATCGTATATATACAATCCCATTAATATTGCAGAAGTGCTTGAATGATTCTGGAGTGAATTGTGAGCCGTTATCGGTCAATAAAGTCTCCGGAACTCCAAAGCAGCTAAAGAGTTCGGATAACTTGTTGATTGTTTCACTGGCTAAACTTCAAGTGAACGCTGACTGGATAAATGCATCTTAATGTTTTCCTGATCCTTTCTTGTCTTTTCCGAGGAGTTTTCAGGATCACAACAACAAATACAATTGAAACTAATTTCAGTAACTGACGATATTGTGGTTGAAGGCTGATATTCTATATTTGATATTTAGAGAATCAAGTGAACAGAGTGTTATAAACAGTTAACTTGTAGTCATTTAATTGCGAAAGTGATTGTTGTCGACTACTCATTAGTCATCACAATCAATAGATTTACTAGGTGTCAGTCAGTCAGTCACCTACAACGTAGAATAAGGCACATATATGCATCGGTCCAACTTGCCATACCTCATTAACACAACAAGATGAACACCGGATTCATAAAAGTAGTTAATTCAGAGGTGGTAATATATAAAAGAAAGATTGCAATAAGGATATAATACAGGAGGAAAGAATTAGTTGGTAGAAGGAAAGATATGAAGCGATTTTAATCTCATAGTTTAAGAGAAGACAGAGAGTGTGTACACCGACGCCATTGTGATCGATTCTGAACCATGTCACCAAGAGTCTCCAACCATTGATTACGATAGTCACGTGGACCAAGTAGTCTGCATCTCCCAAAATAGCTCATACTAGAAGTTAGTAACTTCAAGCACTGATGCCACGTTTTGGTTTGGCCGCCCCTAACTTTTTTCCAACCATCTCTAACACCAGTTAGCATTGCACGACGTAGTAATCAGTGTTCAGCCATACGTAACACGTGACCCAACCAACTCAGTCGATGAAGATTCACAACCTCATCAACTGATTTACCATCATTTCCTAATACCCTGCGTCTAACCTCACTATTACTTACCCGGTGATCTCAGCAGATGCGAGCAATATTTCTAAGATATGTATGACCAAATGCTAGTAACTTACGAGTGTCTTCTACTCTTAATGGCCATGTTTCTCTGCCGTAAAGTAAAACAGAACGGACTGCCGCGCAGTATACTCGTCCTTTTATTTATAGACGGATATCTCGCCTTCACCAAAGGTGACGTAAGTTGGCAAAAGCCAAGCGAGCTTTTCGAATCCGTGCTGAGATCTCGTCAGACACCAACCCATTAGGGCTGATCAGACTTCCAAGACAAGTGAAGTTGTCAAAGCGTTCGACTACTTCACTCCCTATCCTTAGTTCAGGTGTTGACGCAAACCAGTCCTAAAGCAACAACTTGCATTTAGAGGGAGATAAACGCATTCCAAACACCTATTTACTAGGTGTAAATCTATATGAGATGGTGGAGAAGATTTGTAGTTCAGGTGGATGATTTTGATGGAGTTTTGTTCTCTGAGCTGGATGGTTTGGTCGTGGAGCTTTCATCGTTCCATTCCATTGTAAATCTATATACTTAACTTCTAGTCACATTTCAAATTTAATAACTAATAATACTACCACTTAAAGTAGATGAAACAAGTAGGATTCGAACTTGGGACTCAATATAACTATAAATTACAATTAAACTATTTATTATATATCGATTAGACTTACTTTTTCAATATGCTTTTGTAGATTACGTACACCACTTTCACGACAATATTGTTTAATTAAACGTTTGATTGCATTATCATCAATTAAAAGACGATTATCATCTAGACCACAATTTCGAGTAGCCAATGGAAGAAGATAACGCTGTGTAGACATAAATAAAGAAAAAAGAAAGTTTTAAAATGATGAAGTTCTAGCGGTGTCTTGTAAACAGTGATTACATTACGCGATATTGTCCAGAACTATACACTAAGGTTTCATATTTAAACGATTCAACTTAGAGATCATGAAAGTAATAAAAGACTTGTTATTTGCATAACAATAATGATGTTCTTATATTACTATAGAGAAGTAACCTTAGACCGATACAGTTGGATATAATGTAATGTCAGTTCACTTACTACGTATAATACATTTTATTATTTATTTACTTTTTATTTATTTTAACACATAGATATTGGTACAAGGAGGCACCAAATACATATGCACCACACAAATCTCATTCGATATGTGTGAGGGCTATAGTACTGCCCGGGTGCCCAAACCGAAGCAGGTGGTTTTCTTACGGGGCCACACCCAGAGGCTTCGACCTGAAGGTCTGATCCATAAGGCAGTGGAGCATCGTAAGGAGATGCAGTCTCATGGAAGCCGGTGACCAACGATTGGTTCATACGCCATTTGTTCCCGCAGGATACTGGAGCCCATGTGCACCATTGGTTTGGGATCCGGTTAAAGCGCCGGATATTCGCTTTCTGTCCTCTCGATTTCGTAAACAACACCCCCGCCACGAGAAGGCAGTGAGTAGGACTTCCCTGGCAGAGGCTATATATGTGTGGCCGTGTGCGAGCATTTCGAGAGGGAGAACGGATTCTCCCCACTCTCGGCCGTACCAGGGCATTTGGGGGCATAATACATTTTAAGAATAAACATATCCCCCCCCATTTTTCATGTATTCTAAAGTGAACTTGATCAAAAGTCTGTTGATATATTAGATTCTGGGAATAGACAAATGGATCGAGTATCTTCTACTTTGGTCGGTAACAAATTATTCATTATAGCATTAAGGCTACCTGTTATAATTGGAGTGATCACTTCTGAGTATAATTGTCCATAGAAACTACACACACAGGGATGAACATATTACATGATAGATTATATCTTACTATAAGTTACTACTTAAAAGGTTAGCAAAATGTTTCTAAATACAATCGAATATTTAATTAATTTGAACATATGGGTCGAGTTCCAGATTTCATTAATATATTCAATGGACAAAAGTATTTCAGCGTAAATCCCCATCTACAATTACTGACTCTTTATATTAAAATGCCTAATTTACAAGAATTGTAACCAAACAAACATCATTTCAACGAAAAGCAATATTATTGGAATATAATCATGAATAGGATCAACGGGAAGATACAAGCCAAATAATACCAAGTGAATTGAAATTCACCCCATTGCACAAGCAAGTGGCTATCAGGATTCAGTAGCTAAGTAGATAAAGCGATGTTGTTTGAAGCGAACGGTACTGGGTTGGAGTCCCAGAGTGAACATCAAATCTGATATGCAGGTACATCCAACTGACGAGTCCCAAATAGGACGAAACGCGCGTCAAACTGGATTCCACTGCTAGCCACTATCCATCATTGCTTACAAAAGCTTGTGAATTAAGGCAATATCGACGCATACGCACAGTATGCACATATGTCAATAACAGACTGATCATTTGCAGTCTTAAACCTCAATGGGAAGATACAAGCCAAATAATACCAAGGGTCAAGAGTTGCTGATTAAACACAAACCAAATTTAAGTATAGGAATGTAGAAATTGTTGAATTTTATTGAAATCATGCGCCGATCTAAATTAGACTACCACAGAAAACTTCCAAGCAATGAGTAGGATTCCTCAACAGTACATTTCCACGATCCAGTGATTGGAAGTTGAATTTAGGACCTTCAGTCTCGTGCAAGAACACTTAACCTCCAGATCACTGAACCGATATCCAGTGGAGCTAATATGTGTCCAGTGTAACGCAGTTACCTACCGAAGACAAGGGGAGATGGTCGTGGATTGATTGAAGTTAGGTAGGTACACCGTTGGATGCCGATTCAGTGGTCTAGAGGTTGTTGAGCGTTTGCATATGAAAATGGAAGTATTGGATTCGAGTCCGCAAGCAGGATCATGGATGCACATTACTGAGGAATCTCATATAGAACAAAGAGGCCGTCTAGTGCTTCAAGGTTTTCAACGGTGATCAGTTCATGATTTCAGTGACAAATCAAATTGTTGAAACCATAGTCCTTCTATAGACTTAAACATTTACCAGATAAGTCTAAATACGAATGTAAAGCTTAAGTAAATAACTTCGTTGAGAAGAAAATCCTCTTCACTGAATCCTGATTAGTTTTATTTTTTCATAGTCATCTGTTTTCCAAAAAAATCAATCCGAATAAATTATTGTCACTTGATTGAGAAACTCATTGTTTGTAACTGGATGCAAACATATGGGTAGAGTTCTATGTTCCGTATAACTAAACGACTACTTAGTATCATTTAGTAAACTGTTCTGTCATCTACTTGTTCAACACAGTACTTCACACCCTTACCATTTAAACAAAAAAGTCAACCAATTTAAAGTACTAGTTTGTTCAATCTATGAAATTTTCTCATAAAAGCTTTGTTTGAATATATCGATTGTATCCCCTTCACATAGTGCTCACCACCCGTCCTCGTTTGCGACACTACAATAGTATCCTTATAGTTAAAGATATTACTGGATAGTTGCATAAGTCAACTCCATTTAACTTCATCGTTTTATATTTCATTATCTTTGTATTGTGCCGTTGCAGGTATTCCCACAATACTATTTTGAATTTTCGTAACGAAAGGATATCAAATGAGGGTACGTGTTTGAAGATCAGAGAGGATAATACTAGATGTTGACTGGAAACACATGGACAATCATTGTTGATTGTATAGGAACATTTTCGTGATCTAGTAGTCATCTATTAGCTTTAAGTAAGGCGGTTGCTTAGTGGTTAGGAAGAACCACTTTCCGTCATTAATTCTCAAACTCGAACCCCGATCTACTTACTTCAAGTTCAGCAACTAGTTGACTCCCACGCTTAGAGTTTAGCTTACAATCAAGTCTAATTATTTATTAGTTAAAATCGGACCAATTAAGAAAGGTGTATAGTTCAAGTACAATATGATGTGTCACTTGTTATATATATGACTAACTACCATATTAATTTAGTTTATGCATTTTATGAATTACTGTATTATAATTTTAAATGATTTTTGTAATGAATAAAAGAACTTACTTTTGCAATGGCTAATTTTTCTTCTTCAATATAACCGGATACTTCAATCACTTCCATACGATCTCTTAATGGTTCTGGAATTGTATCTAATTGATTTGCTGTTGTAATGAATAATACACGACTTAAATCTACTGTAACATCAAGATAATGATCAAGGAAATTAACATTTTGTTCTGGATCAAGTAGTTCTAATAAAGCACTAGCTGGATCACCTTGCCATCCACGACCTAATTTATCGATCTATAAAATGTATAGAAATACAATAGACATGAAACGATGACAATAATTAAAATGATAGAAAAATCAAACCTAAACTAATTTATTGTGGAAGTTGTACGTATCGTACGGTATTCAATTTTGATGCTGATATACAATCTTTTTATACACAACCCTAATTGGTTACTTGAAAGAAAAGACTGAGAATGGGAGAAAAAGTTGATTGATTAAATAAAATCGAAATGAATATATACTCATTTATATAAATATGTTTGTCCCTTTCGAAAATTAAAGCACCAATGTTGTTTATTTTTTTATTTGGACACATAAATATTGGTACAGTGGGGCACTGAATACATATGCGTCACACAAGTCACAGATTTGCGTGTGGGCTGCACTGACCGAAGCAGGTTGTTTTCTCAGGGGGCCACATCCGGAGCTTCCGAACTAAAGGTCTGATTCACAAAGCAGTGGAGCAACTTTAGATGTAGTCCCATGATAACCGGTGACCAATAGTCGGTTCGTACTCCATTTGTTCCTTCAGGATCCTGGAGCCCATGTGCATCATTGGTTTAGAATCAGGGTTTTTCAACCCCACTAGGCGAATCCTATGTATCCACCAACCCGGTTAAATCGCCGGACATTCGCTTTTCGTCCTCTCAATTTCGTAAACAATACCCGTAGTGTGAGAAGGCAGTGAGTACGACTTCCCTGGCAGTGGGTGTATACGCGTGGCCATGTGAGAGCATTTCGAAAGAGAGAGAGAGAGCTAACTCTCTCCACCCTCGGCCGTACCAGGGCATTTTGGGGGTAATGATGTATGCCTTATCGCTTAAAAATATGAGTTATTCCCTAGTCAATCACAAGCACTTATCATATAATCGATCTTTGATTGTCACAATACATCAGAATATTTCCCAGAAAATCAAAGGAAAACGTATTGTTTTTATTATTGGTTTTTTCTAGTAAATTTTTAAATCACACGAAAGCTTTTTTCGACGAATTGAAGTTTGGAAATTAAGTGTCTAATTCTCAAGAACAGAGCAATATATTTCCATACATACTTATCCATTATTCCAAATGGTATCATCGTTGATAGGGAGTACAATGAAATGTCTTTTTTATTGTGACGACGGACCACGGGTGAACTTGAGGAAACTGTAGGAGGTTCAGAAGGAGCCGGAGATATTCTATCCAATCACGTTTTGGAAGAATATTCTAGAATTCCTACGTGTAGCTTCCCGATTGGACAATGCTAATAATCCCCTGTTTGCGGATTGGAGGACTGTAAAGATGATTTCGTTCTTACTAAGAACTATAAATACCTGACAATTTTGTACTATAATTGACACTGTCTGGAAATAATATCCCTTTCATTAGTCTACTGTCTTCTCATTGAGACTTGGAAGGGTTCTAGCGTTCTAATGCTCACGTTATACGCAGTACATCAAGAACAACATTCTAGATATAACATTTATCATATTCATAATTGCTAGGAGGCTAGGTAGAAATGTTACTTTAATGAAGGTGTATATAATTATTGATGTAAAGTCTTTGTGAAGATTTGTATATGTAGGTGATATTCATCACGGATTGGTCTTAGATGAAATATCACTGAAGATTAGAGAGTATTAGTGTTATGTCCCGATAAGCATAATGAATGGTAACATTTGGGATACATTCATGGACCAAAGCTATGCGTATATGTCTATCGTATAATTGGTATATAACTAAACTATTCATATTCGTATTCCTCTTATCATAAGCTTCATTTTGACCTATAAATTATTATTATACGTTTTACTATTCTTGAATTATGCCTGGTCTATCAATTACTACCTTCCACATTCACAGCCACTCTTTTGGCTAGATCTTGCACAAATGTGTATCTTCTGTATTTTATGGTACGATGTGGTCTGTTTGGTTGGTATATAAACCAGTATATTTGAAATATATGATTGATATCACATTGACTGAGATTGATGTTCTGAACTCAAGAGACAGGCAGGGTTAGTCAGGACCAATAAGGATTCTAGACTGTTCGTACTTGTTTTATGCCTCATTGGTCCAGTCGATAATTCATTGATCGCTAATTGATGATATCATTATGTATACATTAATAGGGCACACAGGTCACAAGTTATAACAATTAGACAGGTAATTAAACCGAGTATGGTACTGCAGACTAGTGCGAAATCACTATACACCAACAATTATAATAAACCAGGTATTTTCTTTTCGAAAATTTCTACAAAAAAAAAGAGTTATATCCAACCGACCCACCCCCGTTCAAGATATTTTGAAATCATTTCATGTTTTTTTTTGCCCACTCCCATGTATATCTCGAAATAATTCTATTCACCATAGTTTGCCCATAATCATTAATTAGATACGTAGAATATTCGTTACCAAGTATGCATATGTATAAATAGTATTATATGTACATGTATATATATGTATATAGATATACAAAACATGAATGAAAAAACGAAAACATACTTCATCGATTAAAATGAGTGGATTTTCAGTTTTAGTTTTTTTAAGACATTGAATAATTTTACCAGGCATAGCACCAACATAAGTACGTCTATGACCTTTGATTTCAGATACATCAGACATTCCACCGACAGAAAAACGAAAATACTATAGAAAGAAAAACAATGGAGAGAGAGAGATAATATTTTATGTTAGTGAACAGATAATGAATACAGTGGGAGGGGAATAATGACAAATTAGTTTTGGAGGCTATAAACTTTCATCGGCTGTAGTAATAGGAATATATGTATAAATACCGAACCTGCCAATATGTTGACGCATAATGATGAGTTGAGTAGGACAAGAATGAAGGAGTGAACAGACCAAGATATGGCATTAGCAACTAATATCAGCCTAAGGCATCCTTAATGATGCAGACTTATTTGGTTGGGGTCCGTGAGGTTATCCTAAATCACAAGTACTTGGTCATAAATGTCTTCGAATGATTCCTCGCATGTGTTGGAACAAGTGGGTGGTAATGTTGAGTTAGATTCAAGTTACTAGACAGAAGTAGCAGATCGATTAAATTTCTAACAATTTACATGGTTGAGACAGATACTATTCATGATAAACCACCCATCAACCGCAAAACATGGAGTAGGTTGAAAGAAAATTATAAGTAGGCAAACGATAGCTCCTTTTATCTGTTTGTTTTCTTTGTTTTAACACATCATCATTTCAATTAAACACATAACTTATTCAAGTGCGTTTATGAAGAAAAAAACTCATGACATTTCGGTGTACAAGTTCCAAAAAAGTACAACCATTAGAGACATCCTGGTGGCTGACAATATGCATTGAAAAAGAATGACCACTATTCAGATGTCGATTTCTGAAACTGCTAATACCTAACACTGACGACCACTCAATATGTTATCGTCAGGATTGATCAAGAAATAAAAAATGGGAACTTGTTAAAGTACTTTGTGATGAGGATTCTATATTCTACCAAAAATACATGATATTGAATAAAGCTAATAATAATTAATAATAATAATAATAATAATAATAATAATAATAATAAACCAAGAAAAGAATAAGACAAACTTTTCTATTTAATGCACGAGCTATTGAATTAGCAATACTGGTTTTACCAACTCCAGGTGGACCACAAAAACATAAAATTTTGCCTTGTGTTGAACCTTTCAATTGACTAACAGCAATGAATTCCTATAAAAGAAAACAAAATACCGAAGAAGAGGTCATTTCCGGAGAAAACAAAAATAAAACAAGACAACGATAGATAAGGAATAATCTTCGATAATAAACAGAAGAAAATAAGAGAACACGAGAGAACAGTCAAATATGTGTGTGATTTATTCACAAGAATGATTTTATCAATAAGTATTTTAAGTCAAAGAATCTAAAGTTAGTCAGCTACAACGTAGGATCAGGCACATATATGCATCGATTCAAGTTGCCATACCTCAATGATTAGCACAACAAGATGAACATCGGATTCATAAAAGTAGTTAATTCAATGATGGTAATATATAGAAGAAAAATTGCACATAAAGATATAGTATGGCAACACGAACTGATGTATCTACGTACGAAGTTCTATGTTGTCACTGACTGACAGGAAGAAAGAAAGATATAAAGCAATTTTAATCTCATAGTTTAAGGGAAGACACAGAGTGTATACACCGACGCCATTGTGATCGATTCTGAGCCATGTCACCAAGTCTCCAACCATTGATTACAATAATCACGCGGACCTTAATCAAGTAGTCTACATTTATCAACATGTCTAAGACTAGCAGTTAGTGACTTCAATCACTGATGCCACATTGTGGTTTGGCCACTCCTAACTTTCTTCCATCCATCTCCAATACTAATCAGTATTGCACGTCATGGTAATCGAAGTTCAGGCATACGCAGCACGTGGGCCAACTATCTCAGTCGATGAAGATTCACAACCCATCAACTGATTTACCATCATCATTCCTAATACTCTGCGTCTAACCTCACTATTACTTACGCGGTGCTCCCAGCAGATGTGAGCAATATTTCTAAGGCATCTGTGGTCAAGTACTAGCAAACTACGAATATCTCCAACTCTTAATGGCCATGTTTTGGAGCCGTAAAAGAGAACGGAAAGAAGTATTGCGCAGTATACTCGTCACTTAATTGATAGATGAATATTTCGCCTTCACCACAGATGACGTAAGTTGGCTAAGAATCCAAAACAACACAACAAGTTACTTGTTAAACTTTGACTCAAATAGGATGATGTTAATATGCATAGAAATAACTATTAACTAGCAATTCGTGACTTAACGTAAGCCACTTCTTCAGAATAAACAAATAACTGATCATTCATTTACTCTGAAGAAGTGGCTCACGAAATGTTATCCGACTTACAATTTTTCTACTCATTGGGACATAAAAAAAAAAAATATATTTATTATTAACTTTCTATCCAATGCACAACCTATTTGATACTATCAAGTCCAACCATGGTATTGATACATAACGACTAGCGGTTAGAATTGTGTTGTGACTAATAAGAATGGTAATTTAATTATCACATTATATGCAACAAAAAAATCCTAATCAACAAGTTGAATATAAGTAGACAAAAGATGCCAACTAGTTACCACCACCTCCAGGGTGGTTGTCACTTATTCACCTGTGAACCTATAGCATCATCTATGCTACAAAAATACCAGGATTGTATTATGATTTAGGAAAAGATCGGAGCATAAACGAAAGAATTTGATAATGAGTGACTTTATATAAAAAGACGTATCATAGATAAGAGTCAATTAATAAATCCTGGTACGGTTTTTTTAAGTAATAAATTGATAGAATAATATTACACAATATAAATCCCTTATTGAAATGTTTGATTGCCTTATTAGTTTAACCATCTAAATAATAAAGTCTCTTTATACCATTTTAATGACCATTATTATTATTGCTATTACGTAATTGTTGCCTTTTCTTTTTACCAGTTATAACAATTTGCATTTTCTTGCACTCAATTACGTCATGATCCTTCACTCTTTCACTTCATTTCGCTGGCCCGAAAACTTAAATTTTTTTTTACTAGTGAACTAAATAACTTTATACATGTTCGGCCAACAAATGTAGATTAATATCAACTACAGTAAATATATCCTGAGCTTCAAAGTGTGCATCTACAACGCCTCATGCAATAATCAAACTGTTATAATCTCTTTTCTTACGGTTATGACCCAGCTATTCTGAATGCTTAGTATTCTCGGACACCGATTCACTCGACAAGTCCCCAAATCAGAACACGGTTGAACAGGAAAGAGATTATAATCCAAATAACAAGGTTAGATGGAAGTAAGAAGCAAGTCAGAAGCACAATAGAGAAAACGTCAGTATATTTATAGTTTTTTACATGAGAAGATTCTAGAGTATTCTCCAACTATCGACTAGTGCTGATTGGACAAGAATTAGCCAATCAGCGTGCACCAAAGCAATCGTGAATTGAGCATGCTTTAATCCGATCAATGTCCCGCTAACACAAACCAAGGACCTTCAACCTCCTGCGCGAACACTTAACCTCCACACAACTAAACCCAAAAAAATGAAATTTATCAATTTATCCGGAACCCCATACCGACAATTATCATGTGCACACTAGTGACTAGCTTCGAGAGAGAAGCCGTGATCAGTGGAGCTAAAGTGTGTCGAGTGTGAGGCAGTTACCCACCGAAAACAATACAAGACGGTTGCGAAATGAATTGATTAACGTTAGACATGAACACTACAGAATTTAGGCCTAGTGGTCTAGAGGTTAGGGAATCGCACGCAACAACGTAGGTCATGAGTTCAATTCCCGCATGGAGAATCGTAGGTGGGCTCTGCTGAGGAGTTCAATACTGAGATGAGACGACCGTCCAGTGCATTCAGGTTTTAAATAGTTGTATAATTTAAATCGGCTCTTGATTTTAATGTAACTCTCCGTTGCTTGATCAAGTTCAGGAAACGAAGTGTTATCTTCCAAATTACGTGTTTATTATTATTTATAAATTGACCAGATAATCAGTTTTGAACAAGAGCTTTTCTGAAAGGACCGATTTTTTCATCAACCAGGATTTCCAACAATGTCACCTTTTCACAATAGAAGCAAATAGTTGGAAAAGTTTGTATCTAAAAATAACACACCTTACGTTGGTCCATTGATTTCCGTTACCGGTCGGAAGGTCTAAAAAGTTCAGAGCTAACACATAAAAGCCAATTAAGAAAAGGTTCTGAAATTGATATCAGGGAGTTGGTCCTTGAAATTTCCGGTCACTTAACTTAGTTTATTTTAGAGGTCCATCATGAAGTAATCTTCTACAACGTGGACAACTACGAAGTGACAACCAACCTTATACCCTTATTAACATCTGCGGAATAAGCTAAAAGGAATTATATATATATATATATATATATATATATATATATATATATATATATATATATATATAGTCTATCATATAATGAAAGATAGGAATGAATATGTTAAAATCAAAAGAATTACCAGAATACGTTTTTTCACATCATCCATTCCATAATGATCTTCATCTAAAATTTTCTTTGCTTGTCCAATATCTAAATGTTCTTCACTTGTTACACCCCAAGGTAGTGCAGTTAACCAATCCAAATAATTACGTGTTACACTGAAGAACGTATCATGTATATTCCCCCGACCAGCGAAAGAAAAATAAAAGGAAAATAGTTAAAGTAGGAATAACACATGATATATTTATTATATTAGTGGAGTTTCGCTTATTAAGCTGACTAGTTTCGCCGTGAAACATTCATTGTTCTTCTGAACAACATCATCGACACAAACTTCAGGTAGAAGTGAAGCATCTGAATTTCTCTACATATGATTAATAGCTTGTCCTGTCAACCTTGGTCTCGATGGATTACTATTGACTCATAATCTGTCATTATCTGCATTTGATTCTTGGGAGATATAATTAATATAAAGATGCAGATAATAAAAGGGTTAAAGGTCGACAATAATCAATCGAGATCGAGGGGAAAAATTCGAATATCTTATCGAATCTAAAGACTCTGACTTGAGACTAGTGATGTAAATGGGCTTCACGGTCCTTGGATATGAGCCGACTCCAGTAGATGGCTATGATGAGACTACATTTCATAATATTGCTACAATGACTTATGCATGAGACATTTAGGCGAGAAGATAGATAAGCGCTCCTTAAAACATAACCTGTTTGGTTTGGGGACCTGAGTAGTACTATATTTTCCAAGGAACACAGAAAGCGTGCATATCAGTATCAACATCAAACAATATCTTCTAAAGAAAAAAGGAAAATTAAAGGTCTATAGACTTAATTAGTGTTAATTATGGTTTATTATGTTAAAATGTTAATATTATAGTTTGAGAGATCCGTCTATCAATTAAGGGACGAGTATACTGCGCAGCAGTCCGTTCTGTCTTACATTACGGCTGCGAAACGTGACCATCAAGAGTTGAAGATACTCGTAAGTTACTAGCATTTGATCACAGATATCTTAGAAATATTGCTCGCATCTGCTGGGATCACCGGGTAAGTGATAGTGAGGTTAGACGCAGAGTATTAGAGAATGGTGATAGTAAATCAGTTGATGGGGTTGTGAATCTTCATCGACTGAGATAATTGTGCCACATGTTACGTATGCCTGAACACCGATTACCACAACGCACAATGTTGAATAGTGTAGGGGATGGTTGGAAAATTGTTATGGGTGGCCAAACCAAAACATGGAATCAGTCATTGAAGTCACTAACTTCTGGTGTGAGCCATGTTGGTGGTAGATGCAGATTGCTTGGTTGAGGTCCACGTGACTGTCGTAACCAACGTTGGCGTATGTGTATACACTCTCTGTCTTCCCTTAAACTATGACATTAAAATCATTTTATATTTTCCTTTCTACCAATTAATTTTTCTTCCTATACAATGTCCTTATATGCAATCTTTCATTTATACATTACTATCATTGAAGCAACTACTACTTATAGACAAATCATTCAGATTTCGACGCAAAATTCACTCATTCATTTGATTAAACAACGCTTTGGCATTTTAGCTGATGTCATTTAGTGATGCAAACCTTTAAATCTAACCATCTTTATATGCAATCTTTCTTTTATATATTACCACCACCGCCGAATTAATTACTTCTGTGAATCCGGTGTTCATCTTGTTGTGCTAATGCGGTATGGCAACTTTGACCGATGTATATATATGCTTGATTCTACGTTGTAGCTGACTGACTGACTGATTATAGTTTGAAAATGATTTTTTTTTTAAAAGAAAAACTAATTCACAATAAAATTACTGACTTGAATTCTGAAGAGTGATTATCTAAAACGCTTAATTTATTCAATTCTTCATCGATCACTTCCATAACACCAGATGGAACAGTTAAATCCTGAAGGAAACAAGAAGAAACAAACAAAAATTAACTGGTTGTAACAGAGTTCTATGTGTGTGTGTGTGTGCAGACTATCGCTACTATATCCGTCGATAGTGATAAGAAGTAATGGAAAATTTAGAAGATCTATGAATTGTGATGATTGATGCAATCGAGATAAATGAGATTAGTTGCAATACGTCATAGAACGAAAAGACAATTGTATCTCATCAACTGGTAACGTTAAGTATGAATTACGTTAGATTGTTTTTTTTGAGAGTCACCAAATAATCCTTGCCCATTGTGCACTGCGGTCACGCTCTCAGATCATATAAACTAACTCTAACCCAATTTTTTTTCAGGTACTTCTAGAAGAACCCTTCCACGGTGTAGGCAACCGGGAAGTGATGACCACCCTTGTACTTCTAACAGCACTGAAGACTGACTGAAAGGATTATAAGTCACACTTTGATTAGATAATTACTTATTTTGCTACCATATTTATTATGTTTCCACAACTGTCATCTCAAAACTCATATATAAACTCCATTTTCTGTGCATAGATCAACTTTAGCATAAAGCTTTTACTCATAATTCGCATCTTTTCTCTATTGTTCAGGCTTAGGTGTAAGAGTTGTTTAAGGGGATAAAGGAAGAGGTTAGTGAGGTTAACAACGAATGTTTATATACCAGACGTATCAAGTTTTAGTGAGAAGTTGACAGATTGGAGTTATTCTCAACTATCTGTTATGGAATTGTTCAGTGCAGTGAATGCAGCTCAATATCTCAAATGAAAAACATAAATTAAGGCTTAAAGTGAAATCTCTAATAAAAGCTAAGTTCTGATATAAAGCATTCATCTACTGAATGATCAAAAGTGCTGAATACAATATATGTAATAAACATTGTAGATGTTATGAATAGTTAGTCAGAAAATTGTATATCGATTTTACAGAATGGCCTTAAATAACGTTCATTTAAGCATCATTGGAATAGCAAACTGATCTAAGTTAGACAATTATTGAAAACCTGGAAGTACTAGATAACCATTTCAGCCTAGCATGATACTCTACAGCAGTGAGCATCGACGATCTCCAAAAATGCAAATTGAACCGATAAACTTCAGTCTCACACTCAAAGAGATGAATTTTGGCTGGTAATGGCATTCAAGAAATATTTCTCACTTAATCAACGACTCGTCAGCTGTATTTCCTTGAATCTTAGTGTTGTTTTTCCGATTGAGAATGAAATCCTTTAGCTTTAAATATGCAACGTGTTATCCATTGAACTACTGAGTCCAGATAAACATTAAATTGTCCAGTGTATGATGTCTAAATGATTATTAGTAAGATTTTGAATTAGCCTGTTGAATCCCAAAGAGGATGAAACGCGCATTCTGGACTCCACAAGTAGCTCAAGTTCATTTATTGTAAAATAATGGTCATATTATTGAGGCAATTCACACAAGATGCCAACGAACACCAACTGAACTCAGTCCTGAATATCAATACTAATGATAAAAATAGAAAAAAATGTTCTGCTTAACCATTCACTCACCTTTAAACGCATACGAAACTTTTCAACAATTGTATCTTTATCATCTTTCTCTAAACCTAGTTCTTTTTTAATTACTTTCAATTGTTCTGAAAGCATATAACGTCTGTGTTGTTGTTTAACTTTCTCTTCAACTTCACGACCTATTTGTTGTTGAAGTCGACCTAATTCATATTCTTTTTTAACTAAATTTAATGATAATCGAAGACGTTTATGAATATTCATTTCTTCTAAAACTGCTTGTAATTCTTCTGTATCACCGGCACTACACATTGCGGCTCCTATTCAATTGAAAAAAAAATCGATAAGTAAAAGGTACACGGGTGAATTATTGTAAGGTATTTTAGAGATGGTCAGATCTGAATTGGTTAAACAATTATTCAAACCTAAAGGGCACTGGGCAGTTATTTTGTTTATGCATGGGAATCCTCAGGAGTTCACGACCACAACGCAGTCGAGGATTGAAACCAGGACCTTTAAGCTTTACCATAAGATTAACTCCCGACCAATGGGTTGATGTGCGGTGTTTTGAATTTATAAATGCAGTCAATTAGCGATATTTTAAGCAAAGTCAGTTCGTGTTGTGAAATCAGTTTTTAATTACGGATTAAAAAAGAAAATATATTGCCTCTAGGATGTATCAAGGTTGCTAGATACGTAGCCTACCATAGCACTTAAAAGCACGACAAATGAAGGTTACAAAAATTTATTTTACGGAACTAAGAGCGTGTAAGCCTGCTTCAAATTTGTGCTTATACACTTGTCTCGTGTCCGTCTCCTTTGTTAAAAATGACCTCTGAAGGTGTCCTCAGTAGTCAGGATTTAAAGCTGCTCTCGTTTATAATTCGCACAAGTTTCACCTGGTCCTCCCAGAAGATAAATTTGTATTTCACGAATAAAAATAGGCTACTACAATCGACTAAATCTAGTGCGCGCCCCCAAATGCTTTCAAATGACCACGTATATATAGCCTCTACCAGGGAAGTCCTATTCAATGCCTTCTAGCACCACGGGTGTTGTTTACAAAATCAAGAGGGCGAAAAGCGAATGTCCAGAGCTTTAACTGGGTTGGTGGACATGTGGACTTCACCTAGGGGAGTTGGAAAACCCTCATTCCAAACCAATGGTGCACATGGACTCCAGTGCTCTGAGGGAACAAATGGCATATGAACTAATCGTTGGTCACTGGCTACCATGGGACTGCATCTCCTTACGATGCTCCACTGCCTTGTGGATCAGACCTTCAGGTCGAAGCCTCTGGGTGTGGCCCCGTAAGAAAACCACCTGCTTCTGTTTGGGCACTCTGAGAGAATTCCACCAATCAAACAAATCGAATGATTTATGTGGCGCATATCTATTTGGTGCCTTCTTGTACCTATGTTTATGTATTTAAATAAATAAATAAACAAAAAGTGAGCAAAACAGGATAAATTAGAGTCGTGTTCGAATTGAGAAATAGAAAAACTAGAAGACAGTCACTATTAAATGTACAGCCATATTTCAGTCATGCAATATTGTCTTTGTTTGAATCAATCTTCCTAGATCATTACCGATACATCTTCAGAGTGAGCATTTTTATAATTAAAATTATGCTTAAATTGATTGTAAACAGGTAATTGTTGAATCAATGCGCCATATATCAAGGAATAAACCAATGAATACTGCTAGATAATACATATATATACACTTACCTAAATCGCTGAGGTATACAGGATTATCAGCAACACGTTGTCCAGCTTGGAGCATCGCAAGAACATTTTCTCTGTTTAATTGGAAAAATGAAAAGAAAAATTTTTTATAACAAAATAACAGTGAGCCAAATGACACAAAATCTATGCAGTTTATATATTCGAACTGATTTTTAATGTAAGGGCTGACCAAATCGAAACCGGTTAAGCAAGGTGTAAACTTCCCGTATTACGACTATACTATTTACAAGTAATTAATGCTGCTGAGAGGTCCTATGCAAGGACAAAACGGTCGTCCAGTTTTCTCAGGTTTGTAATGGTGATCCAACATTAGTCAGTTCGTCGTCTCAATAATTAGTGTTTATTCTTTGTTCAGCAAACGTCAAGTATAAAACCGAAGCCATACTTTGTTTAGTCAATCAGGAAACAGAAATATATGATGGCTTACTTTTCACGTTAAAAAATAGAATTTAGGATATGTATTTTAGGATCCTTGAATTACAGCCGACGTCAGTTCGTGATGAATACTCAAATCTTTATTGCTAAGACGAATTCCTAAGCTTATTTTGATATTTGTTCTGTGAACCGGACGGGGGTTTCTGGTCTTTTATTATTGTGAGCTTAACTTAAACTAACCATGAGTAATTGTAGAACCATCAATTATTCATTTGTTTCTGCACACAAATAATTCGCAGACAGTCAGTCAGCTACAACTTAGGATCAGGCACATATATACATCGGTCAAAGTTCTCACAACAAGATGAACACCGGATTCATAGAAGTAATTAATTTAGTAGTGGTAATGTGTAAAAGAAAAAATCGTATATGAGGAAATGGTACAGGAAGAAAAATTAGTTGGTAGAAAGAAACATATGAAGTGATTTTAATCTCATAGTTTAAGGGAAGACAGAGAGTGTATACACATATGCCATTGTGATCGCTTCTGAACCATGTCAGATATAGTCGCCAACCGTTGGTTACGACAGTCACGTGGACCTCAACCAAGCAATCTGCATCTACCACCAACATGGCTCAGACTAGAAGTTAGTGACTTTAATGACTGATGCCATGTTTTGGTTTGGCCGCCCCTAACTATCTTCCAACCATCCGCAACACTATTCAGCATTGCGCGTTGTGGTAATCGGTGTTCAGGCATATGCAGCGCGTGGTCCAACCAAAAACTTTAAGGATGAAATATCAACTATATTAGAACTTACCGATACACAGGATTAAGACTAATTATATCTCGGATTGTCTTTACAATTTCAGCGCTTAAAGCCTAAATAAATAAATGAACACATAAAGAAAAGATGGAATTTAAAATGTGACTGAAGTTTGATGACTTTCACAAATGAATATATTAATTAATTCATAAAGTGTACATAGACTAACCTTGAAGTAAAGCGTTCGTTTCACACTTTGTACTTTTACTCTTGTGTTCAAGTTGTCGTGTAGATTTAGCCTAGGGTTACTAGAAGAACATAGGAAACCAATTCGAGAATTCCATCAGACGATTTGTCAGTAGCGACGGAGAAAACTACAATGAACATTTCTTTTGAAAAACTAGAAGCCTATATAGAGCGTCAGGAGAAAAGGTTTGAACAGTCTCAAATAAGATTCATGGAAGCTCTTATGCAGAAAATGTATAGGTTCCTCGCTTCTAGTAACACATACTGATTCAGTCATGAATGTCAACCATGAATTTAACTTTGATGACCTAGTAGATTTTACTTTTGAGTCATGGTTCAAGAACTATAAAGATCTGTCCATATTGATCTCTGGAGACTGGGTGACGCTTCAAAAGTCAGAATAATTTTAAGAAACTTGGAACTACAGAACATGAACACTATAGTAACTTCATTCTTCTAAAGAACCTACTGGACTTTAGTTTTGATGAAACAATTAAAACCATGTCTCAAATCTTTGGAGAACAGTCATCTCTTTTTAATATCCGTTACCAAGGCTTGGAGATAACGAGCAGATAACCAGCAGATGGCAGGGTGAGAGATTCGAGTTGTCTTCCATGACAAGACGAGATGGAGTGTCTTGTATTTTTCTATAGCCTGTATTGATCCGAGAATGCGGATATCCGAACAAGTACCATAAGCAAACTTGAACATTGTCCCAGCATGACCCTACAGAAATTAAATACTGAATTTGAAGCATGATATCTCTATGGTAGAGAAGGATAACGGGTTTCTTCAGGTCAATACAGTCGACAGAAAAGTCTTACAAGGTTTTAGCGAGCAGAATTATCGCAATGACAGTTACGAGCCATCATCCCCATGCTGCTCCGTGGAGGTTGGCATTTCAAAGGGTTTTGTACGTTTAAAAATCATCGTTGTACTACATGTTCTAGAAAAGGGCATAAAGAAAGTCATCGTAAGATCCGAAAATGCCTTCAACAACCGAAAGAATATTCTAAAGGATTTATTCTGCGAACAGCCAAAGTAACAATAGCTCTTAACACGGCCGGCTCACATAACTGAAGAAAATGTGCTTACAGCTGGGCATGGCTCTCGATACAATACATGATAAGATATTAAAGAAGTTAGGGGTTATCTTCTCACCACGTGACCAAACCGTCATTTTCAAGGAGAACTGCCACAACATCTTCACCGGCTGGACTTATGATTGTCGACTGATGTGTTACTTTCGGTGATAGAACTGTTCCAAAAACATTCGCCAAAAGGTTCCGGAACAATTACACAGCGGCCATCCGGGCATTAACTGGATAAAATCATTGGCTCAAAACTACGCTTACTGACTTACAATGGGTCACGATACCGAAACTAGATGCCACAATTGTTCATCGTGCTTACAAGCAACCAAAAATCGACCTTTGGTCGTACCACGGTATTTGGCGGTTGACTATATTACTGATTAAATATTACCCTAGATGGAGTGTTTTAAGTTGAAATTTCACATCTCGATTCATTAAATCAAACGCTAGGCGTATATATCACAAATCACAACGACAACAACATGGAAAAATTAGGAAAAAAGAACAATGTAATGTTAATCCTATCATTGACATTACCTTAATTTCTTGTGTATTTTCATACAGATCATGATAGAGATTAATTGTTTCACCAATTAAAACTGGTGAAGAAGCACCAAGTTCAACGTTATCCAATAATGTGGAAGCACTGGAACTACCACTACTACTACTCCCATTAGTGTTGCTATCTGACTGATTTTCACCTTTTATAGATGTTGTATCTTCCGAAGATGGTGATGATGATGATGTTTGATTATTTGATGGTTTAGAATTTAAAGATTCTGTGATTTTGACCGCTGCACGCTTAGCGCGTCGAACTAAACTGTTACGTTTCCCAACTGCTTCATAAAATGCATATAAAGTAGAATAATTACAGATTAAAATAAACATAGAGAAGAATGAATACAAAAATTCACACCAATTGGTCACTGGGTGAAAAATAATTTCATGTTTAAAATGTATTGAAAACAGCTCCTTAGAGCTCTAGCAATTATCACTTTAAATTAGTCACTAGAAAGTATAAAATAGATTTTAAGTATAGAGAGTTATGGAAATTGTTGCATTTTATAGTTTTACATTGTGGGTTGACCCCAATTAGAATATCATCTGGAACCCGGTAAAAATTGGTAATCATTTTATCTCAGTATGAAACTATCCACAAAGGTTAGCATCCACAACCGCCTCAAGGGTCGAACCCAGGGATTTAAGGTCTTGAAGCAAGTGCTTAACCTTTATACCGCTAAGTTTTATTTCAATGGTTTACATTTCTAACTTCAGTCAATATGCGATAGTGAGTAACCATTGTCCGCTCTTATTGGTGATGCTTTTCCCATCCCTGACATGGTTGAGCAGTCGTAACCGATAGAGTTTGGCCATGTTAGGTGTTAGATTAACATCATCAGTAGTAATTGCGTATTTCTCAAATTACTAATGCTAACAGAATTCTATCGACCAAATGGATAATGTGGCCTCTAATCAAAGGACAGTATAAAACAAAGTGTATTAACATATCTGGTTCAATGCTGAAAATAGTTGTCAATATCCATGGATATATCGATTATTTGGATATACCACGTGTTCCTATGACAATATTCATACAGTATAAATCTCTTATACAGTGATACAATCGATAATAACTAAATCATGCTGATTGAACCGTAATCTGACCGATTTCTCACTAATCATTTTTTGCTATCACACCATTTTGAAGAGTATTATCATTGTTATTTGGCTATTTAAACAGAAGTAGATGATTCGAAGCAGAACAAACAATCTTGTGGTTAAACATCGAATTCATTGTTCTAACATTAAACAATGAATTTGAGCCTAAGTTCAGCTTTGTTAATTCGGTTTAATGTATGTACCATATATTTCCTATTCAGTTTTTTGAATTATATTATGCTACTTATTAATATTAAGTAGCTTATACACGATTATCCATTATTTTTGAGCATGTAGCGCTTAATGTTCTAGTATTGCTGTGACATTTAATTCATCAATTATTGTAACCATATTCTCTTGACATTCTCAACAATTCCTTTCACTGAAAATTTATTTATTTGTGACAATAAAGATACTTTGCGTGAATAATTTGGAATTGTTGAATGAACACAACTACTACTAGGTGTTACTTCTTCGATCATACCTTGACGCGTATAAATGCTGAAGACAACTCAAGAATTGAGTTCTGTAGAATTTATCATTAATACAATCATTTTAATAAAAAAATATCGAGTCTTGGATACAAATTACTGTTACTTCCAGTGGAGGATAGGCCGCTAACCGATGTATACAAATACATTGGTTTTATTTGAGATTTTATGGGTTACTCCGTCAGTCAGTTTGAATATCCAAATGGATTTAAAGACGCTACGTTAGTTCACATAACCATTTCATTTTATATTAATGCTAACGAAAAGATAGTAGGGTTTGAGAATCATATACTCCAACATGTATTTGGTTATTGAGTAATTTTAAATTATATCAAACAGACAACTTCAACGTAGAGTATGACATAGATGTATGTTAGCCCAAGTTCTCATATCTGATTAACACGATGAGATGATAATGACAAAATAGATCGAAATAATGTAGTGGCAATAATAAAACGAAAGACTAAACATTGTGAATATAGTTTGAGCGGACAGAGTGGAAAAGTTTGTATGAAGGGGATTCTGAAAATCAAGATTCAGGAGAAGATAAGGAGTGAATGTATTTACATCATTGTGAACGATTCTCAGTCATAAAGATTATTACTGTATACTAACCTGGCAAGCTGATCTCTTCTTCTACATTATCCTCTACAACTGGACGAATCAGTTCAATGCTAAACACAATATACATCATATATAAGAAAGGTAATTAGAATTAGTTTACAATAAAGGAAAATAAGAATGAAGAAAAAATTATAATGAGAAAACTTAACAATTACATTTAATCAGTTATATGCGACATAGAAACTGATACATATGTGCATCGATTCAAATTGTTATACAACATTAACACAACGAAATAAAATTATTACAAGACAAATACCAGAGTTTTAGGAGTAATAACAATATCAGAAGTAGTAGAAAAGATTGGTATAGTAAAGAAAAGGTACAAGGTTTTGGGACTTAGATTCTAAAGGAAGAAAGTCAGTGTGCTGTTACGGGTATGAGGACTGGTGTCACTTCCCAGCTGCCCACACCGTGAAAAGGTATTTCTTGAGGAACCTGAAAAGGAAGTTGGATTAGTGTTGGCCTTAGCGACCTGGGAGCGTGACCGCAGAGCCCAAGGGACAACTGCTTGAAGCCGGTCGCACACGGCCTCTTTGTGGGAGGTTTTTAATGTGTTAGCTCCGTTCTTCAAAGGGCCTTACCGCCAGAGACGGAAGTCCGTGAGGTAAGGTGAGGTGTGACATTTTTAAGGTTGACCTTTTCCAACCTCTTCCTTCCTTGTGAGAAGGCAGCATCGCTGCAAACTACATCAATAGTTATGGACTTTATTTATTCATCCATTATAATAGTGTTGAGGCTAGTTATACACACAACAGTTTTGTGAATAGTAGCAGTAGCTTTGCACTTGTTGGACCTTACTTTTGGAGACAAAAATCTATGAAATATCGTATGATTTATTTTTGGTCCATAGTCTTTTTAATCGCCTTCTTTTGTTGTGGAAAAACCAGTACCGTTAGAAATGCTAGTTGTTTAAGGGAAACACTTTACTATCCCCGTACATGTACATTCGGTAGTATGACTTTACCCTTGGATCTTAGATTTGTTACTTCTAATTTCACCGTTTTACAGATCATCTATCAGAAACGGTGGGACTTTAAGAAACAACCGTTTCAGTTAATATAAATCAACTTGGTCATCATGACATGCAAAATCGACATCTACATCAGGGTACCTAGCTACTAACAACTAACGACACTGTACATAGGAGCATAGTATTGTAGATATGACACTTGAAATATAATACTAGTACAAATGATAGGTGATAGAAGACTTCAAATATATGTTAAGTGTACACGGATGTAGTGAATAACAAACATACAGTGTCAGGGGTAATATAAAAGATCAGACATAAAAGATATGCTTCAAGAAAATACAAATTGGTGAAATGCGAATACAAAAAGATTATGAGGTATTTGGAAGTTCAGAATTTGAGGGGAGACAAGAATGGATACACCTATGCCATTGAAAATGGTTTTGAGCTGTGTAATTCAAACTCTCAAACCACTGGTTACCATAATCAATGCAGACCCCAACCAAGTAACAAACACTTATTAACATGCCTTAGTTCAATTGTCAATGACTGATGCCATATTCGATCTACCCCCCTTTGCTTTCTCCGAACCAACTCCTACGCCAGAAAACGTCACCCGTCAAGGTAGGCGGTAGTTGGGGACACGTACTGGCAGCCTGCCTGAGTATCTGGGCTACCTGTTCCTGTCATTTAAATATTTTAAAAAGTTATCTGTTTGTTTTATTTGTTTTAACACATCATCATTTCAGTTAAACACATAACTTATTCAAGTGCGTTTATGAAGAAAAAAACTCATGACATTTCGGTGTACACGTTTCAAAAAAGTACAACCATTAGAGACATCCTGGTGGCTGACAATATGCATTGAAAAAGAATGACCACCATTCAGATGTCGATTCCTGAAACTGCTAATACCTAACACTGACGACCACTCAACATGTTATCGTCAGGATTGATCAAGAAATAAAAAATGGGAACTTGTTAAAGTACTTTGTGATGAGAATTCTATATTCTACCCAAAATACATGATAGTGAATAAAGCTGCTGCTGCTAATAATAATAATAATAATAATAATAATAATAATAATAATAATAATAATAATATGTGCCAACCCATCTCGGTTGATGAAGATTTACTACCACTTCAATCGATTTGCCATCCTTACACAGTATTCTATTCCAAATACGGAGATTCCTTAATCAGTGGTCCCAAAATACATGAGCAATGCTTTGAAGACACCTATGATTAAATACTAGCAGCATACGAATATCCTCTGTTCTTAATGGCCATGTTCCATACCCAAAAAGTAGAACGGACAGAATCGCTGCGCAGTAAACTCGTTCTTTGGTTGACAGACGGGTATCTCACCTGCGCCACAACTGACAGAAATGGACAAAAACCAATCGAGCCTTCTGAACTCGCGTCAAAAAATCGTCAGATGCCAGACCATCAGGACTGATGAGACTCCTAAGATAAAAGAAGAGGTCGATGAGTTCGACTACTTCACTTCCTATCGATAAATTAGGCAACGACGCAAGTCAATCCTGAAGTAACATTTTGGATTTGGAAGGAAAGAACCGCATCCCGAACATTGTTGCTTAAGGTGGTCAGAAAATTGTATTGTCAGTGCCTTCACCAAACAGAAATACACCGTCTGTGTATTCTAAATCAACAAGTGAATCTGCCGGTGGAAGATCAACCCCTGAAAAGTCAGACAATAAAAGTGTTATCGCTAAAAGCATGGCAAATCCCCCCCCCCTCAAATGACTAATCATCATAAAACAAAAGTTCTAACAGTGTAAACATCGAGAAAAGACAAGGACGACAAGGGAAACACATTTGCTGAACAAAAGACTCACCGACGATGTCCAATAACTAGTAGTCGAATTTTCGAGCCTAAATCATCCCATTCAGGAATGTGTACAAATGTGCCAACTCGATGCAATTCATCCATACTGTTTGCGACATCTGACTGTCTACAAGAAGTATCAGAATCAAACGGGTGAATTATAAACAAGAAATGGATGATGCTAAGATAAATAGTCATTTAAAAACAGAATGTCTATGTGTTATATCCAAACGAATAATAAATGAGTGGTAACTGATAGGATCTACTTATGGACTTATATTATACGAATATTCTTCTTGTATAACTATTTAGTAACTTTATTACATATATATTCATATTCCTCTTTTTATAAGTCTCAGTTTGACCTACTGACGACTTTCATACGACTTACTGTTCTTAAGTTATTCCCAATTTATTAGTTATAGTCTCTCACACTCACAGCTACTTTTAGCTTAATCTTGTATAATCATTGGTTTTTATTTTATGATATGATGTGATCTCGTCTGTCTGTATGGAAACTACGTATGTCTGAACCATACGATTAATACAGTGGAGGCTGATGTTTGCGTTCTGAAGTGAACGGGCCGAGCAGGCGAAAAGTTACTATACGGAGGACCAATAAGGACTCAGGGTTGACTCAAGGCTTCTCGTTCTGGTTAACACACCATTAGTTTAGTACAGGGACAAGGTCATAAAAATCGGTATTCTGATTGCCGATTTTGTCACGTGATATTTAACGAGCCATAGGACAAGAAATTGTGTACTTGGCTTTGAGTTACATCCTATGTAAGTGATACTACTGCCCGATGGATCATATCAGAATTAGATGGAGAGCAAGGTTTCGATCTGTAACATGGTGTCTAAAAATCAAATCACTAGAAAATGGAAATACACTTTAGTAATTCAGAATTTGAAGATGAAAGTAGGGAAACAAGTAGTAATTTACCATACAAATATCTTTATATAAAAATTTAAGACATAAATCTCCAACTGTGATGATAATGAATCTTATCATTTGAAGTACTATGAAACAGGAATAGTGCATAGACTACTTGATCATTTACAGATATATCTAAATGTAATTAGGAACAACAAAAACAAATTACAAGAGGAGAATTCATTCATACATATGTAATTTGTTTGTATGCATTTATGGAGTGAGCTACATCGGTTTTGAATTTAAATGAATCGTGTAAACATTCCAACTAATTATGTATGCAATTAAATGCTTTCATATATTAAGAAATTATTTATTTTGTATGACGTGGTACGGCCGAGAGTGGGGAGAGTTAGCTCTCCCTTTCCAAATGCTCTCACATGACCACGCGTATATAGCCTCTGCCAAAAAAGTCCTAATCAATGCCTTCTAGCACCACGGGTGTTGTTTACGAAATTGAGAGGACGGAAAGCGAATGTCTGGCGTTTTAACTGGGTTGGTGGACACGGAGAGTCCAACTAAGGGGGTCGGGAAACCCTCATTCCAAACCAATGGTGCACATCGGCCCCAGTATCCTGAAGGAACAAATGGCGTATGAACCAATCGTTGGTCACCGGCTAACATGGGACTACATCTTACGTTGTTCCACTGCCTTTTGGATCAGACCTTCAGGTCGAAGGCTCCAGGTGTTGCTCCCTAAGAAAACCACCTGCTTCAGTTTGGGCACCCAGGCATTATCACAGCCCTCACACAAATCAAATGAGATTTGTGTGTCGCATATGTATCTGCTGCCCCCTTGTACCAGTATTTATGTTTTCAAATAAATAAATAAAATGCTTAATGAATTATCATCCAGTTGACGTTTAGAGATTTTTGTTTTTGCAAGTTACTAACCGGTTTTTGCAGGAGTCAGCAATTTATTGTGTTAAAACAGAGATAATGACTAGTATCGGAATCCAAAACCTAAAGTTTTATTTTCTATTTAGGACTTGTTTGTTGAATCCACCTTCATTCCAGTGTTTGATGTTCACTTTGGGACTCGAACCCAGTAGCGGAGTGAAGCGCAGGTGTATTCAGTTAATGATCACTAGTTTTTTTTTTTAAAAAAAAAGAGGTGATAGAAACTATGACTTACTCTGTATTTGGTTTCTTTAAAAATATTCCCGCATATGGAGCATTCAATTTGATTTTTCGACGAATAAGACTTATCAGACGTGAATCAGTGATCTTATAAATTTTTTTGTTGGAAAAGAAACGAAAAAATCACAATGAAATGATCATGATCACAAAAGTGGTAGGATTATAATTTATGAACGAATCAATCAGATTTAGGACAACAGATCTTGGCTTTTGGCGCCAAATTCATATATCCGTTTGATTAAATAGCGTTTTGGTATTTTAGCTTATGTCAGTTTGTGTTGAGAACGATAAATCTAATTCCTAACCCTAACCATTAACTGTGAACCATAATTTTTATTCTTCACACTGGTTTATAACTTTCATTTAGCCTTAGCAAATAAGATTAACATTCTCAAAGTCACTTTAATGTCGCCTAAAGATGGTCCATAAATTACAGTCTCACCAAAGAAGTTATTTTTAATTAGATAGAGATGATGTGAATATATGTCAAGTAAAGCTTTTTCCAAGAACTCTTGAATCGACCAGCCCCACTGAAGCAACCCAATATCAAAGCAGCACCCATGGACCTCCTAATCAATGTTGGCCCACCAACAGTTGAAGAAATCACCATGGCCATCAGACAAATCAAGAGTGGCAAAGCAGCAGAACCAGACAACATTCCAGCAGAGGCATTGAAAGTAGATGTAGCGGTAACTGTAACCTACTATGGGAGCGAACAAAACAGATCCCAGCGGAGGAAGAAATCAGTGAGAAGCACTGGAAGTGGATAGCACACATTGAGGAAAGCACCCAACTGTGTCACAAGACAAGCCTCATTTGGAATCCTTAAGACTAAAGGAAAGGAGGAAGACCAAAGAACACATTACGTTGGGAAATGGAGATAGACATGAGAAAAATGAACAAGAATTGGATGGAACTAGAAAAGAAGGCCCAGGACAGAGTGGGTTGGAGAATGCTGGTCGGCGGCCTATGCTCCATTAGGAGTAACAGGTGTAAGTAAAGCCTTTCCCAAATTATCTATTAAGTTCATATCAACTTAACTGTGTATAAACCTGTTGGATAAGTTGTGCATCAGATATTATGTAATACTACTCATAACAACAATAACAAAAAAACCCTGTTTTGTGATGAAATAATTCCTAAAATGTGTAGTTATGAGATGTCAAGAGACAGATTGGCCGTTGGAATAAAATATTCGTGTGGAATAGACAGATCAAGTAATCTATCAAGATCTGGATATAAATTTAATACCTATTAATGCATTAAGACTCAATAGTAGTTGAGTCCTATCAGTTAATTCTGATCAGTAACACCGAGATAACTATTTGGGGTGGTACAGATATTCATGTTTTCCTCAACCTTTCGTACAAAGAAATGTGGTTGGAGCAAATTTTGTAGCTATTTTCTTACGTATTGTGTTGGTGTCAGTTATAGATAACATGGTAAACATTTCGATTGATTGAAGCTGCCTCGAAGTGATCTAAAAAAACAAACGTCTACAACTGAGAATAAAATTCGAGAGAAACAAGTAGAAAGCATAACATAATTTTGAAACTCAAAATCCAGGAGAACACAATGAATCTATACATGTGAGAACCACGTCCCACAATGTCTCCAACTATTCGTCAAAATAATTTCATATACCCCGACTAGATAGTTGAGATCTATCAACACGGTTATTCAGCAGTCAACAGTTTCATGGTCTGATAGTGTGGCTTGGTATGGCTATCTTAGCTTTCGCCAAACTCTTACTTCAGATATCTCATTAGACTTCGAGGTATGTGGTAGCTGGATGTATGAAATACAAGTCAATGAAGTTTCATAATCTTATCCAACTGATTTACTTATTGTCTCGTACCTAATCTCGACACTGCTTACTTAGGAGTCTCGATAAACCCAAACGATGTTTCGAAGACATGTATTACCAAATGCTAATAAACTAGGTGTCACGTAGGGATAGGCACATGTAGACAGTCAACAGAAGAAAAGGAACGTAGGATATGACACAACCGTTTATTTCCCCTACTTGGGATGGCGAATTAATAAAATGAATAGCAAAAACTTGAACAGCAGGAACGGTGATAGTAAGAAAGAATGAATTTTAAGAATGAGGCTTGAGAAGAAGGAATTTCAGGATCACAAATGTAAATTACGAAGAAAGATTACGGATAAAAATTCTACCTGTGTCAATACAGTCAATCTTGTGTCATGTCAATCGTTACTACCGTCTGTACACTATAGTTATTTTATGGACCAGGATCGTGAATCATATATTTTTTTATATGACCTAATATATGTTCCTTTAATAATTGATCCCATGTGCTGGTCTAGTCACATTTAGTCTTTTTCAACTTATTTATGTGTTGACCACTATAACACATCACGATAGCGTTATGACTTGTTACGAGTAACAACACATGATCCAATCACCAAAGACAATACGTTAAATGGAGAACTTTTTGTTTGAATATACATCGCTCTCCCACTATCTTTTGTACAACCATTTGCTTAATATATATCCTACATAGTAGAAATATGATTCAGTAAGGCTCAATTCTTTGAGCTAGGTGACAATTTATTGAGGCTTTTTTTGTTTTCTAGATAATAGTCATAATATTAAATGTAACCATCCACCAGGTGGTCGGGTATGAGCCATACTCGAAGTGTGAAGACTAATGACACTATCCGGATGCTCAAGTCAAAGTAGGTGAAGCGGTGCTAGGACGCGGGACGTAGTTGCTAATGCCTAAACGAGTTAACTAATGAGCCATCGTTTTAGACAAAATCATTGGTATTTCTCCAACAGGTGAAACGATAGCTTATTCTGTCGAGATATGCCTAAGAACCATTTAGATTAATCTCATCAGACCTAGTGGATTAGTATCTGAGGGAATCTAGGTACGGATAAAGAAAGCCCGGTTGGTATTTGCCAACTTTTGTCAATTATGGTGTAGATAAGGTGTCTGTCTATTAACCAAAGTGTGTATATTGTGCAGAGGTCTGTCCTATTATATAGTTGTGAAACAGTCTATTAAAGTAGAAGACATGTGTGAGGTGAGGGCTTTTGATCACACATGTCTTTGAAGGATTGCGCACTTTCCGTGAAACGACTGGGTGAGCCATGTTGAGGTCACACATAGAGTACTTGGCAAAGTGGCGAATCAGTTGATGAGGTAGTTAATCCTCATCAACTGTGTTAGTCAGGACATGTTTTATGTAAGCCTAACCACTGCGTAGCACGAACAGCGACGCTTGCTAGTGCAGGAGTCATTGTGCCATGTTAGTAGGTGCAAACTACCTGGTTAGGGTCTGAGATAACCACCATCACTGTCTAGAAACTTTAAATGAAGTAGTTCAGAACTGTTCACAATGGTGAGGAGTCATTTACTCTTTCTCTGAATTTTAAATCCCAGTGTCTTTTTACACATACCTTTTAACTTTGTCCACTCAAAGCACATTCTCAAGGTCTAATCTTTCAACGCATGTATCTCAATAGATAAACACGTAATGTTCATTTGAAATGGTACCTATTGATGACTTTATGCGTATACCATACATACGTACATACATACATACCTCAATCATTTTAACAAATTTTGGGAATAACGGTGAACCAGATATTGCAATCACGGTACAATAGGGAAATTCTCTGGGATATTTTGTGGAGACAATGCTAATGGTGGAACTGCAGGAGGAAGTGGCGTAGATGATGGATCAGATTCATGTGCATTTGAAGTAGGTAAGCCATCTGGATCAATACCACTATCATCGTCTGATGAACCTTTTCCCGATGAAGTTGAAAATGCATATTTTGGTATGAATTGGATCTATAGATTGTTTTTTTTTAAAGTAATGAACAAAATATTTGAACAAATACGACGAGGGTTAGATAGTTTCATTACTAAACAATAAACGCAAATTTACAAATCGTAAATTTCATAATCACTGAAACTTAATAAAAACAACAGCTACAACAACTGTAAAAGTATAACCCCAATATTATAATGGATACATGAAACTCATTTATCTAATAGAAACTTATGTACTCGGCTTTGAAACATACTATCTAGTTATCCGGACCAACGTAGATAAGATTAGATTTAAACATAGGGGCCCATTAGAGTCTAGTGCTTAAACAGCTGAATTACTACCTCATAACAATGGACATAGGACAAACTGCAATAATTGTCTGGAATGGATAACTTTTCGAGGAAGAAATCAAATTTAATATGTACAGATGTGTTAAGTAGTGTTCAGATAATTTTGTTGGCTTTTGTCACTATTTGTTGTTCTCAAAATGTATATATCATGACTATGAAATCGATTACAGACACAAGAGAAATTAAGCAGGGTCATTTACCGAACTTAGCATCCTCGAAAGTAATTTTCTAACTTTGTGATCTCTTAATATACATAATCAGTTATCAGGATATAGTCTATCAGACCTCGTTAGACCCCATTTTGTCACTGCAGTGCGCTCGGATTAGACCACAAAAGGTGGTTCAGCTACGTATGCGAGGAAGTTATAGGTTAACAGATTATCCAGCTGATGCCCAGGGTAGTGTCTCAACAATAAACTAAGCATAAAAAGATTAATAACTGAAATTAAGTACTTGCTAATTGTGATTATCCTTAAGTTTAATTTTAGACATTGAATAAAGCATAAGAACTTTAGAAGAGTGAAATAAACCTCCACAATTTATGTAAATTAGAAGTGCTCTATTATATATTTAAATCAAAATAGAAGTGAGATGACTACATGATAACGAAGAACATTTTATGTAATACTGTAGTGAACGAAGACTTAGTAGGGAAAATCAAGTTATTGTTTGAAGGAAAATTATACGGCGCCTTCGTAAAACATGTAAACCATACATTACATACATTATTTGTACACCTTCCTTCAGTTATCCATTACGTACTTCATGATTCCTTGAATTCTGTTGTTATCTAGATTGCTCTCCGTCTCCCATCCTCTTCTTTTTAATTTATTCTTATGCTAGCCGGCATTTCACTTCCGACTGCTGCTAGATACTACTTACATCTGTCAGCATAAGTAGCGTACACCACAACAGTAAAGAATTGTAAGTTGTTCTCAAGTTTAATTTATTATGAGTTAACGAGAAGATAATCCAATAATGTAAGTCCTAATGATCTGTACACTGATGCACGTATGTGTATTATGAGATGGTAAAATGTGAACGTAAGTAAAGTGACTATTATACAACTCTTCCTACCTTAGGTTGTGACCATTACTCTCCGGATATTCTTATTAACGGGTAAGTCTATAACAAAACAGAGGATTTAAATGCTGTACAACAGTGATACGGCAAACGATCACAGCTGGATTATAAAAATCGTCATTAGATTATTAAAACTACACTTTCTTGATAATACGAATAAAGTATTACTACAAAGCATAAATTTGTGTGTGGTGTCTTCAATCTAAATATTGGAATCAAATATTGTCCTAAAGCACAGACCAAAGGCTATAGTATTAATTTCGAAGTTACACAGGTAACTACTATTTACAGGTTTAGTTGAGGAAACTTTGATGTTAAAATCTGAAGGATATTAAAGATTTCTAATGATCACATCAAATATGAGCAAAGGTAAGAGAAACCATACTCTTGAGAAACAACTAAATAATTCGACTGATTTAGAAGTAAACGAAGATATCTAGAAATACGAAATACATCAGTCTTACCTGAGACGATGGCAATTTCAACATTGACGCGTCCAAAAACTGACTGCGCTGTCCTCCAAAGTAAGCAATACAAGGTGCACAAGTAAACTTCGAATGATGAATATAGCAAACTTTTCCAAGTTTAAGGGCCCGCAAGCCATTTGTACAACCTTTTATTAACATTTTCTTTCTAACTAACTAGTTGAATTTTCAAGCAAGGGATACCGATCCTCCAAGAGTCAGTCTATAAAGTAACAAGTAAGGAGAATTCAGTTTAAGAAACAACATCTATCGTCTGAAATGGTTAATTCAGATGAAGTCTATTCATAGAGAACTAGCATATATTTCTGACCCTTTAAACAAACCTAGTATTCATAGTCTCCAGGCTTGGTGTGACAATTGAATACAATAATCAAAATTTGGGTAACTTTCAATCAACCTTTTGTTTTATATATTCTAATGTTAGGTAGTTAGAGGCAATCACTGAAATGTGGAGAACTCGGGTCTCGTGTAATATGGTGATTGTAGTTACGAGATATCTTAAATTTGCAAAGAAAACGCTAAAAGGATAGGATTACTTGATAAGAAGTGGTGGCGTTTGCTAAGATATATTTATACACTACTTGATTGGTTGAGGTTGTAAACAACATCCCTGACCCAAAATTTTTGATGAGGGTTGATCAAAAGTTTCGGATAACGAACAATAGCTTTTCGAGGAGTATACGCCATACAGCATTTTAAGGCCAATAATCACAACGAATATTTAAAAAATTATCATGTAAGAAAAGGCACACCAACCTTGAAGATACAAGCCTCCCACATTCAGTTATCAGTGTCCAATACACAATATCTCTGTGATTCAATCGGTTCCAAATAGTTTTAAACTATTCTGAACGGAATAGAAGACTTTTTGCTCGACAAGCCTCCTTATCTGGTAGAATTTGATCACTGATGTCTACAGGTAAAAACTCAAGCATATTTAACGATAAAAGATTTTAAAAAATGGTAAATCATAGTGGTATACTGTCCTTAGTCCTGAACAGTATGTTAAGTTTCTTCTTGAAGTGCCTCTGAAAAATCGCTTGGACTAGTTTAAGTAGCTGCTAATTCTAGCATTTGACTACTCGTAAAGAGTGAATGATGTGTTAACCGTCCTATGTTTTATCTCTAATTTCTGGGTGTCACACCTAAAGTCTGTGTTGAAGCTGGGAATAAGTAGTCGTTTAAGAGAACGCTCAAGAGTCTTCAGGATTTTGTAAGTCATTGGGAGATCACCTCCGAGAAGCCTATATTGAAATGAGGAAAAGTTCGATTACTTGAAGCGCTCTTCATAATTCTTGAATTTTGGTCCCCGAACTGATTTTGTGACTCACCCTTGGATATGTTCAATGTTTTGTTATCCTTCTGGAGTAATAGAGGAGGAACTATGTCCCCATATTCCAACTTAGATACCTCTGTACGAAAGTTACCTTATGTTAGGTTTGAAACTTCACGAGTTCACTTATTCTGCGAACGAGAACAAGACTCAGTGACCAAAGACCAGTAATCTACCTATTGATGCGTTCCATCCCCGCTATCTAGAAGGAAAAGTCAAAGCTTGGTATGGGAAATACATTCTCCAAACAGCCAGAAAACGAGCAAGCACCACAAACACAGTTTAAAACATATATATACAAAATATATATATATATATATATATATATATATATATATACCGATATTGCCATGGAGATTTTAAACATTTAATCGATAAGTTCGTCAATCGACTATGTGCGTCGGTGTTAAGGAATGCCCACGCATACATCTGCATACAAGCTCCACAAAGATAAAATTACAAACTATGAGTTTGTAGTGTCAGTCATTATTTTAAGCCCATATATCTTATATTCTAGTTTTCGGACATTCCATTTTATTCATTCTACTTGAGTCATATTTTGACCTTGTCAATTATTCACTTATCAGTCTTGACTGTTTTTATATATGAGCGTATATGTGTGTACAGTTCATATCCCATGACTCATCACATGTTTGTAGTTTATTTTTGTCTGACTATAAATATTGAGTAACGCTCGAATAAAATGGAGTTGGCTTCCCAGCCATCTTCCCTGCGTGTCATTTTTGCTTTGCTGTGCTTCATTCACTTCATGTACGAAATATATGTATTCTCAAATCAATTCTCGCTATTCGACTTATTTAATTCCGTTATTGGATAACGCGATCTAAGTCGACGATGATATACGAGAATAGGTGGTAGCAAACATTTATACGATCAAAATGGAGTCGAGAACTACGGGCCACCAAAAGTTTTGGGGATATATCGTCTACAACACCCTAGTTCTATTTATAGTCTGTAATATTTCTCAGATGAACTAATTTGCATTTTGAAGTTTTAGAGGTAAGTTCGTTGTTATCTACCCAACTTTGAAGTCGAGTGAGATTTTCCAGAAGTGCCATTTCATCATCTCGATTGAAAATGTCTCCCCGAAGTTTCAGATTGTCAGCGAAATGTAATAAATTGGATGATACTTGCTGAGGACCGTCTGTAGTGGCATTGGACCATAACCACACAATCTTCAAAGCAGAACACAAGACTACTCTTAAAAAAGATATTCAATATTTAACGCGGAGAAATACCTAAAGATGGAAAAGGCGGGAAAAAGGAGTTGAATGAATTGGTGTTGATCGAATGGCTTGGCTCGGCCGTGCGGGCATGGTCCATTTTATCTTATATCTTTTGACCATATTAAATATACTGTCCTTTCTCAGCCTAAGCTTGTTCTCCATCATGTATTGGTAATTGTTATGATGCAATGAGCTGGTGTAGACGATGATGTAACTTCCACGTAAGATCTTATAGATTAGGCAGTTATATCATGAAAAATCTACAATTTTAGGATCAGGTCTATCATTAGAGCAGTACTAATATCATAGTAGACCATAGTTCCACAGGTCATTTGTGTAAATTATAAGAGGGGTTCGAGTGCTAAACCCTAAGGGACCACAAAAGAACATTTCGAAACCCGAGAAAAAATGAATAAAAAGGTGACTTTGGTCGATGGCATTCGATCTGAGCTTAGAAGGACTTGACCCATATGATATTGATCATCTCCCAGTGATCAACCAATTGTGATTACATCTCAGTCCTACAGGAGGTTAGTCACGGCTCGGATAGCTCAGTGGTAACGTCTCTGACTGTGAAGCTGGGTGACACAAGATCGAATCCGCCAGGGAGCACCAGTTCCCTCAAGATTACAGGTACCCCTTGCTGACGAGTGCCAAGTAGCACGAACCCCGGGTCCGTGGTTTCCTGTAGAGTACGTCCAACCACCATCTAATCTCAACATAGTGCACGCAATGTCGAGTCATCCAGACTAGTGGTCACATTATGACTTGGTCGATAGCATTCGATCTGCACTAAGAAGGACTTGACATACATGACATTGATCACCACCGAGTGATCAATCAATCGTGAAAAACGACTTTTACATATCGATTATTCAGAAACGATATTAAGCAATCAATTAACGGTTACTTGGTACCTTGCTTATTGATGATGTATATATGATTGATTTCACTATGAGGATTTGTGGACGTTGTAGTATTTTCACAATTGAATTCACGAAACTGGCGTTTAGTGCTTTCAGGCTTCAATAGTGGTTTAGATTAGATCGACTCATGAATGCAATCATGAAAATTTATGAGTTACCTCATTAAAAGCCTTCGATAAGTCCAGGTTTGTGACATCAAACTTTTCCTTGCGACCAAGGATGGTTGTCCACCTGTCCAACGCATTCAGCAAGTTGATTTTACAAGTGACTTTTTCCAAAACTAAGCTGCTGGGATGAAAAAGAGTTCATGGTAGTAAGCAGTCGCACAGACCGTCATATAGTAGGGATCTTATAGTTTAGATTATTGTGGTAGGTGCTACTGGCTCGTAGCATGAAGGTTAGCTACGTTGACCTTCTCCGAAAGCCGGTGTAATGTGTGCCAACTTCCAATTTTCCCATACAGTAATTAGATGTAGCGAACACACGAACACCACACTGGGTATTTTTCCAATAGAGAAGCTTCTTCCCTCATTGTTACAAAATGAACCGTGTACGGGCCAAAAGAATTGTCCATGTTTGGACGCTACGGTTTCTGATACACCAAGTCAGGTTCACGTCTGATGGCCCTGTTGAGTTGCAGAAAGGGTTCTCATCGATGCAGTTAGTAAGGTACAGTTGAAATGCCTAAGGTTCATTTCCGCCCATAGGTCGGCGGCGTCACCGTCGTTTTTGGTTGGGCCATCAGGATCTGACATTTGAGAGGCTTTTCTTTTGTATTGCTGAAGGGAGGCTACATGACAGAATAAGGTTTGAGGAATGAAGACAACTTTATAGATTGGCTTTATTTGATAGTAAAGCCCGACTTCCCTTATTGGATTAGTGCATTGATCCTTTGCTTGTTTGAACTGCTCATATGTACTGTTTTCAAGATTCCATTTATATTATTCCTAGTAGTGCTTCTCGCGTCTTAGCTTTCAAAGAGTGAGATTCTTCATGAATTTATGTTACCTTTAAATTTGTGAACTTTTCTGAACAGACGGTTTTGTAGCACATAAGATCGTGTTAAGTAAAAATTCCAAATAAGTGTCCACATCAGTTCAGGGTGGGCTTATCAGTCCACCTACTGTAGATTCGCCTGTAAAGTGGACACATCTAATAGTTTGCAATTCTGTTGCCTGTCGCTATTCGGATGTCTTAGCTCAGTTCTGTTGATAAAATTAAAAGCTATGATAGCATGATCAATTTAACACAATGGAACTAGGATTGCGAGATTGTGAATTAGGAATTCTGTGTTGGTAAATATAAGTCTTAGCGTGACAGTGTCCGGCTATTTCTCCAGACAGTTGATAAATTTACATCTTCAAATAATCCGAGATCCTCGAGAACCAAACTTCAGTAGAGTTGTCATCTTCAATGTACGTAATGAGATTAGATGGTGGTTGGACGTACTCTACAGGAAACCACGGACCCGGGGTTCGTGCTACTTGACACTCGTCAGCAAGGTGTACCTGTAATCTTGAGGGAACTGGTGCTCCCTGACGGATTCGATCTTGTGTCACCCAGCTTCACAGTCAGAGACGTTACCACTGAGCTATCCGAGCCGTGACTAACCTCCTGTAGGACTAATATGGACTAGACAAGCATGAGATTGATCACCACCCAGTGATCAATCAATTGTGATTACATCTCAGTCCTACAGGAGGTTAGTCACGGCTCGGATAGCTCAGTGGTAACGTCTCTGACTGTGAAGCTGGGTGACACGAGATCGAATCCGCCAGGGAGCACCAGTTCCCTCAAGATTACAGGTACACCTTGCTGACGAGTGCCAAGTAGCACGAAACCCGGGTCCAGGGTTTCCTGTTGACTACCTCCAACCACCATCTAATCTCAATACATAGTGCCCGCAGTGTCGAGTCACCTAGACTGGTGGCCACATTGCAACATGATCGATAGCATTCGATCTGCACTAATAAGGACTAGACAAGCATGAGATTGATCACCACCCAGTGATCAATCAATTGTGATTACATCTCAGTCCTACAGGAGGTTAGTCACGGCTCGGATAGCTCAGTGGTAACGTCTCTGACTGTGAAGCTGGGTGACACGAGATCGAATCCGCCAGGGAGCACCAGTTCCCTCAAGATTACAGGTACACCTTGCTGACGAGTGCCAAGTAGCACGAAACCCGGGTCCAGGGTTTCCTGTTGACTACCTCCAACCACCATCTAATCTCAATACATAGTGCCCGCAGTGTCGAGTCACCTAGACTGGTGGCCACATTGCAACATGATCGATAGCATTCGATCTGCACTAATAAGGACTAGACAAGCATGAGATTGATCACCACCCAGTGATCAATCAATTGTGATCATTGTACGTGTGTTCAGCGAAGTTGACTTTAGGAAGATTGAAGTCCTCTAGAATCAGGATTCGGTGTATTCAAGACGATTACAGCGGGATAAGATTTTTAGTTCATTAGACTTTATAAAGTGACAGTGTCAGTCTGTGTAGACAGCGTTTTTAAATATATATGTGCATTTGTTCAAGACTTATATTTACGTTATTGTTAAATATGAGGAAAGCAGGTGGAGCGTCTTAAGTTTATGGTTAGACATGGTTAAATGACATCTAACTGATGTAGCTAAAATATTACTTACCTATAATAGAACCAATGTTAAGGGTATTACTCGCATAATTTTTATTCCGTTACATATTAGTTTGTTAATTCTATCACTTCGAAAAAGTATAACAATATGAAGAAGTTCAAATTTTTTAGCAATTTCCATATTGTTTATATCTGTTTGTCTTCTTAGATAATATGTACAGTTGACATAAGTATATGTTAGTCAACGCTGAATTTGTCATTGCGATCACTAACTGACTATATTTAGACAATCACTGAACACCTTGAAACACTTGACAGCTTACACGCTCAAGTATAGAACCTTCGGTAGTATAAATCCACAACTTATATATCAATGGTCAAACCAAGAATCTTCTGTCCTGCGCTCACACACAACATCCACATCACTGAACCGGGATCCAAAGGTTTACAAGTTTAACTCCAATAAGTCATGGAAAACGTCAGTTTACTTAAAATTACTCAAGGTGGGTACCTTCCACATATTCAACACGACTGAAGTCCACTAGTTACAACTGCATAATAGTATCTTAGTAATTTCTTTCCGAAACTAAACAACTCATAAAGAAATATTTTATAAGATGAATACATTTACATATAAAACACAAATACTACTAGAACAAAATCTATTCTCAAATCTGACAGATTAACAAATTTTAACAAATATCACATCTACCATGGTACTAATCAACTTTCATTACTGTATTCATTGATGTTCCGCTTTTTTTAATCTAATCAACGAATTAAAATAATAATGATAGCAACTATTTTATTTATGATTAATTACAACTTAAAATAGACGATCTCAACTGTCTCCCATCTGCATTCCTAATGATAAATTGTAATTAATGAAATTTTATTAGGATACTATCGTTAGATTAATATTCATCTGCTCATTAGATGTCAAAAAATAGAAGCTCTTCTTCCTGATTTCTTCCTTCGCGTTATCTCATTAAGTTTTTGACAAATCACATCAAAACTTGTTAACAAAATTGTCACTGAACAATCAACACCATAGTTGTTACGACAACAAAAACACATCACGTTTGAATGTTTCAGTGATTTTATTTGAAATTAGACGTAGAAAAGCTCCAAATAGTTTGACAAAGGCACTCTGTATTATGTTGAAATCTTTTTCGTAGTATAGTATTGTGAGGTGTGCTACTGTTGTCGACAGATATCAGTAGTATGTATCATCAGTCGAATGTGAAACGCCTGGTGGTAGAGAAGGTTAAGAAGATTGAAGAAAAGAGAATGAGAACAAAAAATGATTGGCGTGGAAACAAAGAGACAATGAAGTCTGAGATGATTGATCAACATTTTGTAATTGGTTCTCAGATTTTACTGAGACATGTAGCGTGGCGTCGAGTCGCGGTTGACTATGAACACCACTACAAAGGAACGCCGGCCAGGATATCCATAAAATCCCCCGGAAGTCAAATATCGGAAGGCAATTAATGGACCAAGTCGAGATATATTTGCTGGCGATCTCGTGGTATCGAAGGAATACCGAGATCGTTCCAGGATATGCTTAGTCTATTTCTCATTTGCCTATTTAATGAAATTATGTAACTAGATATAAGTTTATTGTTGCGTTGGAGACTAACAGTTGTATTTGTTTTAGCCTTTTCAATATTGGCAATGGTGTTATATAAATGATTATACAGTCGTAAATTCTTCCTCTTGTCTATACAATGAATGTACTGGGATATTTCGAAAAAAGTTAATCATATTTACTGTCTACTTGTATCAATTATTGGCTTGGTAATCAATCTCAAAAATGTATATTCTGAATTAGAGGACGTAATTCCGAAATACGTCATATACTAACATCATTATGAAGTACCATTAGGAGTTGTAGAACATTAAACGTTGGTTTCAATCTAACATTAGACTTATCGGCAGTATATACATCCATGATCCAACTAAATAATAAACCTTGATCTTGTGAAAAGCAGATTACCTTAAAATCTTTCATTAAAAGTATACAGTGTACAGTTTATAATCTACACTGTTTAATAGTTTAGGATAATGACCATTTAAAGTCAATGATAATGACCATCTCAATTTAAACATAATTGAACTATATCGATCATAACATTCCGATTCATTTGAATCTATAATGAATATCAATCAAGCTATGATAATTATTAGTGAGGTTGATAGAACAATATGAAAAGGGTGTTTTTTGTGGATATTATAATAATTTAATAGCTTGACCACAATGGAAAATCTGGAAGCACTGAACAACCGTTTCGTTCTATTGTAGGACTACCTAACATTGCTCATCCACCATCCCTTCCCACAAGATTCGAACTTAAGACCTACCGATCTGATGCGCGAATACTTAACCTCTAGACCACTGAAATGATCGGCATCCAGCGGTATCACATAATCCATAACATTGAGCGATATTCACCTATATCATCAGTGAATTACTATCTTACAACAGACCTAGTTGAACTCTACTGGTCACCACTTGAAACCAGTCACTAATGAGTATATATGGATTCATATCAGAAGGATTGTTTTGTTCTTGTTGTTGTTGTGGATATTATAATAATATGATATATTTGTACAAAATTAAAATTGATTTTTAGCTAAAGCAGTTTTAACTTAAGCAAAAAAAAAAAGAAAAAATGAAGAAGAACATGGTGTTTTGTCTTGTTTTTAAGTACATAGATACGTATTATATCTCATGCTTGATAAAGTTCATTTATAGTTTAAGTGTTTCAGCTTTCATGTTATTGATTGTGTGTGTATATGTGTGCGCGCGTGCATGTGCGTGTTTGTTTGTTTGTGTATGTGTGTGTGTGTGTATGTGAATGACAAAACGTAATAGAGAGAGAGAGAGAGAAAGAGAGAACATTATGAATGCTTTATAAATAAATAAGTAGTCAAAAGGCATTTTGATAAATATTTGTTCATTTAAACCAATAACCCAAATGGTAGAGATTAAACATACATGTATATATATATAACTATTACTTAAGCAACACATATCTATATGTATATAGTCTTCAGAAAAAAAAAAGATTTATAGGCTTCTATATAACATCATTACGTAATTGAACTCATTATTTCCCATTGAAATTAATAAATATATATCAATCAAGTTTATTGATAGAATACACTAGTCATTTTAATTAATATTTATCATTTAGAAAGAAAAATGAAAAAAGAAAGAGAGAAAAGAAAAAGAAAAAGAAGAAAGTAACCTGTAAAATAAATAAAAGTTTTGAAAAGCCCGGTTCTTTTTTTTTTTTTTTTTTAAAAAAAAACAGTAAACTAACACTACTCAAGGTCAACTGAATACATTTAAACAAACAAACAAACAAACAGACGAACAATCGTCATTATTTATGTTAAATAAGAAACATTGAATATTGAACACGCCATGTTTTGTTTTATTTGTTTTTTTTCCAAATATAATTTCAATTAAACATAGACGAATTCAAGTTGGAAACGATTATTTGTAAACAAGTAAATAAATAAATAAACAAATAAATAAATCGATAATTGAGTAATTAGAAGCAGATATATAGAATAAATAGTATAGTATTGTATATAAGTAGTATAGTTAGTAGTAGTAGTATTGTTAACAGTATCGTCGGAAGTCGTCGTCATAGTAGTGGTGGTGGTGGCGGTAGTTTAAAAATGAAACAGATCAACATTGATTGTATCATGTATATATATATAGATGTGTGTGTGTGTGTGTTATAAATGTGAAATTAAGAAAAAAGTTTAGAAAAAAAACCCGAAAATGTTTTCTCTTTTCTTTTTTTAAAAAAAAAACAAAAACAAAAAATTCCTTCGAAATCATTAATTGATTCATTATGAATTGAATTTAGTTAAAATAAAGAAAAGTCAATTAACGAAAGTGGCAAAAGAAAAAAAGAAAAAGAGAAAAAAAAAGAAAGAAATATCAATCATGAATAAATTGTGTAAACATTATCTTAATGGATTGCCTCATTCATTCATTCCCCATCAACAACAGCATCATTATCAATAAGACAAAATGATGATCCAGATTGTTTTCAATGTTAAATAGAATAAAATGATCAATTAAAAAACAAACAAACAATTCATATTAGGTGAAAGGAACTTTATTGAGAATGATTGAAATAGAAGATCCTTCATGAACATACATATATATAGAAATATATAGAACATATATTCATTTATATATGAAAGAAATATCATTCAATTAATCCCTTAAACCAGGAAAGATAGAATTAATAAAACGTACTAATTGAATAGCTGAATGATTATGATCAATTTCACAAAATACATAAACTACATTATCATGTAACCAGAAACGTTGTTTACGTGCAACTAATGCAAATATTCTATAATGTAAATAACAAAAAACGAAACAGAAGATGAGAACAAATAAATAAGTAAATAAACAGACAAATGTAGTTAATAGACAACGTGTCAATTGTGTATATTTATCATCCTATATGCAATCGGGATTCGAACTTAGGACCTATTGACTTTCACTTAGATTCTATATGATGATTATTCGTGAAATATAAATCTTGACTAATCTTGTATTTAATCATTGAAATTAAATAAGTCAACTATGAGGAGAAGGGATTTTATCCAATCGTTGACGTATATAGATGATTAGAGAAACGTGATCAAACAAGATGACGCTTAGTGGAGAAGTTAAGTGAGCCAAATTGATTTGATCAAGCGTTACTCAATACTTATAAATGATCCTATTAAAATAGTCAGAGTTAATAAGTGAAAAGCTTAAAATCTGGCTTGAGAAGAATGAATAAATTGGCCTGTCCAATGATTACACTAACTTATATATCGGATTGATATAATGCTAGTCACTACAACCTGTTTCTTTTATTATTCTCAACTCTTTACTACAATGCACATGTATACACAACATAGTTAATCGATTTAATTATAAGGCTTTCGTCATCATTCATGAAAACTTCATCATATGAAATGGGTTTCCTATTTAACATTCATAAGATTCATAATAATTTTAATGAAATGTTAGTGTTACATTACTGATATAATTCGATTTAAGCATCATAAAAATTCTAATCGAGTAACTTTTATTTAGAAGAAGCGATTGTTTATAGTTGGTGGTGACAACTAATAACAGTGGAATCCAGTTTGACGCGCGTTTCGTCCTATTTGCGACTCATCAAATGGATGTATCTACATCTCAGAGTTGATATTCACTTTGGAACTGGAACTCAGTACTGTTCGCTTCAAACGACATCGTGTTATACACTTAACTACTGAGTCTTCATAAAAATTATTATTTTATATGAAACGAATTCATTTGATAAATAGATCAAATAATTGATCAATTTGTTATTAAGATGACTTTTGTTTATAAATATGGAATGTGAATATTTGGGCCACGTGTTACGTATGCCCGAACACCGATTACCACGACGTGCAATGCTAACCGGTGTTCGGGATGGTTGGAAGAAAGTTAGGGGCGGCCAAACCAAAACGTGGCATCAGTGCTTGAAGTCACTAACTTCTAGTATGAGCCATGTTGGTAGATGCAGACTACTTGGTTGTGGTCCATGTGACTATCGTAACCAATGGTTGGAGACTCTTGGCGACATGGTTCAGAATCGATCACAATGGCGTCGGTGTATACACTTTCTGTCTTCTCTTAAACGATGAGATTGAAATCGATTCATATCTTTCTTTCTACCAACTAATTCTTTCTTCCTGTACTATGTCCTTATTCCAATCTTTCTTTTATATATTACCACCATTGAATTAACTACTTTTATGAATCCGGTGTCCATCTTGTTGTGTTAATGAGGTATGTCAACTTGGACCGATGCATATATGTGCCTGGTCCTACTTTGTAGCCGACTGACTGACTGAATGTGAATAGTTGAGTTCATAAGTCGATCTAAGCTAGAACACCATTAGACAACCATTTTGTCCTAGGATAGAAATTCTCAACAATGTGTGTCCGCAATCTCTTACACAGGACTCGAATCCAGGATCTTCGGTCTCACATGTGAACGCCTAACTTCTAAACCACTGAGCCAGTATTTAACACTATTAATGTGGAACTTCAATTCATCTATGATCTTGTGCAACCTTTCTTCCATTATCTGAGGTAGATAACTATCTCACAACTGACACGGATTAAACTCCACCACTCATGTCTTCTTCTTAGAACTCCAAAGAAATCCATCTTGAAGCTAACCACTAATGAACACATGACTGTTATCAGAATAGAGATCTCCATATATTCCTATTCTTATAATTTGTTACTTATTTTTATATGATCTAACTTATTGAGAGATCAATTAAACTGAACAAGGTATTATGTAATTAGTATGATTTGTTCTAAGTCTATACGGAGTTGTAGAAGTCGACTTGAATATTACATCAGTCTTATGATGTAATTCAAAATATGTAATTAACAATATTATTTCACGTATAGAGTCACGTAATGTCTGTATAAATAATAAGTTATCCGTTTAGTGGTTGTGGATTGATTGAAATCATGAACCAATTGATCTTGCGAGCGGGATCGTGGATGCGCATTGCGGAGGAATCCAACAATAAGACGAAACAGCCGTCCAGTGCTTCCAGGTTTTCAGTGGTGGTCTAACATCAATCGGTTGATGATTTCAATAAAAAAATGATGAATTACTGTGATAAACATTAACTGGTATATGATTTCAAGTCAAACTTAATGTAATAACCGTATTACATAATACAAATGATTATTCTACTTACAAGTATTATAATAAGACGAAATGAGATGTTCAGTCGTTTCTTGTTTTAATTGGTGGTTTAATCCAAGTTAGTCCATGACTTTTATTTATTTAGTGCAAAAGGGTTACATACAAGTCACTTGATTTGTCTGTGGACTGCGATACTGCCTGGGTGCCCGAACCAAGGCAGGTGGTTTTCTTATGGGATCACTCACCGAGCCTCTGATCTAAAGGTCTAATCCACAAGGCAATGGAGCAACATTAAGAGATACAATCCCATGGTAGCCAGTAACCGACAATAGGTTCACATACCATTTGTTCTTTCATGATTCTGAAGCTCATATACATGACTGGTTTGGAATGAGGGTTATCCAACTCCCCTAGGTGGACTCTCTGTGCCTACCAACTTGGTTACAACTCCGGTCATTTGGTTTTCGTCCTCGTAATTTCGTAAATAACACTTACAACTCGAGACGGCATTAAGTAGGACTTCCCTGGTACTCGTTGTATAAGCTAGGCCATGTGAGAGTATAGCATTTAGAGTCTGTCCATGATCTAGACTTTCATATTCAACAGTCTCCACAAAAGTCACTGGTAACATCTACCATTTATTTTCATTTTAAAAACAAATTCAATATTTAGTGAATGATTATTAGCCATATTTTATAAGTAAACAGATTAATTATGAAAAAAAATGACTTACTTTGAACCATACATTCCTTTAGATCGTAATTCCGCATCATTAAATCTATAAGGAAAATTCATAGAAGTAAAATACAATTAAGAGTAGTATATTAAACAATATTAGTCAATTCATTTTAGAGGGCTAATTTTGATGATGATGATAATAATAATGACACAACATAGGCTTATTCGTCAGTATAGAGTTGGGGAGATTGTTGAGTTTAGATTGATATCATGAATCGATCAGTGTTAGACGATCATGAAAAACTTGGAAGCACTTGACGGTGGAATGCAATTCATGTCGGATGTGAGACAGTTATCTACCTCAGACAATGGGTGAAGAGTTGTGCAAGATCATGAATCGATTGAAGTTAGATATTAACACAGTAGGATGTCAATTCACCGGTCTAGAGGTTAAGCGTTTACGTGCGAGATCATCAATGCGTACTGCTGAAGAGTTTCATACTAGGACGAGATGACTGTCTAGCGCTTTTAGGTTTTCAATGATGATCTAACATCGATCCATTTATGAACGTATTCTATAGTAATTTCAACTATAACAAATGACATTATTAGAGCTTCATGCTTATATCACTGAAAAAGAATACGCTAGTTATGATAAGATTGTTATTTGAAAGTGAGTAAGTAGATAATGTAATTCATCAGTTTAGATACATAATCCGATGGACGTTTAACGTGAAAGCTATTCGGTTTAAATACTCATGTGAATTTCGACATTAAAATCCTAAAAAAACGTCCCGTTGATAAGACCTATACAGAACGAAACGTGGAGAAGATTTGTAGCTAAAGTGGATGATTTTAATAGAGTATTGTTCTTTGAGTTAGATGATTTGGTTGTGGAGCTTTCATCATTCTTCTTTATTTTTCATGCTACTAGTGTGTTGCAGTGTGTTTTTGCCCTCTTGGACAAAGTTTATACACAGTTGATTTTATGAGCTCTTGTTAATACTGTAATTGAGATCACAATTGATTGCATGTCTAGTCCTTATTAGTGCAGATCTAATGCTATCGACCAAGTTGCAATGTGGCCACCGGCCTAGGTGACTCGACACTGCGTGCACTATATATTGAGATTAGATGGTGGTTGGACGTACTCGAAAGGAAACCCTGGACCCGGGTTTCGTGCTACTTGACACTCGTCAGCAAGGTGTACCTGTAATCTTGAGGGAACTGGTGCTCCCTGACGGATTCGATCTCGTGTCACTTTGTATTCCACAATTAACCATTTAACTAACTCTGATCAATTAACTTTGTAATTGATTGAGATCATGAATTGATTGATATTAAGACCACCATTGAATACCTGAAAGCATTTGACAACCGTTTCGTCTTATTGTGGTATTCCTCAGTAGTGCGTATCGACAATGCCAATTTCAAGATCTTGAACATTTTAAGAAATAAAAACTAATTTTAGAAAACTTACTCTCGATTTTCTGGATCTAAACCACACCAAAGTAAATTATTAGGTTTAATAGTTTTTCTCCAAACAGCACGTCTATATTTTTCCGTAAACGTAATTCCTTCATGTGGTATAACTTTAATTTGAACTTCACAACGTTTTGGTAAACCATCTGTATATGATTGTGCTAAACTTATTATTTTTCCAATTCCACGAATTGCTGCATTCATATTTTCAAGACGATCTACTTCAACAGAACCAAGATAAAGCATATCCGTACCTGAAATGATATAAAGATTTACTTGTTTTCATCTGATGAAACGGATATTCTGCTAGTTAATCTAAATGTAACTTTAGTTATGTAACATGACAAATTCAAACAGAAATATCATTTGGCAGTAACTTGCTTTGAAATCAGTTCTCAAAGTTCCATTGAGAATATCTGACCAACTGAGTTGAACTATCATTAAAGAATGAGATAGAGATCATAGACAGTATTAGATAGTGGTGGAGAAGATTTGTAGCTCAGGTAGATGATTTTGATGGAGTTTTGTTCTATGAGTTGGATGGTTTGTTCGTGGAGTTATCATCGTTCTTCTGAACAACATCATCAACACAAACTTCAGATAGAGGTGAAGTGTTCGAATTTTTCCACATGGGGTTCACAGCTTGTCCTGTAGACCTCAATCATGATTGGCTACTGTTGACCTTTAACCTATCATTGTCTACTTCTTTGTTTTGGTTGTATACCCCATTGGTTTGATTCTTGGTCCCATATTTGTTCATATTTTTTTTGATTGGTTGATAAATTGAATCGATTTCAATGTGTTCGTTAATTGCTGATTGACCTGAGTACCGAGTTTCTAAGAATTCTCTGGTGTTTTTACAATTGCTTCTATCCAAGATCTGAACATTTTGTCAGTCGAATATGTGTTCGCAGTTGTCTACGTGCACGTGGACAGTCGTTGGGCTACATCATGAACTCATTGAAGTGTGTGCAAACCATTGTAATCTAGCTTAGCAATTTAAATGTATTACGTTGATTAGGGGATATGAACACCCCCGAATGCCCTGGTACGGCCGAGAGTGGAAGAGTTAGCTCTCCCCCACTAAATGCTCTCACATGACCACGCGTATATAGCCTCTGCCAGAGAAGTCCTACTCACTGCCTTCTCGCACCACGGGTGTTGTTTACAAAATTGAGAGGACGAAAAACGAATGTCCAGCGCTTTAACTGGGTTGGTGGACATGGAGAGTCCACCCAGGGGAGTTGGAAAACCCTCATTCCAAACCAATGGTGCACATGGGCTCCAGTATCCTGAAAGAACAAATGGTGTATGAACCTATTGTTGGTCACCGGCTACCATGGGATTGCATCTCCTTACGATGCTCCACTGCATCGTGGATCAGACCTTTAGGTTGAAGGATCCAGGTGTGGCCCCCTAAGAAAACTTACTGCTTCGGTTTGGGCACCCGGGTAGTATTACAGGCTTCACACTATCAAATGAGATCTGTGTGGCGCATATGTATTTGGTGCCTTTTTGTATCAATATCTATGTGTTAAAATAAAATAAAGATATGAACACTTTGGTTTTGACTAGTGGTAGAGTTGTGTTAGTCTATGCTTACGTTGAGCTACATTACTTATTTAATTACGCCTGTTACCCATCGTGAAGGAGCAAAGGCCTCCCCCTGGGCAATCATTTCTAGTTACTATTCATCCTATTCATGTCTGATTTCAATTCTCGACGCTGTGTGTTCAGGATTCAAAGTTAGCGCTTGAATCGTGGTGCAGTTTGATGATTTCCTTAGTGTGTGACCTATCCACTTCCATCGTTTTTTCGTAATTTCCTTTTCAACTGGAAACTGATTTGTTTTCTACTATAGTAAACTCTTTCTGGTGGTATCCAACCAACGGACATTCAGTATGTTGCATAGACAATTGTTTATAAATACCTAATTCTCGAAGCTTCAGCTTCGTATGGTGGAACTGTTTTGACGCTTGTATTGAAGATTGTGACATTGATATTGGTTGACAGACAGTCTTTTTGAGTTGCATATGTTCTTCAACTGTAGGAATGCTATTCTTGTTTTTTTGCAATTCTCACTTCTACGTCTGTATCGGATCCTCCACGTTCATCGATGGTGCTACCCAGATATGTGAAACTTTCCACCTCCTTGAGAGTTTCACTATCAAGTGTGATTACTTTGGTGTTCTCTGTGTTGTATTAGCATTCGTTGATGTGTATGGGATAGGAAGGCTAGGTGATCTGCGAAGTTCAAATAGTCTAGTTGTATCCAACGTGTCCATCGTACTCCGTGTTTCCTCTCAGATGTAGAGGTCTTCATAATCCAATCGAACACCAGAAGAAAGAGAACGGGAGAGAGTAAGCAGCTTTGTCTGGTGATAGTGCTACATTAGAATGATATATCTTAAAGTGAAACTGATTATCAATACATTTAAACAAATATTCATAATACATACATTTAAAGACTCAATATAACTAAAAACAAAGAATTCTTACTCATTGTATTAGTAGTTGGTAATATTGTCTGTAATGAAGGTTCTAATCCATAAACTGTTTGTTCATTAATAGTAGTTCTTTGTTGATTATATAATGTTTGATTATTAAATATTGGAAGACGAAGTGTACATGGTAATGCACCTTGTTTATGAATATGATAATGAACAAATGCTGCTAAACTTGGAAATGTTGGATCACTAGAGAAACCACGTAAATGTACTCCATTACCACGACCATCATGCATAGGTACTGTACCAATTAGAAAATGACGTACCCATTCAGACTGAATATCCTCTGTTAATTAGTAAAGAAAAATATAGTTTAGTATATAATTCCAAGTTTTAACATAGTGGTTATACCATATTAGTAATGCAGAGGTTCGATTTTGTGTGTTTGGGCACAATGATGATAACTCAACTAGTGTCACTGTCTTGAAGCATCGACTTCAATGGCTCGGACATATTCTACGAATATCATTACAGAGAATTCTACGCCGTGCACTGTTTGCCAACGTTAAGACTGGTTAGAAAAAGCGGAGATATAATCAGTGTATGACATAGTGTCGTGATATAAAAGAAAACTGTACAAGACTGGATACTGTTGGTCCTTCACAACTCCCTAGTTGGTTTTCCAGAGATGGTACGACACAATGACTTGAGAACTTATTATATATGAATAAATGAATCTTTTGAATATTCTAAATCTCAAGTTATCATAACTAACTTGGTCTATGGTAATAGACTGTTGTAGGTAATTAGCAGGAAACTTTTATAACTTGTGGCCTATGTGCCCTGTCAATATATGATGTAATGATACCACCAATTAGAGACCAAGGAATTATCGACCGAACCAATGACGCATAAACCCGTACGAGTAGTCTAGGGTCATTATCCGTTTTTCTACCCGTCTTGTTGAGTCCAGAACACCAATCTTAGCCTCTGCGATATGAATCGTTTATTTCAAACATACTAAGTTTATATATCAACCAGACAGACTACATCACACCATAAAATAGGAAACAACATTTGTACAAGATTTGGGTAAAGGTGGCTGTGAATCTGGGAGGCAGTGACTAATAGGCAGGGCATAATTCAAGAATGGTAAAACGTATAATAATGGTTCATAGGTCAAAATAAAGTTTATGATAAGGGGAACACGAATATGTATAGTTTAGTTATTGAAGAATTATACGATAAAAATATACATATAGTATTGTTGCATAAATGGATCCCAATAGTTACCATTCATTATTCTTATCGGAACATAACAGAAACCTTCTTTAAACTGGATTTGTCACTCTTTAATACACATCAATAGTAAGGTTCATTTATAATCTCAAAGAAATGGATTCTACTTTTGAGATTCAATACCATTTTAGTTAATTTAACAGTTTGGAACTCAATTAGACACTGATCTATGACATAATAACCTGGACGATCTAGACTTCGCAGAGGATCTGGCTCTTCTATCACACACGCAACAACAAATGCAGGAGAAGACGACTAGTGTAGCAGTAGGTCACAGCATACACAAAGGGAAAAGCAAGATTCTACGATACAATACAAGATGCAACAATCGGAACACAATTGACGGGGAAGATTTGGAACATGTAAAAACCTTTACATATCTGGGCAGCATCATTGATGAACACGGTGGATCGGATACAGATGTGAAGGCACGGATCGGCAAAGCAAGAGCGATTTATCTACAACTGAAGAACATCTAGAGCTCAAAACAACTTTCAACCAAAACAGAGGTCAGAATTTTTAATACGATTGCCAAGACAGTTCTACTATATGGGGTGAAAGCTTGGAAGATACAATTGTTTATTAACAGTTGTCTTCGCAAAAATACTTCGGATCCGTTGGTCAGACACTATCAACAACAACCTACTATGGGAGAAAAAACCAGATCCCAGCGGAAGAACACTGGAAGTGGATAAGGCAAGTTCTCACATGGAATCCTCAAGGCCAAAGAGAAATAGGAAAACCGAAGAACACATTACGCCGAGAAACGTAGACAGACATCAGAAGAATGAACAACAATTGTATAGAAGTAGAGAGGCAGGCCGAAAACATAGTGGGTTGGAGAATGCTGGTCGGCGGCCCACGCTTCATTGGGAGTAATAGGTGTAAGTAAGTAAGTAAGTAATTACATAATAACATATAACATAAATAAGTTTATTACATCAAAGGAAACTATGTATATAGAAATGAATAACTAACCTTTATTCGATATAACTCTAGGTGAATTTGGAGGAATTTTTAATGCTAAACCAAAACTATCAGCATATGTATTACTATTACGTATAACAAAAGTTCCAGGTTCTTTATCACGTAATAATGCAATAACTAAAATAAAGTAAACAATTTTAATGTAACTAATATATAAGCAAGATTATAATTTATGAATGAACCAATCAGAAGTGTTTTTGAGAGATTTCAAGGTCATGGCGCCAATTTCGAAACCTGATGATTACGTACAATCGGTTCATAGGGAATTTTACAGAAAATGGGATAATTGAGCGGCTATAATAAATGAGACTATTTAGAAGTTTGTTTATTTGTAATTGTGATAATCAGATGAGTTGTAGACTTTGTGTAGACTATTGTGATGATGGCCCTCAAATGCCCTAGTACGGCCCTCACATGACCATGCGTATAAAGCATCTGTCAGGGAAGTCCTACTCATTGCCTTCTAGCACCACGAGTGTTGTTTACGAAATTGAGAGGACGAAAAGTGAATGTCCGGCGCTTTAACTGGGTTGGTGGACATGGAGAGTCTGTTAGAATAGGAACTTTTTTCTCTCAATCCAGATTGAGATCAAGGCAAATTATGATAATTGTTGCAAAGTGGATAATAAAAGCATCAGTAATACTGGCTACAGCCGAGTAATACAATATATGCGGATGATCAAAGAGCGTACAGATGCCTACATAGGCTTGGTTATGTGCATCGTGTCGTTGTCCGTAAATGGCATTTTGTGAGTCGAACAATCGAAATGCACACAAACATTATGAAAGCTATGTGGTCGAGACTGAAGGAGTTTTCTCAACCTTATCCTAGTCATGGAGTCATTTGGATGACTTCTTCTACCGTATGCGTTACGATTTGAGAATCTCTGAACTAATTTCTAATCTTGATAAGTTTTTGAGCCATGTAAAAGAAGTATATCCATTTTAATTCTTGGGTGTTGCATAATCAATATTTACTCTACACTAACTGTTTGCTGATTGGCTAATCTTTCTCAAGGTCACTTGAGGTTCTTTCAAACGTGGTTCATCCATTATGGTCTCACCTCATTATCTTAACCAATTACCCTGTCCCTAGAAATATTCTACTTTTAAAACTAAATAGGAAAACAGGAATCTGGATGATCTTGAAGATCATTTCAAGAAGTTTGACTAATCGAATTATTCATCATAGTTCCTTGGATCCTGATGATAGTTTCATGGGATTAATTACAGCTTCCAATAAGTATACACATTGGTTGTAGGCTTGTTTTAAAAACGAATAGTATAAGTAACCAATTCAATACAGTTTTCTAAGTGATATGAAATAAAACTAAAGTTATATCTTATTTTAGTGAATGAGAATATCAAGTGTTAATTGCCATGGCAACAACAGACTTATATCTAGTTACATTACTTCATTAAATAGGCAAATGCGAAATAGACCAAGCATAACGAAGGGGTCGTATATTTACAACATCATAGATTAACAAATATTGTAGTGAACGAGAACATAAGAGTGGGCAGTCGAATGTATTTTTAAACACAAAATTACAGAGCATCTTAATAAAATCTGAGAACCATACATAGTTAATACTTCATTCTGAAAAATGTCAATCACTCGTCTCAGACTTGATTGTTCCTGCGTTTCCACACCCATCATTCTTTGTCTTATTTCTCTTTTGTTCGAACTATTTAACCTTTTCTACCACCAGGTATTTCACATTCGATCGATGATACATACTACTGATATCTACTTTGGTATACTGATTTAAAAACTATCGATTCCTGTAACAATAATCTATTGTTTCATTCCAACAAGGTGTTGAAGAAGAGTTACACATTGTCACTAAACCTTTTTCACTGTAATCATTAATGAATTTCTGGAAACAGATGATTATGTTAACATGAATCTGGTACCTAACGGAAGATTTCGATAGAATTTTGTTCTCTGAGTTGAATGGTTTGGTAGTGGAGCTTTCATTGTTTTTTTAAACGAAATCATCAGCACAAACTTCGAAATCTCTGCCAGAAGGAAGAATTTACAACCCTACGTATACGGATGACATTGTCCTACAGTGGAATCTACAGACTATCCAATTTTTAGCTAATCAATTATTAATCATTATCCATTAGTGTGGTATACACTTTAGACTTTTAAATACAAAGAATGGAAGAAAGTAATACGTTTTACACTTTTGAATTAGTCGCTAAAGAAGTATCCACTGTTAACGGTACAACATAACTTATAATCTAAATAGTCAGTTCAAAAAAGTGATTATTGTAAAATTGTACTGGACTATTGAAGTACACGGAATTGATCTAAATTAACACATTTACAATTCATCGGAGGAAGAAATCGTAAAAAACCGCTGGATGTGGGTAGGACACACATTGAGGAAGCACCCAACTACGTCATAAGACAAGCCCTCACACGAATCCTCAAGGCCAAAGGAAAAGAGGAAGACGAAAGAACACATTACGCTGAGAAATGGAGACAGACATGAGAAGAATGAACAAGAATTGGATAGAAGTAGAAAGTTAGGCGGAAGATAGAGTGGGTTGGAGAATGCTGGTCAGCGGCCTATGCTCAATTGGGAGTAACAGGCGTCAGTAAGTAAGTAACACATTCACAATATATAGGATCATTTTATTGTGAGAAGAATATACAGGAGAGACAAATCAATATTTATTTATGTAATCAAACTATACCATCGACATCTGATCGATGATGAATCCCGATGAATGGCCTATTTTCTTTCATGAGAGATAACAGGTATAAGTAAACAAGTAACTGATATCAATTGCTAATAATTCAAAACACAGTGAAATACAAATAAACATACCATCAGGACGTGAGATTCCTGGTAAATACCAATATTTAGATGTATCAAGAACTTGACGCATTCCTACTGTATCACCATCGACAATATCAACACCAATATTCGTTCCAGATAAACTTCCATTTGGTGAAACTGAAATTTTATGCAGATAAAATATCAACATAATAATGATAATGATAATAAGGATAGATTCGATGGAAATTATTTATTACAAATTGATTGAAGTAGGAAATGTGTATGGTTGGCTGAGAACTTAGCGGTTTGATGTTTAAACACTAATTGCTAGATCAGAAAGATCTTGAGATTGATCTGATCAAGAGTGTTCTTCTAGGATGAATTACTTTCAAAGTGTTCTATCTGATATCAATTAGTACCATAAATGAAATCAGTATGTGAAGAGTACCATCCCCCCCCTACATAGTTAAAGATGCTTTTACTACTAAACCAAAAGCTCAGGATTCTAGTCAGTCAGTCAGCTACAACGTAGGACCAGACACATATATATGCATCGGTCTAAGTTGCTACACCTCATTAGCACAACAACATGAACACCAAATTCATACATGTAGTTACTTCAATGGTAGTAATATATAGAAGAGAGATTATGTATAAGGTTGTAGTACAAGTAGAAAGAATAAGTTCCTAGAAATAAAAGTATAAAGCAATTTTAATTTAACGGTTTAAAAGAGAACAGAAAGTGTATGCACTGACGCCATTATGATTGATTCTGAGCCATGTCACTCAGGGTTTTAGTAAGAAGCTGTAACTAACAGTTTTTGAAACAGACAAAGTTAGTGAGATTAATGAGAATCGCACAATATCATAAAGTGATCACTATTGGATGCCAACTAAGTCATTTAAAGATTAAGTGTTTCACAGGTTGAAATCATGAGTCATTTGAAGCTAGACCACCATTGAAAACCTGGAAGCACTGGACGGCCGTTTCGTCCTAGTATGGGACTCCTCAGCAGTGCGCATCCACGATCCCGCACCACGCGGTGCTCGAACCCAGGACCTACTGGCTTCGCGTGCGAGCACTTAACCATTAGACCACTGAGCCGGCATTCAACGGTGTTAATGTCTAACTTGAACCAATCCACGAAGTTGCGCCACCATACACCATTGTCTTCAGTGAGTTGTTATCTCACAACAGACCGGTTGAACTCCACTGGTAACGGCTTCTCACTAGAACTCCAGGAGTTTTTCCTGAAGTCAGTCACTAGTGAGCAGTTGATTATTATCAGAATGGGTTTTGTGGAGAGTTTTAGAAATTTCACAGGTTGAAATCATGAGTCAGTTGAAACTAGACCACCATTGAAAACCTGGAAACACCTGTGAAATTTCTAAAACTCTCCACAAAACCCATTCTGATTAAGTGTTTATTGACAATCTTGAATGTGATTGATTCGATTAACTGAAATCATTCCATCATACTAACCTATCAATCTTATATCATCTTAGAGAATGATAACAATATAACTGAAAGGATTCAGTTATCTTACATGTTACTACTGATAAAAATAGGATTATGAAAATGAAAAACAAACTATTAAATCAATCTTAGAAGGGATTTTTTGTGGATATTATAATAATTTCAATAGTTGAGATCATGAGTTAGTTGAAGCTAGATCACCATAGAAAACCTAGAAGCATTGGATGGCTGTTACAAATCTCGCCAGGCAGGATCGTGGATGAGCACTCACACTGAGGAGTCCCACAATTGGACGAAACAGCCGTCCAGTACTTCCATGGTTTTCCATGGTGATCTAGCTTCAATTGATTCATGATCCCAACTATTATTATTAATATTAAATGAATCATTATGTTCATTTTCTTGTAAATATAATTGTTTTACTTCTATACAATATACATACATGGTATAACAGATTGTTGAACTACTGATCGATTCACTATTGGTGTTGCTTCATATTGTGAATTATGTCTGATTGTCCCACTAAATATTGATTTGAAAACAAAAAGAAAAACAGAAAAAAAAGACAATTTATCAACTTGATATCATTTTAACATCAAATTGTATCATAAAGCAACTGTTAACCTGGAATCCTGAAGGGGAACAGAAAAGAAGAAAGCCGAAAAAATATATACTATGTCAGGAATGGGAAGCAGATATGAAAAGGATGAATAACAACTGGAAAGAACTTGAAAGGATTGTTGAGGACAGAGTTGGACGGAGAATGCTTGGATCGGTCCGACCGTTGCTGCTACCTTGATGTGATGGTCAGGCTTGCCTATCGTAATGAAGTAATCAAGCTATACTGGATTGGAAAATCGTTACTCAAGGTCCTACTATCGCCAGACAGGTCGGTTGAAGAACGGTAAGACTAAAAGCAACAAACCTAAGGTCCAAAGGCGAAGTCGTATTGCTGACTGTACAGAGGTGTAACGGCAGTAAGGTGTTTCACTCTGACAACCAGCATAACAGCAATGCTGCCTTCCCACAAGGAGGGGTGGGTTTAGAATAGGTCGACCCTAAAAATGCACACCTAGCCTTGTCCCACGGATATCCGTCTCCTATAGTAAAGTTCCAACAACTACGAAGCTTAAACGAAAACTACTCTTAAGAAGGTCTTATGTAACCGATCTCAAGCAGTTGTCCCTTGGGCACTGTAGTCACGCTCTCAGGTCACTAAGACCACCTCTCATCCAATTTCCTTTACAGATACCTCCAAAAGAACCCTTTCACAATGAAAGTTATAAATCAGTTTGAAGAATAAGGATTATGATTCACAGTTGGTGATTAGGGTTAGAAATTGAATCTAAGATTTTCATCACGAACTGACATCAGTTAAAATGCCAAGACGCTATTTGGTCAAATGATTAAATGAATTTCGTGCCAAAATCAACACTTGTTAGCCTAATTTGATTGATTCGTTCATAAATTATAACCACATTGTGAGAACAATTTTACTCCTTCTCATTCACTATCTTACAATTAGTAATATGCAAACTAAGTGACATCATGTCACTTCAGTAAAACAGTGTATAAGCATGATGAGAATAAAAGAAGTGAATAACTTACAGATATGGTGATTGTGGCCCAGATGTATGCATTTCACGATGATAATTTGTTGTTGCAATTGTACGGAAACCATCTTGTTGTTCTAATCCAGGAGCGTATGATCTATTCGCTAGTTGAAAAATATTATATCATTAATTGAAATCATTAATGTTAATTACCAGAATGGGATTTTTGTGGATATTTAATGGTTGAATTAATAAGTCAATTGAAGCTAGACCACCATGAAAAACCTGAAAGCATTGGACGGTATTTTCGTTTTATTGTAGGACTCCTCATCAGTGAGCATCCATGATCCCACTCGCAAACTTCAAACCTAAGAACATCTAAGCTACTGAGCTGTTCAACATTCAATGGTGTCAGTGTCTAACTTGACGATATTGCACCGCCGTCCACGAACGTCATCAATGAGTAACTGCCTATACAACAAACATGGTTGGACTCCATTAGTCACAGCTTCTCACTAGAACTCCACCAAATACCTCTGAGAGTCCATCACAAGTGAGCACATGTAGATCATTATGACAATGGGATTTTTATGGATTTTCTAATATTTTTTTAATGATCCTCGGTTCGAATCCCTCGAAGCAGGATCTTAGATGCGTACTGCTGACGAGTCCCATACTAGGACGAAACGGCCGTCCAGTACTTATAGTTCTTCCTTAGTGGTCTAACTTCAATTCGCCCATGAGTTCAACTATCAAAACTGTTAAGTTCAAAACATTTATATATATGTATAACCTATAAACACAGTCATCATGTTCACAGTTACACTATACACCAGATATAATCTAAGGTAACTAAGAGAATGAAAATAAAATACAAGCAATATAAGCAATACAAATGATTGAACTAATCAACTTGGTAATTGACTACTGAACATAGAACTCTATGAATTATCTCTGTTATAATGAAATGGTATAATTTAGCTTGATAGTTAAACGTTTGTTAAATGTTATGATTGTAAATAAGTAGTATATATAGTTAACTGTTAAATTATATGTTAATGAAACGAATAACCATGATTAATATGTAATCTATAACAAGCATTTCTTCTTAAATGACCATCACTTAAATTCATTTATAACTCTATAATATATTATATTAATAATTGGAATAAATGGCATCATTGTGACGTGTACTACTGATATTGATAGATATAAGTAGTATATATATCATCCTTTGAAAGTGAAATGCCTAGAGGTTGAAGGTTAAGAAGATTGAAGAAGAAAAGAACAAGAACACAGAATGGTTGGTGTGGAAATGTAGGAACAATAAAGTTTGAAGTGATTGATAGACATTTTGCAAATGAAGTATTTACTGTTTGGTTCTCAGATACTACACTAAGTGATTCTGTCATTTTGTATTCAAATATATTCGATTGTGAAATAGTGGAGAAGATGTGTAGCTCAGGTGGATGATTCTGATGAAGTTTTGTTCTCTGAGCTGGATGGTTTGATCGTGGAGCATTCATCGTTCTTTTGAACGACCAAACCATCCAGCTCAGAGAACAAAACTCCATGAAAATATTCGATAGTTCTCATTTTTGTTCTCGTTCACTACACTCTTAGCCAGATACATCAATAACTATGAATAGTCTTTTAAACATATAGTTTAATGATTATATCAGGGACTGATCTTGATCAAACAATCATTGAATACTATAAAGGATTGAGTCATTGATTTTTAGTACAAGATTCAATAGTGTTCATTAACCATGTCATCGGGAATAGAATCAAATACTTTCAAGTGCGGTAGCGATGGTTTTCTCTTCAGACGATTGAGTTAAAATCTGGTGACTTATATTTCAAACTTCATTCAATTAGGTTGTCCGATTATGATAAGTTAGAGATGTACATTCGAACATTGAACAATCTCCTGAAGCTTCAAATGTTAACGTGATTTTCAGTTAAGCAGAATTGTACACATAAACATCTTTTAACCTTCTCTATTTTCGGTTTCCAATGGACTTATTCAGTGTAATTATTGTATAAGATGTAGATTTACCTAGACTCGTGATGTTAGTCAGTTGACCGGCAAATAATACAACCAATTGAGTACAAACTAATCACTTTAAAGTCATAATAGTATTCAAGATATAGTTCTAATCTCTATTAGATTGTATTGTAAACTACTGTTCTTATCACGTATGATTTGCCAACTGTCTATTACGTAACATTTCTGAAGGTATATTATGTCCCCTGAACTGTATGAAGATTTCTAGACAAAATCATCATCAGTATCAACATACACTTTAGAAAGAAGTAAACAATTAGAATTTCTCCACCAAAATGACTACCAGCTTGTTCTACTGACTTAAGATTTGATTGATTGATTGATTGTTGTCCTAGTTCTATTGTATTCTATAAATATTCAATGAATCTGTAGTGTCGGTTGCTATGTTAAGCCCATATAACTTATTCTAGCTTCTGAGCAGACCATTCTTCTGAAGTCACATATGCCTTCTCTACTGCGCGTCATTTCTTTTCGCTCTCTTCTCGTCATTTGGATAGAACTAGAAGGGAAGGCATAGGACAGAGTGAGTTGGAGAATGCTGCTCCGCGGCCTATGCTCCATTGCGGGTAACAGGCGTAAATAATATAGATATATAGAGATTGATAAAATATTTCTTGATGAAGTAAGTTACTACTTTTTAAGTACAATAGTAATATCTCAAATAAACGATTGAATTAAATTGATCGATTTCAATGATTTAAAGAAAAGTTTTGTATATTCTAGAACTGTTATGATTATTATATGAATGACAGAGATAATGGTATTTTGATATTTGCTACTTATGTTTACAGGCATAAGTAGTATGTAACAGTGAGATGGTGGTTGGAGGTAGTCGACAGGAAACTCTGGACCCGGGTTTCGGGCCACTTGGCACTCGTCAGCATGGTGTACCTGCACTAATAAGGACTAGACACGCACGACTTTGATCGCCACCCAGTGATCAATCAATTGTGATTACATCTCGGTCCTACAGGAGGTCGGTCGCGGCTCGGATAGCTCAGTGGTAACGTCTCTGTGAAGCTGGGTGACACGACATCGAATCCGTCAGGGAGCACCAGTTCCCTCAAGATTACAGGTACACCTTGCTGACGAGTACCAAGTAGCACGAAACCCGGGTCCAGGGTTTCCTTTCGAGTACGTCCAACCACCATCTAATCTCAAACATAGTGCCCGCAGTGTCGAGTCATCTAGGCTGGTGGCACATTGCAACTTGGTCAATAGCATTAGATCTTCACTAATAAGGACTAGACACGCATGACATTGATCACCACCCGGTGACCAATCAATTGTGAGTATGTAAAAGTGTTCAGTAGTGGAATGTCTGCGATCAGAAAGTTGAGATGATTGTAATAAAATGACGAAAGAAGAAACTGAAAGCAAGCAAGATAATAAGATGAATCAAGGAATAATGAAGCTTGTACGAGACAATACGATGTATTTACATTTTACTAAACTGCTATTAGGAATGTCGTTAATTTACTTATAGCTCATTTACATTCACTTAACGGTACGTTTGATGAAATGTCGGTCACTGATACATGTCTTAAACATTTACAATGAATATTCGATAGCTACAACGTTTAAAAATATCTTAGACTTCTAAGAATAGTGGTTGGAGATAGTTAACAAGTAAACCTGAACTTAGGTTTCGTGCTGTTTTGCACTCATCAGAAAGATGTACCTATAATCTTAAGGAAACTGATACTTTCTGACGGATTCGATCACATATCATCCAGTTTTACAGTCAGAGATATTACCAGGTTGATAGGATTGGATCTATACTGAGTAGAATTTGACATAGATGACATTGATCCTTCCCTAGTGATCAATCAATTGATATATTGACATATATATATATATATATATCATCTGTGTTAGAAGTGAAATGAACTGTTATACACTAAACACTATTATCAATTATTGATCTAGTTAATGTGATATTCATGTCAATATCCATACAGAATGAAATGAACCCTTGGAAATAAAAAAAAAAGGGATAAACATAAACAGAACATCACTCAAATGATAGATTTTGGTTAAGATGAATCAATAAAAACAAGGAACATCTAAATGAATTATGTCATCATCAGAGTAGTGGTGGTGGTGGTGGATTAGCATCAATAGGATACCATAATTTGCGTTACATTATCAATGATAAATAAGCTTTATTAGATGATTGTTATTATTAGTTATATGAAGCGAATTTAAGAAGCGATGGATTTCATTTACCTAACTTATTATTATGACTAGATATTGGATAATATTGTTGATTAGATGATGATGATAATAATAATAATCGTTGTTTCTGTGTCATTTCTTGAATATTCTGTGTAAGAGTTTGCCTGGCATATGAATTCCTATTCATAGATGTTTGATTTAATAATTCCAATGATTGATGATCCATAGAATTCCATTTATTATTATTATTATTACCATGACTACTATTATACACTAGATTATTATGATGAGGATGATGATCATGATGATGAATGATAGGTAGTACAGTTTTATTGATACTTGAAATTCGTGATGAATGACCAGTATTAGTGAAACCAACTAAACGTCGATTGATAGATGGACTTAATAATGCTTGTGTAGTTTGACTATATGGTATATCAATAGTACTACGTTGCATTCTTATTGGACTATAATAATCTTTACTAATAGATCGTTTTATTCCTGATATTGATAGATCTATTCTTCCAGCGGATGAATGAGGTCGATTAAACAATGTTGGAAATGTTGATAAACCTGAAAGAAAGGTGATTGATTTATAAAAGAGTAGTAGAATGATTTGGTATAGAATTATTTGTCGTTTTTCTTTTGTACATTAATGCTTATTTACTTACTTACGCCTGTTACTCCTCGTGTAGGAGTATAGACCGATCACCAGCATTCTCCATCAAACCCTCTCCTCAACAATCCTTTCCAGCTCCTTTCAGTTCCCATTGATGCTTTTCATATCTGCTTCTATTTCCCGATGTAATGTGTTCTTTGGCCTTCTTTTTTCCGCTTCCCTTTAGGATTCCAAGTTACGGCTTGTCTCGTGATGCAGTTTGATTATTTGTGTAATGTATTTCCTATTCATTTCCATCGTCTTTTCCTAATTTCCTGTTCATCTGGAAGCTGGTTTGTTCTCTTCTAGAGAAGACTGTTGTTGATGGTATCCGGCCAATGGATGTTGAGTATCTTGCGTAGATAGCTACTTATAAGTACTTGTACTTTATTGATAGTGGTTATTGTAGATCTCCATGTTTCAGCTCCGTATTGAATATTCTCACTTTGATATTGGTTGACAGACAGTTGTTTTGAGTTCCATATGTTCATCAATTGTAGGAATAAGGCCCTTGCTTTGCCAATCCTCGCCTTTAGGTCTACATCTGAAACTCCTTGTTCATCGATGATGCTTCCCACGTATGTGAAGGATTCTACATCTTCCAGAGTTTCACCATCAATGTACATTAATAATTGGTTGGTAAATGTCAATATACTCTGATCATTGAACAGTTATATAATGTATTTGTTATGAAGTATTTATCATTGGTAACTATGTTAACATATTTGCAATTCCTTAATGAATATCACTATTATTGGATAGAAGTCTTTAGATACTGACATAGTAACCGCTTCCTAAACTTCTATCATCTTTGATACTTCAACTCCAAATGGATTGCGCAAATATGGAAGATACATTATGAAGGTTAGTTTACATACAGAAAACACTACATATGTATATATATGGGATATCATGTAAGTTATTTAATAGATGATTCTTAGATTCTTAGGAATTGATCAAATCGTTTTAAAGGATTCCGGCCACTGCATCCTTTACAAACACTACTGAATTGTATTCCATAAGTAATATATATAGAACCGTTTTTCTTTCTTTAAATCGGTAATAGGACTGATGATATTCATGTAAACATCTTATTAAAAGTGTACCTGAAGTTTATGTTGCTGATGATGTTGTTTAAAAGAACGATGAAAGTTCCATAAACAAATTATCGAGCTCAGAGAATAAAACTCCATCAAAATATAAGTATATAATTACATGTAATTAGTGGATATTTTCAAAAAATGATAGTCAAGAAGGCCATCACCTTCTCGATACTTATTATGTTAATTATGTACCATTAGTGAAATGTATATATTATAAAAGTATTAAAGACAAGTACCATAAAGAGTCCGCTGAAGCCTAGGGTAAATACCATTAAGCCAGGGTACATACAGTTCAGCACAAATCCAGATGCATGCTTCATTATATATCTTTGGGTCATGATAGTGATCTTTCCACAGGTTCATCTACAGAAACCTTGTTACAACTGTTACTTCACCTAAATAGTGAAATTAGGTCATCTTCTTAACATTAGTCGAGCGACAAGGTCACTACAACGAAACCAATTCAACGACTTCACTAAACCATTCAATCGGTAGTAGCGAAGGAGATTTTGATGAAGAGTCATCATATACATCAATGAATAATACGACAATAGGGAATTTGATAAATCACGTAATACAATAATGAAGGTTTCGTACGAAGCATAAATGGAACATTATGAACCTATTGCCATTCTCACAAAAGTTGACCCTTTTACAAACTATTTAGACGATACTAATTATCATAACTATTCTAAGCAAAGATGGATAGTGACTAGCAGTGAAATCCAGGACAAACATTTCGTCCTATTTGGAACTGATCGGTTTGGTGTACCTCCACATCGCAGAATTGTTGATGTTCGCTCTGGGACTCGAACTCAGTACCGTTCGCTTCAAATGCCATTACTTTATATGACCTATTTTATAGATTTGGGAAATTCAACTTAATAATAGAACTCATTCCATAGTCATACTCTCATAATATATGAAATCACACCTAAATAATAAAGGAGAAACAATAAACATTATATCATTAAAACTAACCACTTGGTGTTGTAGCACGAACTGATCTAGCTATAGAACCAGTTGGTGGTTCCAAGTCGTGTACACCACGACCAATTGGTTGTAATGTTATCGTTTCCATTTCTTCTAGAACAGCTCGACTACCCACTGATCTGGAATCATGTAATTGTCGATTTGAAGCTTGCTAAAATATTCATTATACAAACAATAATATTTAATAAACATAATGAATGATAATCATTATCATATAGAAATCTAATTTATTTACAGTAAATCTTGATAACTCTTAGGTTATTTCTCTTCTGAACTTATCCTCGACAACCTTCATATTCTTCAAATAGAACGTGTTCAGAACTATCGATCAGTATATCACTTATTCAGTGTATGTGGAATTATCATCAAAGATTTCACTTCAGTGCCTAATCATTGATTATGTTAGCGTCTTTTATCTACTATGGGAGAAAACAAACCAACTTCCAGCTGAAGAAGAAATTAGGGAAAGACGATGGAAATGGATAGGAAATACATTACGCAAATCAGCAAACTGCAACCACTAACTTGGAATCCTGAAGGGAAACGGAAAAGAGGAAGGTCAAATAATACATTACATCGGGAAATAGAATTAGATATGAAAAGGATAAATGAAAGCTGGAAATAACTGGAAAGGATTGTTGAGGAGAGGGTTTGATGGAGAATGCTGGTGATTGGCCTATACTCCTTCACGAGGAGTAACAGGCAAAAGTAAGTTAGTCTTTTATCTGGTATATTGAACTGCACCACACCAACAGACAGTTGAAAATAACTTCACCGTGAATTATGACTATTACCAGATCTTTGGCTTATTCACAGGTAGATCTAAGTAGATCTAAACTACACCAAGCCAGATTGACTATGAAAGTAATACAATCTTCACAAATCCCCGTACTGATAATTATTAGATTGTAGCCCTACGAACAGAAAAAAATGATAATATCTATCACAGAATGATTTTATTAGGAAGAGTTAAGGATGAATTGGATGATAGGTTCATCCTATTGTGAGACTCTTCAGTAGTGAGTATTCACGATCCTACCCCACTACTCACACTGAGCGCTCTACAACAAAAAACAAAAGTAATATTGCGCTTATTTTAAAGTCTAACGTTTCTATACTTTTGACTACGTATGAGATCGTAGCTGAGCTTTATAGTAGGGCTTCGGACGTCTTATACTTTCTGGTATTCAGTAATTTTTTGTATTTTTTCGATGTATATCGGGAACCTTCATCAAAACGTAACTAAGCACTTAGAAAATAATCAAATTCTTCAAGTAATATGCTTTTGATGAAAAAAAAAGGAAAACACAGTGAGGAGACCATAAAGCTCAGATATGAAACAGTTATTCCATTTAATCATAAACAGTCATTATGTGCCTTATACTAGTCTTTTAGATGGTCTGTTTAGATTAGATCTTCGTACCGTACAGTAATCATCAAACTGCATCACTAGGCAACCGCTAAATTGGAATCTTGAATGGGAATCTTATGTATCGACAAGAATAATGAATGGTAACTTTTGGAATCTATTGATGGTCCAATACTAAACGTATATTTCTATTGTATAATTATTAAGTAACTAAACTATTCATACTCATATTCCTCTTATTATAAACTTTATTTTAACCTATGAACTGTTATCATACGTTTTACAATTCTTGAGTTATACCCAGTCTATCAATTACTATCTCCCATATTCACAACCACATTCGGCTAAGTCTTGTACAAATGTTGTTTCTTATTTTATTGGTACGTTGTGGTCTGTTTGATTGGTATAAAAACTCAGTATGTTTGAAATATAAGGATTCATATTACGAAGGCTGAGACTGGTGTTCTGGACTTAACTGACTGGGCTAGGCGGAAAGCAGGACCAATCATGACTCTAGGCTCCTCGCACGTGTTTTACGCGTTCGTGGTCCGATCGATAATTTGCTTCTCCCTAATTGGCGGTCGCAGGTTATAACAAGGAACAGAATAGGGGAATGCCGAAGAACATACTATATCATGAATTGGAAACAGACATGAAATGGATGAAGAACAATTTGTAAACAACTGAAAACAATTTTCCAAGACAGGATTCGATAGAGAGTACCGGTTAGTGACCTATACTCCTTCACGAAGCATAACCGTGTCTCTACTCGAAATCAAAATATCAAAAAAATATTACATAACTCATAATTATACTTACACTATTTCGCATCTAAAAACAAACATACAAATTTTGTTCAATAGTGAATTTGACATTAAGAATAGAAGTTTGTTAAGTCATATAAACTGTGTCAGAAACTTTCTTTACTACTTTAATCAGTCCAATCACTTCTATTGACTGAGGGTTAAAATGGTTAGATATGAGAAGATTTCTCAATAATCAATACAAAGTTTGAGACGAAACTCATATTTTGTTTGGTATTGGTTAGATAAAAGGGGAATTGTTTATTATTCTGAAGGAGCTGATGTTACCTATGAGATATTGTAGTGAACAGAACATGGGGGGGGGACAATCGACTGTATTTGACACACCACTTACAGGACTTCTTAATGAAATCTAACAATCGTATAGTAAATGCTTAACTTGCAAAATGTCTATTATTTGTCTCTAAATGGCTCACACTTCATTGTTCTTGCATTTTCATACAAATTGCATCCTGTTTCCATTCTTTACTGTTCGATCGTCTTGTCTCTCCGCTGCCAGACCTTCTGTTCACGACTAACATCATCTACTACTTATGTCAATATAAGTAGAACACACCATAATATGAATGTATGATCCTAAATTATTCAAACTACAATTGATCATTGATTAATGAATTAGTTTTGTACAAAAATGATCAGATATCATATCTTCAAAGAAAGAAGAATGGGACCTATTAAACTTACCCAATCTTCTGTTGTTCTTCTTTGTTCTTGCATTCGTCTCATATTTTCTTTATGAGCTGAATAAGTTGAATACATTGGTGGTTGTTTGCATGTTGAACTATTCCTTAAATTGGTTTCTAAATAATTTTTTCAAAAAAAACAACAACAAACAAACATATATGATGTAATAATGGGTTATTGTGGGACTACCCACAGCAGTGCGCATTCACGATCCCATGTCGTGAGATTAGAACTCAGGATCTATCGATCTCGAGCACGAACGATTAACCACTAGACCACTGAACTAATCGGCATCCAACGGTGTCATTGTCTAATTTCAACCAATCCGCTAAACTGCACCATCGTTCACTATTGTATTCAGTGAGTTACCATGTCAAAACAGACCCGATTGTCATTATTATTCGAAACTTATCCATAGGCTATATATGTTAATAAATTGACTCTTGAAGAAACCTACTTTTCAATAGAGACTATTTACAACGTTTTTATCATTTGATGAGATAAATGACGAATATTCATAGTTGAGCAACAGTGGCTGGTATTAACAAGACGGATATATAATATTTGAGATTGACTAAAGGTCGTCTAGAGACTTGAATGTTTCGTGTTTGATCCCTATTGTGTGGTTGTGGATACGCACTACTGTGGAGTTTTCATTATGAGCCAGCTATTCAATTGTGACTAGTTTTTAACAGTTGTTTAATCAAAGTTATTGAGTTATGTAAAGCTTCAAATTCAACAGTCTTTTAAACACACAACAGTAGTAATGAAATAATTCTATACCTACGATCTAGAGCAAGATGGAAAACTGATGCATCTACAATAAGGAAATCGATTTTGAATAAACTGATTACAGTTTCACACCCTCTCAAACTCTCTCACTTAATCATATTCACAGAAACAGATTAATTCGACAGTAACGGACTTTATGGAACCAATGGTTAAGCCGCCGTAATAGCTGCTTTACAAACTAATTTCAAGCTAAGCAGTATTTCATGTTTTGATAGATATTGGCTCGACATCGATAAATTCCCCGGCTATTTCGGTCAGAAAGCGTTTACTCGGTGATACGTATACGAATGTCTGTTGTTAACGAAGTGTCATACATCTCTTTGTTGATGTACATACGCCACATTATTGAAAGTAAGATAAGTAAGCTCCTCAGCGAAGTAACTCTGTATAGGAGGCTAATGAGTAATATATTAGTCGTATGTAATAAGGAGTTAGACGTATCTTGGTTATTAGATAAATTCGTTAATGTATAGAATGAGATACCACTACTTATAATGAAGAAAACAATAACCAACTGCCTTTTTTTAAACATAATTTTAGACGAAGAAAGGATGAAACTGTAAAACGATCGGTTCATAGGATGTCAACCTGAGCTTGGAAATATTTGAACTTCCACAGTTTCTATCCATTACAGTACAAACAACGTTTGGTAAATTGCCTATACAACAGAACTCAACGAGTATACACTACAAATCTACTTGAGGAGGTGACAAAACTGCTAACCGAAAAGATTATTCGCTGTAGTTTATCAATTAGTGTAAAAGTAAGCTAACAAGAAGACTGCTGGATTCCGTTACGAAGTAAAGGATATATATCTCATATTAACATTTAAAAGAGAGTCAAATATCATAAGTTTAAGAAAGAGACTAAAAGTAGACATTAAGAAAACATTCTATGCTGTTAAACCTATGATTTCACATAGGCCTAGACATTACATAACAGATTACGTCACATCCTGTTGCATTTACTAATTCTCATGTTCATGTGCCCCCAAATGCCCTAGTACGGCTGAGAGTGGGCTGGCGCCACACTCTCTCGAAATGCCCTCACACGGCCACGCGTACACAGCCTCTGCCAGGAAAGTCCTACTCACTGCCTTCTCGCACCACATTTGTTGTTTACGAAACTGAGAGGACGAAAAGCGAATTTCCGGAGCTGTGGAAAACATATAGCTAGATAACTTCAGAATCAGTTAATGTCATGCACTTTGATAAATCTGTGAGGCAGACATCCATATTCATCGAATTGTTAAGAATGAATTCTTAGGTTCATGGAAGCTAGACAATCTACCCATAGTAATCTTTAAGCTATATTACGATCTATGATGTTATAGGAACGTTTTATATTGGTTTCGTTGTTTTTCCCTTACCTTTGTTTACCTTTATCATTTTATGTTTATTTGAACTTTGATTTATGTAACCTTTATTCGTTTTCATAGATGTTTTGTTAAGTAAAGCACAAACAGACCATAATTTGTAGGTTAATTGTTTCATCTTATTGCTCTATCAAAGTTTACAAAAGGGTCTAATTGTTTTAAATCTGTGCTAGATGAAACTAAATTGGTTGGGTATGAGATAATCATTCACTGAAGGTGATAAAAGATGATCACCCAATGTCGTGAACTGTCAGTCAGTCAGTTAGCTATAACGTAGGACGAGGCATATATATGCATCGGTCCAAGTTCCCACATCTCATTAACACAACAAGATGGACACCGGATTCATACAAGTAGTTAATTCAATGGTAGTAATATATAAAAGAAAAATTGCATATAAGGATATAGTACAGGAAGAATGAATTAGTTGGTAGAAATAAAGGTGTGAGGTAATTTTAATCTAACGGTTTAAGGAAGACAATGAGTGTATATACCTACACCATTGTAATCGATTTTGAACCATGTCACACAGAGTCTCCAACCATCGATTACGACAGACTCGCTTACCCCAACTAAGGAGGTTGCATCTACCAACATGATTCAGACCAGAATTTAGTGGCATCAAGGACTGACGCTATGTTTTGGTTTGGCTGCCCCTAATTTTATTCCATCCATCTCGAACACTAGTCAGCATTGCGTGTCGTGGTGATCGGTGTTCAGGCATACGCAGCACGTGACCCAACCATCTCAGTCGATGAAGACTCACAACCTCATCAACTGATTTACCATCATCATTCCCTAATACCCTGCGGCCGAAACTCATTATTACTTTCCCGATGATCCCAGCAGATCCGGGCAATATTTCTAAGACATCTGTGATCAAACACTATTACCTTACGACTATCTTCTACACTAACTCGTCACATTTCTTAGCCGTAAAGTGGAACAGAACGAACTGCTGCACAGTATACTCGTCCCTTAATTGATAGACGGATAGCTTGCCTTCGCCATAGGTGATGACGTAAGTTGGCAAAAGTCAAACGAGCTTTTTGAATTTGTTCAAAGATTTCGTCAGTAATACCGTTGAATTCCGACTCAGTAGACTAAAAGTTAAGTGTTCGCGCATGAAACCGAGGGCACTTGGTTTGACTTCTCGCTACGAAACAATGGATTTGCACTGATGACGAGTACGATAGTAGGATGAAATGACCATCCAGTGCTTCAAAGTTTTCAACAGTTGTCTAAGTTAGATTGATTTCAGGTTTAAATGCAATTTAATACATACAATATTTTTTTGTATAATTTAATAAATTATAAAAGTGAATAATTTCTACATACCTGACAACCATGCAGTTCTAGTCATTGTATTAGGTCCACTAATATTCATCTGACTTGATGTTCTTTGAGGTTGAACTTTTAAAGAAAGACAATAAAGAAAAAAACAACAACGTTGTCATAAGAACAGTATGATATAAAGGAATTCAGTGTAGTACATTGTTTAATAATTAAATTCATGAGTCAAGTGAAGCTAGACCACTATGGTAAACCTGGAAGCACTGGACGGCCGTTTCATCCCGCTCAACAATCCGTATCCATCATCCTGCCTGACAAGATCTGAACCCAGGACTTACTAGTGTCGCGCGCGAACGCTTAACCTCTACACCACTGAGTCGACTTTGTTATTTGACTAAAACTTCAAATTTAACTGAATAGAATAACAGAATGTTGGGAAGAAATTCGAAAGATTTCAAGAACATCAATGAATGATATAATTATAGAATTGTTATTTGTTCTTAAATGAGTAGCTCTGAAGAATGAACACTTTGTCTATTTCATTTAAAAATCTTGTAAAAATAGCAATGAAACTGATACTTTAATCATTATAATAATTCTTATAGGGAACATCAACAGATCAGGTATGTCATAGGTACATTCAATTGACGAGTCATAATTTAGAACAAACACGCTTCCTGGATTCCATTATTAGGCATCATTCATTATTGACAGAAAACTGACTTCGTTTTTACACTCAGAACAAAGGAGATAGGTAATAATGTTTTGATCATTGTATTCATATTACACGAAATAATTGTCATGATGTAATAAGAATGTTTCAAAAAAAAGTGATAGATATATCAAGTATAGTGTAGCAGCAGTCTCTGCATCAGTAGGCCTCAACATACACAAGAGGAAAACCAAGGTCCTCAAATTCAAAGCGGAGAACAGCAATCCAATCACTCTTGATGGCGAAACTCTGGAAGATGTAGAATCCTTCACATACGTGGGAAGCATCATCGATGAACAAAAAGGTTTAGATGCAGACGTAAAGGCGAGGATTGGCAAAGCGAGGGTCGCATTCCTACAATTGAACTCAAAACAGCTTTCAACCAATATCAAAGTGAAGATCTTCAATACGAACGTCTAAACAGATCTACTGTACGGAGGTGAAACCTAGACAACTACAACAACCACCATCGAGAAGGTACAAGTATTTATAAATAGCTACCTTCGCAAGATACTCAACATCCATAGGCCGGATACCATCAACAACAGCCTTCTCTAGAAGAGAACAAACCAGCTTCCAGATGAAGAAGAAATTAGGACAAGACGATGGGAATGGATAGGACATACATTACTCAAATCATCGAACTAAATCATGAGGCAACTACTAACTTGGAATCCTGAAGGGAAACGGAAAAGAGGAAGGCCAAAGAACACATTACATCGGGAAATAGAATCAGATATGAAAAGGATCAATAGCAACTGGAAGAAGATGGAAAGGATTGTTGAGGAGAGGGTTTGATGGAGAAAGCTGGTGATCGGCCTATACTCCTTCACGAGGAGTAACAGGCGTAAGTAAGTAAGTAATATATCAAAAATGAAATGGGTTGTGTTTTTAGTGTGTGCGTCTCTCTCTCTCTCTCGCCCTTTTTCTTTTACTAAACCCCCTCTCTGTCCCTTTTTTTTACTTTCCCCTCCCTCTCTCTCTATCCTCTATTCGAATCATATGATTAACTGTCAGCTTCACGTTAATTTTCTTAGAAAAAAAAAGAAATATATTTGTAATTGAAATGTAGTTTATATACAGAAACTATATAAAATGTATCAGCAGTATGTCAGTAGTATATACATACCTTATCATTGGTATACAACAATATGTGATGAATGAAGGATACTTAAACACACTACAACTACCTAATTGTTGAATCTATGAAGTAGAATCATTCACATGTAGTGATCATATGATGTTATTATTATTATCATCATTACTATTACTATTATTATTACTATGATTGTTATTCAACATTGAATCATTCCATTTTAAAGAAAAAATTTCAAAACTATTTGAAGTTTTGAAATATTCATGTTAGCTGGTTTGTTCAATGATGTTTACAAATACAACATGGTGATCATCAACTGAATTATACTTGATAGAGAAACTTTGAACGAGATGGAAGTTTTCATATATCTGGGTAGCATTATCGATGAACAAGATGGATTAGATGAAGATATGAATGTAAAAGGTATACAATGTATAGGCATATGGAACTCAGAACAAATGTCTATCAACTAATATCAATGTTACAATCTTCAATACGAGCGTGAACAGAGGTAGTTTTATTGTACGGAGCTGAAACTTCGAGAACTACTACTATAACTATCGTCAAATGGGTACAAGTATTTATAAACAATTGTCTATACAAGATACTCAATATCCGTTGATCTGGTACCATCAATAACAGCCTACTGTGGAAGTGAACAAGTCAACTTTCAGTTGAAGTGGAAATTAGTAAAAGATGATGGATGTGGATAAGATATATATTGGGGAAATCATCAGAAACTGCATCACGTAGCAAGCGTTAACTTGAAATCCTGAATGGAAACAACGAAGAGGAAGGGTAAAGAACACACTACGTCGAGAATTAGAAGCAGACATGAAAAGGATGAATAACAACTAGAAAGAATTGGAAATGATACATCCATGACAGATTTGGTTGGAGAATGTTGATGGATGGCCTGTCATCCTCTATGAAAGGTAACAGACAGAAGGTCCTGGATTCAAACGTCGCATGAGGGACCGTGTATGCGCACAGCTGAGAAGTCTCATAGTAGGACAAAACGACCGTCCACTGCTTCCAGGTTTTCCATGGTGGTCTAGCTTCAATTGACTCATGAATTCAACTATTAAAAAATATTTACATTATGAGAAAGAACAAAAAATAAGACGACTGTACAGAATTCTGATAAGTTCACAGAACTGACAATAAAAGCCACTAGACTCTTTTTAACTACTTCCGATTGGAATCATTCATTTAATGATGTACATTCAATGCATAATCATGCAACAAAATAAGTACAATCATACAAGACCAAAATCATTCAACATACCGTATATTAATAGTACTATCTGATAATAAAAGTATACATGCATTTAAGATAACTTCGCCGTGGAGCTCCTCTGGAGCTACTGCCGCTTTTAAGGTTAAATAAAGTAAGAGGATTGGGCATAGCGTTATCGACCCATCCCGGTAGAAAACAAAAAAATAATAATTCAAATCATGCATTCAGAATGAATGATCAATGATCAACGTAGTGTGGCAACTCGAAATGATGTACGTACGTACGTACGTACGAAGTTCTACGTTGTTACTGACTGACTAACTGACTGATAAAAAAATTGAACAGAACCAAGTCAAATATACCATGTTTACATAAATCAATATAACTGACTGAAAATAGAGAAATGATAAGTTGTAATTATTAGGATTATATCATGATTAAAAATAGTTGATAAGCAATAAATACTAATCAGATTTGATCATGGACAATTGTACAACGTCAAATACCACTTAACATTTGCATCATTCCAGTATGGAATGAATTATTCAATAGTGTAAGCTATATGGCTATGTAGAGCTGAAGGTCTCATATGAGACTGGAGGTTCGCCATCGGTATTGTGGATGGTTCAGCATTACTTTGGCAAGTTTTGCTAACTTTTCATGCACGAAATTGGTTTGCTGGTAAACCGATTTCATTTATACTGGTGATTGCTTTTCAGTGTTCTCGAGGGTCATTCTAATTGGGACATTGTAAGGCATGTCGCCATTGCTAACATAATGAGTTTGACTGTCGTGTAAGCGGAATAGGTCAACTTTGATCTATTCATGCTGTGCATAATTGATTCAAGCGATCATTGATCGGAATAACTATACATGTGATGTGAATGTGTATATGAATGGTGCAAATGGTCCACCAGGGTGCTTGATACCTGTGTGGTTGCATCACAGAATTGAGCTTTACTATTCAGATTGTAACGTTAAACCCTATACGGTGTCTGGCTCTCCTGTGAAGCGGGATTGAGCTGTACTGTTTGGGTTGTCACGTGAAAGTCCGGATGGTGTCTGGTTCTCCTGAAAACCAATGTAAAATTACTCTGGCACACAAGGGTATATTATATAGCTGTGAATATATATATATAGTTCTATCAATGTGTGTGTGTGTGTGGTGAAGGAGTAATTCTTGAGATGCTGGAGAAGATTTGTAGCTCAGGTGGACAATTTTGATGACGGCTTGTTTTCTGAACTGACTGGTTTGATTGTGGATCTTTCATCGTTCTTCTGAACAACATCATCAGCCCAAATTTCAGGTAGAAGTTAATAAATTCTAACATTTCACTTCTTCCTGAAGTTTGGGCTGATGATGTTTTTTAATATGTTTAAACTTATACACAGTTTTTTGCGCCTTTCAGTTAACACACACTGATGCTTCACCTAATATGCATTTACTTTATGTATGTAATTTTCATCATAAACTGACGTTAATGACATTTTTAATGAACTCTAAAGGAAGATGGGTAGCTGTACCACCATAGATTAGAAATATAAGGATAGAACAGCCCAATACCGGAACAAACTTGGTACTTTCAAGATATGTGGTCAGAGCAGTACTATATGAAACCAACGAGTCGTGCTGTAATGGTCAAGATTTATTCAACTTTTGCATACTATCATAAATAACTGTCTGTCCTCCAACTCTGATTTACAGTTAACCCCTTTCAGAGTGAGTAATTTTATGATGGGGACAACCGAATGTATTTGAATACAAAATTACACAATCCTACATATAATACTTCATTTGCAAAACATCTACCAGTTTATCGCAGACTTTATTGTCCCCTCATTTTCATATACCAATCACTCTGTGTTCCCATTCTCTCCTTCTCAATCTTCTCAATTTTCTTCTTAAAGACATTCCATTCTCGATTGGTGTTACATATTACTTATATATTACTTATATATCGATATAAGTAGCTTACATCACACTAGGTTTGAATATAATTTATATCATGCTTTAACATTGCTTTCATTATTGTATTGTATATTTGAATAATAACTGTGTAGTTAAAGACTTCATTTACTAAAATCTAATACCCCTCCCTCCGGTTCACACTCCTCTCAATCCACTTCAAATGAGTACTCTTTTTAAATTAAATCTGAATGATAGACATTTGTGACAGGAAATATTCTTGTCAATAATGAATCATCATTTCTAGTTACTATGGTGGTTAAAATGAGGTTAAATCAATTGATCAAACATTCTTTATCTTTTTTTTAAATTAGAAAAGAAAAACAGTTTACCTTTCGTTGAAGAGCATTGATAATTTAACTCTTCTTCAATATCTGAAAATGAGAATCAAACTCAATCGAGATGATAAAGAAAAAAAACTGACAATTAAAAGTTTATTTCGAAAAAAAAATTCCCATGGTAACTAATCTTTGATTAACATGTAAATCACTGATCCCATATGCCCTGGTACGACCGAGAGTAGGGAGAGAGTCAACTCTGCCTCCACAAATGCTCTCACATGGCCACTTGCATACAACCACTCCAAGGGAAGTCCTACTGACTGCCTTCTCGCACCACATATGTTGTCTACGAAATTGAGAGGACGAAAAGCGAATGTCCGGTGCTTTACCCTGGTGGGTGGACACATAAAGTCCACCTAAGGGAGTTGGTAAATCGTGATTCTAAACCAATGGTGCACATGGTCTCCAATTCCTGAGGGACCAAACGGCATATGAACCAATCGTTGGTCACCGGCTACCATTGAACTACATCTTACGTTGTTCCACTGCTTTGTGGATCAGATCTTTAAATCGAGGGTTCCGAGTGTGACCCCCAAAGAAAACCACCTGCTTCGGTTCGGACACCCAGGCAGTATCACAGCCCTCACACATATCAAATGTGATTTGTGTATCGCTTATGTACTTAGTGCCCCCTTGTACCAGTATTTATGTGTTCAAATAAATAAATAAATGAAATGCTTAATGAATTATCATCTAGTTGATGCAGTAACCAAGTTTCAGGTGGACCCGATGAAAAAGTCTTACACACCAGAGTTTAAAGAGGGGAGGTGTGAGGAAGGCTCACTGGTGAACTTGAGGAATCTCTAAGAAGCTCAGAAAGAGCCAAAGATATTCCATCCAGTCGTCTTTTTTGAGAATATTCCAGAATCCCTACATATAGCTTTCCTATCGGACAAATGATAATAACCCCCATATATGCGGATTGGAGGACAATCATGATGATTTCGTTTTTACTAAAAACTACAAATACTTGATAGTTTTGTACCATAATTGACACTGTTTGGAATGAAATTCCTTTCACTAGTCTTTTGTCTTCTCATTTGCGACTTAGGTGGGTTCTAGCGTTCGTGTGCTCAAGTGGTACGTAGTATATTAAGAATCTAGGGTCTAGATATAACGGAGACAATTGTCAGGAAGACACAACTACAATTTAGAGCTTATTTATGTTCTCTATGGAATTCGAATTCATATCACTAAATGTTATAGCTCAAGAGATTACTATCACACTATTTAAATCATGATTAACTTTATTTAGGAATGAAACATTTTTACTGATTGGTTACTTACGAATATAATGATATCACTCTGTTACTCAAGACTGAATCGATTAAAAGTTGGGTTGCAGTTTGAGATCTAGTAACTGGACGTCAATAACTTTAATCATAAAATCTATAATACGTGTAAATCATCAAGATTTTTTATTCTAATGTTGATGACTGTCTTGCTCCCCCCCCAAATGATCTAAACCTATGACTGTAGACTAGATCAAATGTACAACCTTCAGAGAATAAATGAGAGGGATTTCAATTCTAGATAATTTATCTTACTGTTCTATCGTCATCCACTACTATACATGAAACCTTTCTGATTCCCATAGAAATGAACTCAATTCATTGGTTTTAGTATTATAGATATTAAGGTATAGCATGATTGGATTGTACTCTAACAACTAAAAACATATCTAATTTACCTTATATGATGTAAAGGGTATAATACAGTAACAAAATGTACTATATATCGGAATGAAATCAATAACCAGTAATTGATGGTTTTCAATAGTTCTCTTGTTAACCTTGATCAATATTAAAGATAAACATTCAATAAACTTATTTATTAACTTGGTGTTGTTTGACTTGTAACTTCCCATTGTTATTTAGGACTGGAATTGATCAATCTCATATTGACATATGTGGGTCCTGTGCGGACAGCCTCGATATAGCTTAAGTCACAAGCATTTTAAGCAAAGATGGATAGTGACTAGCATTCGAATCCAGTTTGATGCACGTTTCGTCCTATTTGGGACTCGTCGGCTGGATGTACCTGCATCATAGACTCGTTGATGTTCACTCCAGGACTCCATCTTTGATTAAAAACTTATTGATTGTTCAATAATTCAAAGTCATCCAGTCTTTGAATTAGTAGGTCATTTATTCAGATGTGCATGTTTACGTAGATGTTTTTAAAAAAAACTTACGTTTTTCAGTTTTTGTTTCTTCTGTACGTTGATGAGTTCTTGAATCACGTTGAACTGATGAATAGTGTATGGTTAAAGAAAAAAATTTTATCCATAAATTTTTCTCAATAAAAGGTTGTGGAGATTATTAAGTTTTTGATGAGATCATGAACCGATTGATGTGGGACTACCATTGAAAACCTGGAAGCATTGGATGGCCCTTTCATTCTATTGTGGAACTCCTCAGCAGTGCGCATCCACCATCTCGCTCGTGGGATTCGAATCCAGGCTGAACACGGCTTCTCACTAGAACTCCGAAAATTCCCTCATAAAGCTAGTCACTAGTGAGCACATGGTCCCGCGAGTGGGATCGTGGATTCACACTGCCGAGGAGTCCCACAATAAGACGAAATGGCCGTCCAGTTCTTCCAGGTTTTCAATGGTAGTCTTGCATCAATCGCTTCATGATCTCAATCAAGAACATAAATTTTTCATTTCGTTCTAAGTAAACAAATGACATCGATATATTTTTGAAGGAAGATACAATGAGAAGTCTACTGTTATTTACCCAATACCATCAGTAACAGTCTACTGTGGAAGAAAATAAACCAACTTCCAACAGAGGAGAAAATTAAGAAAAGACGATGGAAGTGGATAAGACGTATATTGAGGAAACGATCAAAACCTGCATCACGAAGTAAGCGCTATCTTGGAATCCTGAATAGAAACGGAATAGAGGAAGGCCGAAGAACACACAGCGTCGAGGACTAAAAGCAGGCATGAAAATATGAATAGTAACTGGAAACAATTGGAAAGAGATGTCCATGACAGAGTTGTATGGAGAATACTGATGAGCAACCTATGCTACTCCTTGAGGGGTAACAGGCGTAAGTAAGTAAGAGTAAGTAAAGAAGTAATAATCATTTTTGTCCCAATAATACTGATTTTGACTTGATTCAAAACGGATCTGTAGTAAACGAGAACACAGGGAGGGGACAACCAAACATGTTTAAACATAGAATTACAGAATCTCTTTGTAAAATCTGAGACTTACTTACTTATTGACGTCTGTTACTCCTCGTGAGGAGCATAGGCCGCCCACCAACACTCCATCCAACCCTGTCCTCAACAATCCTTTACAGCTCCTTCCAGTTGTTATTCATCTTTTCATATCTTATTCTATTTCCCGATGTAATATGTTCTTTGGCCTTCCTCTTTCTGTTTCCCTTCAGGATTCCAAGTTTGATGATTTGTGTAATGTATGTCCTATCCATATTGATCGTCTTTTTCTAATTTCTTCTTCAGCTGGAAGCTGGTTTGTTCTCTCCCACAGAAGGCTGTTGCTGATGATATCCCACCAAGGAATGTTGAGTATCTTGCTTAGGCAACTATTTATAGATACTTCTACCTCTTTGATGATGACTGTAGATGGTTAAGAACCATGTAGTAAATACTTCATTTGCAAAATATCCATCAGTTATCGCAGACTTAATCATTCCTTCATATTCACATCAATCATTCTTTGCTCTCATTCCTTTGTCTTCAAATTTCTTAACCTTCTACCGCCACGTATCTTACTTTCAATCGGTGTTACATACTACTTATATCTCTAAACATCAGTAGCACATACCACCGAGGTATGTTTAATTGTGAGTAGGTAGTTTGACAAGTGAATTGTTATACAAATACATAACTAATCAAATAGTTTGTTTCTATATCACTTACTTTGATCAGATTGTGTTTGTTCTGTAGATTGACGAATTCTTGAATCTTTCACAACTAATAAATCATCAAAATAATATTGATAACCGATTGTTTACTTCAGTTACGTTTAACATATAGACTAACATAGACTAGTTTATTAGATGGTTGTGGTGATTTTTGGAGATTTGAAATTGTTTACGTAATCATTACTCTTGAACAAGTAAGTTGTAATCCATTTGTATTGGTTCTTAACCTCAGTCAATGGATTATATAAATCGATGAATATCCTGTGTTATCAATGATAAACTTATCTCTATTTTGGGGACGTTAGATCCTCAGAAGTCACTTGAAAAAAGGCCTAATTTGTTTTCGTGCCAAAAGCTCTCTTTTCACTTTCATGTCGTATTCCCTATTTTGGAGAATCTTAAGTGCTATCGGTCCGTTGTGTCTTTTAGTAAGCTATTTTGCAACTCTCCCCAAGAACGGTTTTGTGCTATATATATACGTTTTGATTTGTGCCTGTTTTTATCGCTCGTGCTTTTGGCTTTTGCGGAATATACTTCCCCACCCCAAGCTTGGACTTCTTCCTTTCGTTAACGGGGCTGGGACGCATTGAATAGCTAGCTTATTGGTCTTTAGTTACCCAGTCTTTGTTCCGTTCGCAGATTAAGTGAACTCGTAACCACTCCAAACTTAGCACTCTATTTTCAAACTAAATGGATCACAACTCTTTCAAAAGCACTTTGATTGTAGAAACTCATTTAAGATCATTTTACCTGATCAAGTTAGCAGTGTACACTAATTAGATTATCCACATGTTCTGATACGTGTCACAACAGAATATTGAAAGAGTTTCATCATTTCAATACGTGCGAGATTGTGCACTGTGAATAGAAGCTAAATGATGAATATCAAGTTGAATTTACTAAAATGGTACTACATATTAGAGATCAGGTGTAACTGAACCATTTTGTTAATCAGGCCGATAATCTTGAATATGTTATACGAGGATTCTCTGTGAGAAACGTCTTTTGAAAAGATCACTTTAGGCAATTTACAAGTATATCACCGGGATCATCTAACTTGAACACAAGGTTTATGTATATAACTTTATTGCTATACCATATCACTGTTATCTATTTATATGGTTCGGGTCAAAGATAAGTTGTCATAACTAAGTAATTCTGTGTATATTACCAATTCACCAGCTTTTATGATGCTAGTTAGATCGGCCTCTTCCTGTATCTGCAATCAACTTTCAGGATAACTTAACATAGACAAGTTACATCATCGATTCTGCAACATGCTTAAGATGAACAGTTTTAGATTTGAATTCACTCAAAATTGGTTACGTTAATATTTTTTTTAAAAATGAACCATGTTGTCAAACAAACAATGAAACTTACATCCTGAACTATCCACACTTCGTGATTCTCTAAAAGTATTCGGTTTTACTAAATCAATTCAAAAATATACAAAAAAAAGTGATATTGATAATGATAAAACTTCTGTAAAACATTTGCAGAATTATAAGTATATATGGATAGTAGCTAGCAGTGAACTTCAGGTTGACGTGCGTTTCGTCCCATTTCAGGCTTGTCAGCTGAACGTACTTGAATCCCAGACTTTTGATGTTGACTCCGGGACTCGAACACAGTGTTATTCACTTCAAACGTTATCACACTATCCAAATAAAACGAAACGCACGTCCTGAATTCCACTGCTAAGCACTATCCATCTTTGTTTAAAAAGCTTGTGAATTAAGGAAATATCGAAGTAATAGGCACAGTATGCACATATGCCAATAACACACCGATCAATTTCACTGTTAAACATGAATGAGAAGATTCAGGTAAAACAATACCGAGTGAGTGTAAACTTCATCCCATTACATAAGTAAGTGAATATTAGGACTCAGTAGCCAAGTGGATAACGCGATGGTGTTTGAAACGAACGAAACTGGGTTTCAGTCCCAGAGTAAACAACAACTCTGAGATGCAGGTAAATCCGGTTGACGAGTCCCGAATAGGACGAAACGCGCGTCAAACTTGATTCCACTGCTATGTACTATCGATATTTGCTTATAATGCTTGTAAATTAAGGCAATATCGAGACAATCGGTACAGGATGCACATATGCCAATAAGAGACTGATCAATTACATTCCTAAACATCAATGAGAAGATTCAAGTAAACAACAATACCATGTGAATATGCAGAATTAATCCGTTAATTAATGAATTTCGAATACATCACTCATTAGAAAGAAAATCAATCAGCTGCACTGTCGATGGGACAATCATGGTTTTTATAAAGGAATCCTAGTTAAACAACCATCGGTAACTATGGTTTATATCACATCTACCCATTGTTCATTTAGAAGAACTCACACCCATAAGAACCTAAATCAATCATACACCATGTAAGAATCCTTTTTCAGTTGAGTCAGTACATGATGAGGAATCTACTCAATGAGATTACTTTATTTAATTCTGCTTATGTTTGTAAAATTAAACAGAGAAATAAACCAGTCGTAGTATACTCATACTTTTAGTTATATAATATACCCTTGTGGGTCAGGGTAATTTTACATTGGTTTTCAGGAGAAACAGACACCATCTAAACTCTCACGTGACAACCCAAACAGTACTGCCCAATCCCGTTTAACAGGAGAGCCAAACACAGTCCAGGCGTAAATTTTATAACCAGAGCAGTCCAGCTCAATGCCGCTTCACAGGAGAACCAGGCACCGTATAGGCTTTAGCGCTACAATCTGAATAGTACAGCTCAATCCTGTGGCGCAACCACATAGGTACCAAGCACCCTGGTGGACCATTCGTGTCATTCTGTCATAACTTGTGACCGCCAATGAGAGAACAGTGACTTATCGAACGGACCAATGACGCGTAAAACACGTGAGAGCAGTCTAGAGTTCTGACTGGTCCTGCTTTCCGCCTAGCCCAGCCAACTGATTCCAGAAAACCAATCCAAGTTTCTGCGATATGAATCATGTATTTCAAACATACTCCGTTAACATACTAATCAAACAGACGACAGAGTATCATAAAATAGAAAGTAAGATTTGTACAATATTTGGCAAAATGTGGCTGTGAATGAGGGAGGGAGTGACTAATAGACAGGGAATAATTCAAGCATGGTAAATCGTATAATAACAGTTCATAGGTCAAAATCAAGTTCATAATAAGAGAGACATGAATCTGTGTAGTTTAGTTACTTAACAATTATACGATGAAAATAAACGCATAGTATTGGTCCATAAATGGATCCTAAAGTTACCATTCATTATTCTTGTCGGGACATAACACATTCATATACACATTCACATCACATGTATAGTTATTCCGATCAATGATCTCTTGAATCAATTATGCACAGCATGAATAGATCAAAGTTGACCTATTCCGCTTACACGACAGTCAAACTCTTTGTGTTAGCAATGGTGACATGCCTTACAATGTCCCAATTACAATGGCCCCCGAGAACACTGAAAAGCAATCACCAGTATAAATGAAATCGGTTTACCAGCAAACCAATTTTGTGGATGAAAAGTTAGCAAAACTTGCCAAAGTACTGCCGAATCATCCATAATACCGATGACGAACCTCCAGTCTCATATGAGACCTTCAGCTCTACATAGCCATATAGCTTATTGTTCCGTAGTAAACTCATCTAAATTTATAATATTAAAACACTGATATCTTGTTTCTAATGCATCAATAGAAATATTAGATAATAAGTCAATAAAGATATTCGTTAGTTCCTCACAACTTATACTTCTTTTTTATTTTATGATCGATCATGTTTACATTTTATCAATATAGGATTATGATGATTTGATTAAGATCATGAGTCGATCATCAATATTAGACACCATAACTGAAAACCTAGAAGCATTGGACAACTGTTTCGTCCTGATATGAGACTCTATAGTAGTTTACATCCATGATTTACATTCATGATATTTAGCTAATGTTTATATAAACGTAAGCTACTAGTATTTAACCACAGATGTCTTAGAAATATTGCTCACATCTGCCAGGATCACCGAGTAAGTAATAGTGAGGTTAGACACAGGGTATTAGGAAATGATGATGGTAAATCAGTTGATGAAGTTGTGAATCTTCATCGACTGAGATCGTTAGGCCACGTGTTATGCATGCCTGAACACCGATTACCACAACATACAACGATGACTAGTGTTGGGGATGGTTGGAAGAAAGTTAGGGGCAGCCAAAAGTAAAACATGGCGTCAGTCATTAAAGTCACTAACTTCTAGTCTGAGTCATGTTGATGGTAGATGAAGACTAGTTGGTTAGGGTCCGTGTGACTATTTGTGACCAATGGTTGGAGACCGTGTGTGATATGGCTCAGAGTCGATCACTGTGGTGTAGGTCTATACACACTTTGTCTTCCGTTAAACTATGAGATTCAAATTACTTTATGTCTTTCTACCAACTAATTCATTCTTCCTGTACTATATCCTCAAATGCAATCTTTCTTTTATACATTACTATCATTGAAGTAACTACTTGTATGAATCCGGTGTTCATCTTGTTGTGCTAATGAGATATGGCAACTTGAACCGATGCATATATGTTACTCGTCCTACGTTGTAGCTGACTGATTGACTCTAAATTCAACTGTTCATTCATGATATTCAATTATAGAAATAATCTTATTGTTTAAACAATTTTATTATTAAATCAATGCTTAAAATCTATTTATTCGAATGAATGAATGTCACTTCGAAATTCGACATCTGTTATCTTATACCTAATTAGTTCATACATCAATTATAGTCTCGCCTTCATTTCAACTGAAGTGCTACCTTTAGAAAAGGCTTAGATTGTAAACTGTCTTTTAAGATTTCTTAAATATTGACTAGAATTCATTCAATAGAATGATGAATATACTAATTGTTAAATGGAGTCATGTAAGTAGATGAAAAGTCTATATGATCATGATTACTACTAAAAAGTTAAAGATTTCGAATGTAATGACTCAAAATTGTCTGAAACAACAAGTGAGTATTCTCACTTCGTCTTGTCTTAGATTCATCATAAAGTTTTTTTTGTTATTATTTCACACATTTTTATCGTAACTCCTCCCTCAGCTTTTCTGGAGTTAGTGCCGGTCTTAGGCCCGGGTAAAGGAAGAGGCCCTGGGTTCGAGTCCCACGGGCGGGATCGTGGATACGCACTGCTGAGGAGTCCCAGAATAGGACGAAACGACCGTCCAGTGCTTCCAGGTTTCTAAAGGTGGTCTAACATCAATCGGTTCATGATCTCAATCAAAAACTTAATAATCTTCACAACCCCTATACTAGTAAAAAGTCAGGGTTAGGCATGAGGTCAAGAACTTCATCTCGTAGAAAAAAATCTTGTTAAAAAAAACTCCAATCAGATCAAACAAGTCATTTTTATAGTCTCTTACTGCATTTTAGATACCTAACACTTTCTATTACGTAAACTACTGTGAGATTTTCCTACCAAGTTCATCACTCGATACTAATGAGGTATGATAACTTGAACCTGTGTAAATATGTACCAGGTTCCATGTTGTATTTCATTAATTTTTCTCAATTCTGTGCTTTGATCATATAAATAATGATATCAGACTATAATTTATGGACATATCAATCAGATTTCGACGCAAAATTCACTTATTCATTTGATTAAATAACTCCTTGGCATTTTAACTGATGTCACTTCATGATGCAAACCTTTAAATCTAACCATCAACTGTAAATCACATTCTTTATTCTTCACACAGGTTCATAATCGTCATTTAGATCTAGTAATTAGGTGGACATTCTCAAAGTCACTTTAGCATCTTGAGATGGTGGAGAAGATTGGTATTTCAGGTGGATGATTTTGATGGAGTTTTGTTTTCTGAGCTGGATGGTTTTCTCGTGGAGCTTTCATCGTTCTTCTGAACGACAACATCAGCTCAGAGAACAAAACTCCACCAAAATCACTTTAGCATCGCTCATATATGGTGCATAAATTATAGTCTCACTCATAAGTCAATAATTTCGAATCTATATGCTGAAATCAATAATACATTACTTATTTATTTATTTGAACACATAAATATTGGTACAAAGGAGCACCGAATACATATGTAGTAAACATTTGTATGTAGGCTGTGATACTGCCTAGTAGACCGAGCCACATTTGGAATTTTCACTATAAAAGTTCTATCCACAAGGTAGTGGGGCAATGTAAGGAGATGCAGTCCCATGGTATCCGGTTCATATGCCATTTGTTCCCTTGGAACCCTGGAACCCATGTACACCAATGGTTTGGAATCAGGGTTTTCCTACTGTCCTAGATGGATCCATCAACCTTGAAATTTGTTTTTCATCCTCAAAATTTCTTAAACAACACCCCTTTTCGTGAGAAGACAGTGATTAAGATTTCTTTGGTAGTGGCTGTATACGCGTGATCATGTGGGAGAGAGAGAGAGCGCTAACTCTCTTTACCCTTGGCCGTAACCAGAGCATTTAAGGGTTATCTATAATACAACTAATCACAACATATCATATAACAATATTTATTTATTTTACTTACTTTTACGTGTTTTCCTTCGAACAACTCTTACTTCTGTATCTCCTTCACCTTGTATATTTTCTTCTATTTCTGTAATTAATTGATTAGTATTTAAATCAGTATATGATCTTGTTCTAGATGTGATATATTGAATTTCACCAGTAATAGGATCAATTTGTTTAGTTTTAGTTACTTCATTATTTGTACAAGATGGTAATGGTGATATACGAGGATGTATTGGTGACATAGATCGACCATTTAAACGTATAATTGGTGATCTTAATGGACGTGGTGGTAAACCAATTGATGATTTTTTATGATTTCTTAATATAACATCATCATCTTCATGATTATGAATAGGTTTAATAAGGATATTTCTTTCGATAGTAGGACTACATGGTGTACTATGTATAATACGTTGATGATTGAATTTATTTGAATAATTAGGTAATTGTTCATTGAATTGAGTTAATGTTTTATTCGTTTTATTCCATATTGATTTTTGTTCAGTAAATAGATTTTCTTTATAATTTGGTTGAATGATTTCATTGAATTTATTGATAGTAGTTAATTGATTAATTTTTTCAATTAATGGTATAGTTGTTGTTGTTGTTGGGGGTACTGGTGGTAGTGGTGGTGATAAGGGTCTAAGTTGGGATTGAGATTGGAATTGGGATGGTGGTGGTGGTGTTTTGATTGATATAGGTGATGATAAAATTGGTGTAAATCTACGGGATCCATCATGAACAGTCCAATCTTCATCATGATCAGGATTTTTGTTTAGATTGAATTTATTAGATTTTTTTATTGTTTTAAATGATTCAGTGTTCATTTCTTATTTGATTTGATGTAAAAGAAGAAAAATGAAAATAGTACAGTTTAAGTTATATAATTAATAGAAAACAATTGAACTTATGAATGAATTAATATTAGACAATCATGGGAAGTCTAACAACATTAGACAATTGTTTCGTCCTAGCATGTAGTTCCTCAGTAGTGCTCATACATGATCATACATGCAGGAATCCGACCAAGGATCTTCAGTTTCGTATGTGAACGTTTAACCTCTAAAACAGAGAGTCGGCATCCAACCGTGTTAATGTTTAACGATTCATCATTGTGTTCAGCGAGTTACTATCTCATAACAGATCCTGTTGAAATTCACTGGTCATGGCTTTTGACTAGAACTTCAGGAAATACCTCTTGAAGCCAATCATTTCTAGGGTGTCCCATGCCAGATTCATACGGTTTTTGTTCCTACAGAACCCTCATATGCGCTGGTACAACCGAGGTGGGGAGAGTCAGTCCTCAGTCTCCAAATGCTCTTACATGACCACGTGCATACAACCACTACCAAGGAGGTTTTACTCAATGGCTCTTTGAGGTTTATGCGTTATTTACGAGATTGAGAAGACGAAAAGCGAATGCCGGCGATTTAACTGGGTTGGTGGATACGGAAGATTCACCTAGGAAAGTTGAAAAACCCTGATTCAAAACCAATGATGCACATGATCTTCAGTATCCTGAAGGAACAAATGATGTACGAACCTATTGTTGGTCACCGGATACTATTGGATTGCATCTCCTTACGATGTTCCACTACCTTGTGGCTCAGACCTTTATGTCATAGACTCCGGGTGTGGACCCTAAGAAAACCACCTGATTTGTTCGGGCACCAAAGCAGTATCACAGCCCTCACACATTTCAAATGAGATCTGTGTGGCGCATATGTATTTGGTGCCTCATTGTACCAATATCCATGTGTTAAAATAAAAATGATAATAAACTATGTTATTTATTGGTAAAAGAAGGGCATCGAATGCACAAATCACTTCATTTGTGGGCGGGTTTTGATACTGCCCGGGTGCCGAAACCAAAGCGGTTGGTTTTCTTAGGGAGCCACAACCGGAGCCTTTGACCTAAAGGCCTAATCCACATGACAGTGGAGCAACGTAAGGAGATCCAATCCCATTGTAGCCGGTGACCAACAATAGGTTCGTACGTCATTTGTTCCTTCAGGATCCTAGTTTAGAATCAGGGTTTTTCAACTCTCCTACGTGGTCCCACCGTGTCCATTATCCCGGTTAATTCGCCAGACATTCACTTGTCGTCCTCTCAATTTCGTAAACAACACTCCCTTTGTAAAAAGGCAGTGAGTAGAACTTCCTTTAAAAGTGGCTGTATACGCGTGGCCATGTGAGAGCATTTCGAAAATGAGAGCTGACTCTCCCCACCTTCAGCCGTACCAGGGCATCTAACTGGCGATCACTCAATATGTTATCGTCAATATCAGTCAAGAAATAAGAAACGGAAACTTGTTGAAATGCTTCGTACTGAGAATTCGATATTGTACCCAAAATATAATATTGACTAAAGCCAATAATAATAGTAATATCAAAATAATTATCATATATTCATGAGTGTATAGTTTTGAGAGAATTGATCACCATACTCTATCATGAACTCTGCCTGGAGCCCCTCTGAGACTATATCATGCGAAATTAAGTGAATTTTCAAAAACATGGATCATTAGTTTTTGATCTATTCATCGAATGGTACTACATTCACGGTTAAACTCAGAGATTATTGGATTGATTTCATATAAGGTTACAAATTTATTATTATAATTATTAATGGCTTTATTCAATATTATACTTTTTGTTACAATATAAGATTCTCAGCATAAAGTATATCAACAAGTTCCCATTTCTTACTTCATGGTCGATCCTGACGAAAACCTATTGAGTGATCGCTAGTTAGAATTTAGCAGTCTTACGTTGTAGCTGATCGACTAAGAAGTTAACAGTCCAGTAAATCGAAATCGAAATAATGTACAATTTTTTTAAATGCATACTGCTACCAGCAACCACAATATCTCTGACTGAGCCTTTTGTAACTTTTACAACGAAAAGCATAATGATGTATGAGTGAAACTATAATTCATGGTCAACCTATGAGCGACTCTAGACTGACCTTGAGAGTGTCTACTGCATAACCAGGACCAAATGAGGATTATGAACCTGTGTGAGGAATTAAGCTTAGGAATTAGATTTCGTGTTTTCATCACGAACTAACATCATCTAGAATGTCAAAACTTTATTTACCCGAATAGGTGAATGAATTTCGCGCCAAGATTCGAGACCTGTTATCTTATACACCTGATTGATTCATCTATAAATTATAGTCTCACCGATGTATATATTAAAACAAACAAGAAAATCGATAACTTGTTAAAATATCTAGATGGTAGGTACAGGTAACCCAGATATTCAAGAAGACCGTCAAGTAACCACGTAAACGAATTTATATCAAGATATCTTTTCCACGTATCCTTGATGTTCTGACGATTGATTTCAGTCTCTGTTGAGAACTGTTATTGATTCATTCATCTCGTTGTAATCAATCCTTGATTACTGTAGTCAATTATACCTTATATATATATGTCATATAAATGAATGTATAATGAGTTTTTGTTCTCAAATTATCACTGAAAATGTTTATATGTTTGTTTGTTTCGATGATTGAACGTAACATTTGTATTTCAGTTAATTGATTTGCATAATATTGAAAAAATTGTAAATTGAAATTTAATTACCATAGTAATTGAGATTGAGATCGTGTGTCGATCAATGTTAGATCACCATTGGAAACCTGGAACTAATGGATACATGTTTCATCCTAGTATAGGACCTCTCAACAGTGAACGTCTATGGCCATGTACTCGGGATTCGAACCCGAGACCTTTGATCTTGTGTGTGAACTTCTAACCTCTAGACAACTGAGCCGGTGTCCAATGGTGTTAATGTCTAATTTCAACCAATCCAAGATTTTGCGCAACTATCTTCCATTGTCTTTAGTGGGTAACTGCCTCACAGCCGACATAATTGAACTCGGTTGACCACGGCTTCTCACTAGAACTCCAAGAATTACTTCTCGAGGCCAGTCGCTAGTGAGCACATGATCTGAATTAAAACTCAACAATCTCCACAACGCTATGCTGATAATAACTAATATATTTTTTTACATCATATGAAATTGTGTTAATCATTGTATTTGTTTTTCTTAATGGAAAGATTTATTCTAGTCTAATATTATATAATATGTTCGTCTGATAAAATCTGTTTGATGAGATTGTTTCGCAAGTTATGAATAAATCCACATGATATAGTTCACTTGAATCATCGCCCCCAAATGCTCTTATATGGCTGTGTGTATACAGCCACTCCAATAAAAGTCCTACCCATTGCTTTCTCTAAAACGCGGTGTTGTTTACGAAATTGAGAGGATAAACAGAGAATATCCGGTGATTTAACCCGGTTGGTGAATACGGAAGATCCATCTAGAGGAGTTGGAAAACCCAGATTCCAAACCAATTGTCTCCAGAATCCTGAAAGAACAAGTAGAGTATGAACTAATTGTTGGTCACCGGCTACAATGGGATCACATCTCCTGACGTTGCTCCACTGCCTTTAGGTCAAAGGCTCCGGGAGTGGCACCCTAAGAAAACAACCTGCTTCGGTCTGAGCACCCAAACAGTATCATAGCCCACATACAAATGAAGTGACTTGTGCGGCTCATATGTACCCGATACTTCTTTTTTACCAATCTACTCAGTGCTCGTTGGCCGGATACCATCATCAACAGTCCTCTGTGGGAGGGAACAAACCAGCTTCCAGCTGAGGACGAAATTAGAAGAAGACGTTGGAAGTGGATAAGACATACATTAAGAAAATCATCAAACTGCATCACGAGGCAAACGCTAACTTGGACTCCTGAACAGAAACGGAAAAGATGGCGACCAAATGACACACTATGTCTAGAATTGGAAGCATGAATAACAACTAGAAAAAACTGGAAAGTAAATATCCATGACAGAGTTGGATGGAGGATGCCGATGCTCCTCCATAAAGGGTAACAGACGATGATGATACTTAACATCAGGATTGATTATTTCCTAATTTGGTTTAGTGTACAGTATTATCATTTGTATGAAATTGTATTAAAACATAGAGATTGAAAAAGGAATTAAGAATATTTGTATTACAATAACCTACCATTTTCAACAAGAACATCATCCAATTTCTGCATGTATGTAGGAGGATTAAGTTTTGGATTCATTTCTAAAAAAGAAAACAAAATATGTGAATAGATTATAATGATAGTGATTACCAAAAATTTATCAACAATGATACTGTTTAATTCATTTGAATTGTGAGAAGTTTGTCGTAAGCAACATAAAACCTGGAGCCGCCAAACGCCCTAGTACTGTCGAAGGTACAGAGAATTAGCCCTCCCGCTCTAAATCCTCTCACATGGCCACGTGCCTACAACCACAACCAGGGAAGTCCTACTCACTGCTTTCTCTCTGCAGAAGTGTTACCGGCGATTTAACCGGGATGGTGGATATGGAGGGTCCACCAACGAGTGTTGGAAAACCCTGATTCTAAGACAATCATTCACATGAGCTCCAGGATCGTAAGGAAACAAATGTCGTATGAACCTATTGTTGATCACTGGTTACCACGAGACTGCATCTGCTGACGTTTCTTCACTGCAATGTGGATCAGACCTTTAGGTCGAGGGCTCAGAGTGTGGTTCTCTAAAATAACTACCTCTTTCGGTTTGGGTACTCAGACAGTATTCCAGCCATCACACAAATCGGATGATATTTGTGGCGCATATCTATTTGGTACCTCCCTATACTAATGTTTATGCGTTTAAATAAATAAATAAATAAATGTACGAATAAAACATGGATTCATATGTTCATCGGTTTAAGTCGTAACATCATATTAGAACAACGAATTGAAACTATGTAAACAAATACCATAAAAGTAGAAAGGATTAGACATAGAAAATATGATACAAAAATGCACGGATTTTGGGACATAAAAGTGAAAATTAATTTTGAAACTGGAGATTTTTGGAAGAAAAATCGTCAATGTATCTACACCATTGTAACTAGTTCTGAATCTATGGGTCCCCGACCAATTATTCTGCATCCCTAAACATGAATAAGCCCAACAGTTAGCGGTTTTCTTAACTGATAACCCGTTTTCATTTGGTTATTACTATGTTTCTTCTAATCTACTGTTGTATCAGACAAAAGCGCCTGTCGAAGCGGACGGTTTCTAGGTATATGTAATGCATGTTTGAACCAACTCAGTTGATAAAGAGTAATTAGCTCATCATCAGTTTTACCATCTACATCTAGTACTCTATTTTTAACCTCAGCATTATTTTCAGTGCAGACTGAAATTAACTGAAGAATCATTGAAAATCAAACAGGAATACAGAGCATATCATGTACTAGTTTGTTACCTAACAGTGCTCATCCATAACCCTATCCAAGATAAGCCTCAAGAATTTCATATGGAGAAAGCAACATTCTGACCATTGATTAGTTCAAGTTTTCAATTTTGGTTAACTCAGTTCCAACGTGATTAAACTCCGATGGTCACTAGTTTTACCTAGTAATTCAATAGCTTATCTTAACATCTATCACTGATGAATCCATGAATATAATTCACTTAAATAGATTCTGAAACTTTGTTCACTATGAAATACTTCTTGAAATAATAATGGATTTACAATGTTCTGAAAACATCACAACACTTTATACAATCTATGACGTGTGTGTGCTGGTGATGTTGACAGATATAAGTAGTATGTCAGTCAGTCATTCAGTCAATCAGTCAGCTACAACGTAGGACCAGCAACATATATGCATCGGTCCAAGTTCTCACATCTCATTAACACAACAAGATGAACACTGGATTCATAGCAGTGGTTAGGTCAAAGGTGGTAATATATAAGAGAAAGATTGCATATAGAAATATAGTACAAGAAGAAAGAATTGGTTCGTAAAAAGAAAAATATGAAGTGATTTTAATCTCTTAGTTTAAGGGAAGACAGAGAGTGTATACACCTATGCCATTGTGATAGATTCTGAGCCATGTCATCAACAGTCTCCAACCATTGGTTACGATAGTCACGCGGACCCCAACCAACTAGTCTACATCCATCACCAACATGACTCAGACTAGAAGTTAGTGACTTTATGGACTGATGCCACGTTTCGGTTTGGCCACCCCTAACGTTCTTCCAATCATCCCAACACTGGTCATCATTGCGCGTTGTGGTAATCGGTGTTCAGGCATACGTAACACGTGGCCCAACCATCTCAGTCGATGAAGATTCACAACTTCATCAACTGATTTACCATCATCATTCCCTAATACCCTGTGTCTAACCTCACTATTACTTACCCGGTGATCCCAGCAGACGCCAGCAATATTTCTGAGGCATCTGTGGTCAAATACTAGTAGCTTACGAGTGTCTTCTACTCTTAATGACAACGTTTTGCTGCCGTATTAACATAGCACCAGCAAAATCATTCGATTAACCTACAAACCCACTTGATTAGTTAACCTAAGAAGAATGATGTTTATTATTCAAAGAAATTGCTTATAAGAATAATGACTTCAATTGAATAACGTGACAATATCCATCTTTTTTTTCTAAATTTAAGATAGTATACTCTCTAATAGAAACGTTTATTTGAATACCTACTTCATATGACAGTCTTATATTATGTTATCAACACTTACGGAGATTATCTCTGACACTTACTATTACGTAATCTATGGATAATTGATTACCTTTGGACTTTATAATGACTCTATTCACATCAATATTTCTTAAAGAATTCTACATATGTAACGTTAATATTCCATTTGAAATAGTTTACATCATTGTATTCTTGATAGTTTTGACTAAAATTTGATCAGTTTTGGTTACAGATTGACTCGATAACACAACCATTATGATATAAGTCGATATAGAATAGACAGAATGTGATTAGTAGTGGTATCTAGGATGAGAGTTTTGTCCTGTTCAGGTCACAGAGTGAACATCAACTCTATTGTATGCAGGTATCTCTAGATGACGTGTCCAGACTAGAACGAAACGTGTATTCTGGATTCCACTGCCAGTCATATTCCAACTATTGTATGTTAACTTACTATCAATCAAGTCGCTAGATCTTATTTGGTGTTAATTTTAACTTATCCATGGTAAAATGTATTTGATAATCATCTGGTTAATCACTAATTTCTAGTTGAGTAACTGATGTTCTAGTGAGAAGTCTTGACTAGTGGTGTTCAGATATATTTGTGGTGAAAACACTGCCTTTAGTGACATAAAACGATCATCGCGCTATATCATAAACTGACTGAAGTTGGAAATGTATACACTCAGATGATAACTAAATGCTTCTAATAGTTAGACATTCGCTGAAAGACTTGAAAGTTATGGATTCATACTGATAAAGAGATATATATATAGTACAACGAAGCAGCTATTAAAATTACTATAATATACACAAAACCCCTTCTGATATTAATCAGCATGCGCTCATATGTTCAAGTGGTATTTCCTGGAGTTTTAGTGAGAAGTAGTGACCAGTGGAGTTCAACCGGGCTTGTTGTGAGATAGTAAATCACTGAAGACAATGGTGGATGTGTCACTCAATTTCGTAGATTAGTTGGATTTAGACATTAACACGGTCGGATGCCAGCCAGCTCAATGATCTAGAGGTTAACCATTTGCGCGCGAGACTGATAGGTCATGGGTTTGAACCTCACAATGCGAGATCTTGGATGCCCACTGATGAGGAGTCCCACAGCAGGATGAAACGATTGTCCAGTGTTTCCAAGTTTTCCGTGGTGGTCTAGCTTCATTCACTTCACTCATGATCTCAACTATTAAAAAATTTAGAAACATTATATCAGTAGAAAATGAACTTGAATGTATCATTTACTGTATCCAGTCAGTAGAATGAGAGACCATCAGTTCAAGTGTTATAGAGTCGTATCATCACATTAGAACAGAACACATTAAAATACATAGTGAGTAATATATTGTTTTGGATTTAATGACAATACCTTTCTTTTCCTTAAAAAACAACTAACCTGTCCTTCAGAAGGGTTTTTTTTGGATATTATAGTAATTTTAATAGTTAACCTATCAAACTGATAGGTCCTGAGTTCGAATCTCACGAGGCGGAATCGTGGATGTGCACTCCTGAGGAGTCCCACAATAGGACTAAACGGTCGTCCAATGCTTTCAGGTTTTTCATGGTGAACTCATGATCTCAACTATTAAAATTAATCTATCCCTGTACAGAGGTTCACATAATTCATGTGAGTAATGAGATGGTAGAGAAAATTTATAGCTCAGGTAATGATCGTGAAGCTTTCATTGTTCTTCTTCTGATGTCGTTTAGAAGAACGATGAAAGCTCCACGACTAAACCATCCAGCTCAGAGAATAAACCTCCATCAATAAGTGAATAGTACAAAGAAACATTAGCCAAGAATTTACAATACTCCAAATAACCTTTTAAACTTTTCTCTCTTTTTTTGGTACAGCATAGATCTATAGATAGATGGAATCCATTCTTCCAAATGAGGCCAATGAAATCATGTGATATAATTCAACTATATATTATTAAATGTTTTGGCAAATGTCAACGATTGTTGATTAGCATAGATACTACTTCATATGACTGTACTTTCTCTCTTTCTTTCTCTCACTCACTCACTCACTCACTCACTCTCTCTGTCTCTCTCTCTTAAGTACATTATATACACATATATACATGTGGAGAATCTCTTTTTGAAGATGTGATGTCAGGTATTCGTTTTTTTTCAAACATAAAAACAAAAAGACATACATAAGTATATGTGATAAATCTGTCAAATATACAAAACAACAATCCGTTCAATCATGGGATCAACTTCATTTTGTAATCACCTTGGTTTTTTCGGGGGGGGTTTGAAATACAACATAATAACTAAGTGCTATATGTAAAATGACCCCTATGAGTGGTGATATATTGAAGAGTAAGAGAAGAAAAAAAGAGACCGTTTACTTATCAAATATTACACAAAGCTATATACTGATACACTTGGTGTGAAATTTCAACAAAAGATTAACGTAAGTGAAGATAGATGGTAGTTAATAGTGGAATACATGACACATGTTTCATCCTATTTGAGATTCGTCAGTTGGATGTATTTGCATCTTAAATTTGTTGAGGTTTACTTGAATCCAGTTGT